ACATGTGGACATTTTTGTGATATCAGGTTTAGGAGGTCTTCCAAGACGCATCAATATCCTATCAAATTTCCAAAATAAATTATTGAGGACATTTTTTATGATAATCTCCCAATGGCCTAAATTTTGGACAAAAGCCTTCTTTGCAAGCTATAAGTACAGCCTATCACCCGCACCTTTAATTCAGGCCTATCATCACCCCCAATCTGAGTCTCATCACTACCAGCAACCTATCTCGTGGTGTAACTTACATTATTTGTACGCCAAAATATGCAGGCTCCTTTGATTAGAAGGATATGCATTGTAACAGCAGAGCTGTGCTCCTGGCACAAGCTGGAACACAGATGCGAGGTGAGATAAACAAGCCTTTAAACCCAGTGGATGATCCGGGATGAATGGACACGGTAGCCTATCAGAGCCATCAGTGCTGATACACCTCTCTGATGTGGTAATGTAATAAACAGTTGTTGATTGATGATGATGGAACACAACAATGACAGGTCATTCAATCACAAACACTGTCTCAACTGTGAGCCACTTCTTATACAATATGTCTATAAATTATGAGATGATATGACATTTTCTCCCGGTTGGTGAAGTGTAGTGTTGAGAGCATATGTCTCCATTGTCACCTTCCTGGCAATTACCATACTCAGTAACAGCTGGCCTTCAAAACTCGTTCTATTTTTATTTCTATTTGTCCTGATAGTTTTTATATTGTTTTGAATACCATAATAAAAAATTGTTAGTATATAGAATACTAAACGAGCTCCCCGTGTAATACCAATTTTATAAAACGAGTGAATAGTCGCTCGTCAGATACCACAACTATTCACGAGTTTCATAAAATTGGTTTTACAAGGGAGCTCGTTTAGCATTTTAATTATTACTTGCCATTTATAACGTTTTTTTTAATTATACTGTTGAGTATGAATAGGCTGACACCTACATGATGCACGGCATAGTCCAACTGAGTTTAACAGAATAATACTTCAAACACGTCAAAAGTTGAAACGTATGAATTTAATACCATACAACGGTCCACCTTGTGGAACGGGCCTTGCATCTCCAAGTTGATCCATTGGCGAAACAATGCCATGTGACGTTAGCCTAGCAACAAGGTTGCTGGGGTCATCGAGTGTGCATAAGCTCCTCTCAGTGATCTATCAACTCCACACACAGTGTCATTGAATAAGCCAAGGGATGTTGAGAGCTTTCAATATTTGTTTGTGAAACGTGTTCCGAGAGTACATAAGCACGCGTTCTGGTATTACAAAATGTGTAATACAGCTGTATGTTTATTAAACGGGTGATCTCTTCACGGGCAAGTAATAAAATTTATTACTGCAGTTTAGAAAATGTACTTGTTTGTTTCCATTTCACAATACAGTACTTTTTTTTGTTTGGTTGTTTGTTTGTTGTTTAACGCCGCATTCAGCAATGTTCCAGCTATATCACGGCAGTCTGTTCATAATCGAGTCTGGACCAGACAATCCAGATTGACATCATGAGCATCAATCCATGCAATTGGGATCGATGACATGCATGAACCAAGTCAGCGAACATGACCATCCGATCCTGTTAGTCGCCTCTAACGACAAGCATAGTCGCTATTTACGGCAAGCATGGGTTGCTGAAGACCTATTCTACCCCGGATCATCACATATCTTTGAAAATTTTAAAAAGAATTTTGTGAATAGGAAGACTACTATTTTCTTTGGTCGTGAATGAGTGGATGCTCCAACTCCAAATGTTGCAGAAGACAAAGCAGGGGAGGAGCATCATTAATATCTGTAGCTTTCTTCACATCTTCAGCCTTTTCAGATCAACTCATAAATCAGACGAAATTATATTAATATTGGTCAAAATGGGTCTTGATGTTTCCACAGAACATATATTCACCTTAAATCCAATCTTTCAATCATATCTTAAGAAATGGTTCAGTTCTGGGTCCCGTTCCTCAAAGCGATCGTAACGCTGAGGTGATCGTAACTCCTATACTTTAACATAGACTTACGACAGTCGTAGCACTACGATTGCTTTGTGGAACGGGGCCCTGGACCGTTATGAAAAATATACTACTTAACATTGGATATTCTGGTGGTGCTGGTAAGGACCAAATTTGACTGATGTTTTGGAGATGTTGTCGTACAAATAGCATTTGACTCAGCCATTGAATTGCCACATTTATAGCTTCAAATAGAGAGATATAACCACAATTTCTATACAATGTTATTCTCTGTTTCGTGTCTACATAAAAGAACTCTTGATCCTGATCAAATATTGAGTAGCATAGCTGTTGTTTAAGATAGATCTTTGAGCAGTTTCCATCCATTCACCCTTTCAACATCACAAGCTTTGTTTTTGGAAGAGTGAGTGTGCTGGTTTAAAGACAGAGCTCCAGATAAGCTTTTGGTGTTGTGGGTATTTTACCCATGCATTTACCCATGCATTTTAAAATCATTGGGTATCAGTAATTCTATCTGTGTATTCAAATTTCTGTTACCCACTAGTTTTTACACATGTGGGTATTGAACTTAAATATTTAAAAACACTATTCATCTTGTCCCTGCAAACTGGTGTCGTGTGGGTTCGAGAGCGTTATAGGACTAAAAAATACCGCGATACTTCCACAAGAAAGTGTGATGGCAAATGATCATGATGTAACTGTCATCGTGGAGTTTGGCAAGGTTGACGGAATGTCCGTATATAATTTCCAAATAAGTTTCTGATTTGCTAATCGAATAAGCAGGGTTACTTCACAATATTTTGATGATACGCACAAGTTTTATTTTTGTAGCGTATCTGTAATGTTCGTTGTGTATTTGATAGGCTTGGATTTTATTTTACTGCGTATTTCAGCATTTCTGATGCATATTTTACGCAGATACGCAGCTTATCTGGAGCTCTGAAAGAGTAGTACTTCAGTTATGAATATTGAGTTTGACTAAAAAAATTCTTATTTCAAACCCCATCTTTCATATGTATTACGGTAGTAGTTTTATTCTCGATTAATTTATGTTGAGGGGAAACTAAAGAGAGAAATATACTGTGTTTATGGTAGAGCCAGGTTACCTGTACATTTAACTGTGCTAAATTGAATTGTTCCCAGTAGTTTTTAAGAGTGGTAAAATTTAATGAAATTGGTGATATGGACATCAAACCAGCTGTTCAATCAGAGGTGGTTATTCTGATTTGAAATCTTTGACTTATCTTTTTGTCCATCAATAAATAACAAAATACCAGTACTTGAAATTATACCCTAAATTATCCTACTACCAATTTTTCTTAAACATTTTTTGTAAATGGCTTCAAGAGAAAACAAATCATCATATCTGCCTCCCTCGCATATTAATCTCGAAAAGATGTAGAACTAGAAATACACTTGGTCTTGCCTCTGTTACATTTAAAATAGGTTTAAGAAAATTAAGTAAAAATATTTTTCTTTAATTTAATAAGGAGGGAAACTTCTGAAACCACACCACAGTTCTGTTATTGCATGTCATTCCTGCAAAAAGATTGTTTTCTTGTAATACTGACTTTCTTGGCGAATATCTTAAGTTGCAAGAAGAAAAATAATAACAAAAATACATTAAAAGGTTTTAAGGGGTTATGTGAGGACATATGTCTGAAGAAAAAGCTTGACAAAATTATTTTTTTATCAGATTTATGTTAAATACAAACAAAATAATGTTCAATTTTTTAAGAAAAGCATGTTTTCAGTCAAACAGCATGTCATTTGCATATATTTTTCTTAAAAATGACTCATGTGTTAAATATATGAAACCAGAGACCATATAATAGATCTATTATATGGTCTCTGATGAAACAACAAAACAAATTCTTCTAGACTAGGCAATTCTTTCACTCAAATAGATATGATTTACAACAGTGTTGAAAACTGCATATCATAATACTTTGTTTACAGGTAATAAATTCTATTATTCACTGATCTTAATATTCAACATCTCATCAATATAAAAATGATAATGACATGTTAAGATGGATAACTCCTTCACACAATAGGCGTGTCGTATGTGTGCATGAAACTCAACCAGCATATTGAACTGAACCCATTGGTTTGAGATAATGGCCTGGATTTATTAAAATCAATATTTTCATAAGTGTGAGTTCAGCAGACATAACCTACGATACTGTGACAGACTTATTCGCGACTTTCTTTTCGACTGTCTCGACAGAAAAGTTTTGGAATTTCAAGAATGTGAGTAGTTTTTGAGGTCACCATCTTAGTCTCCGCTAGCGCCGATCACGACCCAATCACTATCACTGCTCTCGACACGTAACACGCTCGACGCTCACCGAACTCAGCAAACAAATGCCAAATCTATACAGCACGCACTAACTCCGACAGGTAACAGCTAGAAACATATATAGGTGATATACATCCCCCCTCGCCCGTCATGACAATGCAGTGCCGTAATCTTCAATAATGATAATGGCAAGTTTGTTATGCACAGGTCAAATTGTTTTTCTGTGCCATTCGTGCAAACGCAAATGTAAACAGTGCATCATGTTTACCGTGACAAGAGCAGTATCGTGTTAATTTCAAGATCAGCTGATTCAATACGGGGCTGATTGATTTGAAACAGATAAGCGTCTAGGCCAATTAAGGCAGAGCGGTAAGCTAATTAGCAATTATAATGCAAATTGTAAATAGTGTACTCACTGGTCAAGTTACACACACCCCTCCACGAAGTTGTAGACTGGGCTACGCTGACACCACGTGACCTTTGACGTCACGTTGTTTTCATTTCTCATGGCGGGAAATTGCACAATATCGTATAAAAGAGGGAATGTTAATTTGGCATAGGTTTGTTTTGTTTGATATAGACATTTATGTTAAAAAATGTATAGCTTAGGGTAAAATATGGCCAAAATATTTATATTTATCTTAAACAGGCAATAGAAACGGACGAACAATTTGAAAATTGAGGACCGTACGATTTTCAAAGTTCGTACTACGATTCTGCTTTTGAGATTACCCAAGCACATGTAGGAACTTGTTACAAATGTCGGTATAAATACCCCAGAGCAAGTTTAGGCCTAGTAGAGTTGCAATACGCTGATCAAGCATGGGGAGGCGATCTAAACCAGGTAGTGTGTATGTCTGAAAGCACCGGTACCGAAATATTTCGAACATTTAGTAAAATACGACCATGACAACTCCATCAGAGTGGACAAAAAGAGTTGTCAATTCTTGTCAAAGTGGAATCAGGAAGGAAGCTCTTTTTTGTGGTGGGATTAAGCTGATTGGGGATGTCATGAGTTGCTTATTAGCTCACACGGTTGTCATCCTTCACGATTGTCACGTGGGACGACAGCAACAGCTTGCACGTATACAATGACGGGCTTCCGTACTTACATAGAAATGACAAGTTATCGTGTTACTGGTTGCGTCTGTGGTGCACGCTGACAATTTAATTTAACAACTAGATCTATTAATTTAATTTTCAGCCTGACTTAAAAATTTCACTTTTGGCTTTAGGCTGCTGTTATCTAGACTAGCATCTAAGCTCTGAAATGAACATAGCGTACAGAAAAAACAGTTGTTCAATTATCTTAATAAAAATATAATAAAAGGGAGCCCAGTGACTCTCTTCATTTTTCCTGACACTGCAGTAATCTAGACTTGCATGGGCTGTATTTGATATATATTTGTATCAGGGTCTATAAGACAGACTAGTTGTTATCCTACTTAAGGTATTGTGCCTTTTAGTGTTTCAGAGAGTAAAACAGATACTTGATGGGCAAGTAGGAATTGACTCAGATCAAGATGGCATCCAACACTCGTTATGCCATGTTATACATTTAAGCAACAATCTGCAGTTTATCAAGCGCACTAATTTGTGCAGTCTGCCGCCGGTGGTTCTTGCTTCACATATATCACATTCCTCTTCGATCTTTGGGTTAGGATAGGTTACGCCCAACACTATCCTTGGCCATTGGATGCCTCTTCCGATGAAGCAACCCATTACGATCATTAGAGTTAGGTACCCCTTTACGACCAAACACCCCTTAAGGATCCTTAGGGGTAGCCACGCTCTTACAATCCAAAGGGTTAGATGTGAGTTAGGGTATGGACCTAGCTGTCTATTTTAACGAATTAATATAGAGTAATTTGAGTAGATCCAAATAATTTTTATCAGATTTCAAGTTTCGCGAGGAAAATGGCTTCTGAACATGCCCATAAGGGTAAACAGTCAGTGCTGATAACTTGGTAAACAAACACTCCTATTTGTGATAGCACCCATGGTTAGGTGTTAGCTTATTAGATTCACTAATTAGTCTAGCTTAGTATGTGACCATGCTTAATGAGTGAGTGAGTGAGTATGGTTTTACGCCGCTTTTATCAATATTCCAGCATTATCACGGCGGGGGACACCAGAAATGGGCTTCACACATTGTACCCATGTCGGGAATCGAACCCGGGTCTTCGGCGTGAGGAGCGAACGCTTTAACCACTAGGCTACCCGACCTCCCCACCATGCTTAATGAACATAACTTCAAAGAGTCGATTTTGTTTTCAATGAAATGTATTCTTCTGGTTGGTACACTTCCATCTTAAAGGGTACACATAAAAGTGGCCTGTGGCACACTTACAAGAAAAGACATTACTTTCCCTGCCGTGGAATCAAATTCCTTTAAACTGAAGGATGTCACGAAGTTGGTGGATTGGAATAGACATTGTATCACAGACACATACACACCCATCGATTTATGGAGACCTTCTCAGAGGCCAATATTTACTTAAGGTCTACGACGCGTCTGTAAAGTCTTTGAATGGCATTTAGAAGAGATGCACATATGAGAATTGATGGATGTCAACTTCTTTGTTATGAGGAACACGTTTCAGAGTTTGTGTTTACTCCTTCATCATATGCTCCGAAATTCTCTCTCTTAAATATTCACAAGATGAAATTAAGAATTTCCTAATTCAGGTTGTTGGAATTCATTATTACCCCTGACCCGTGAAGATCCGGGGTAGAATAGTTCTTCAGCCCCCATGCTTGCCATAAAAGGCGACTATGCTTGTCGTAAGAGGTGACTAACGGGATCGGATGGTCAGACTCGCTGATTTGATCGATGCATGTCATCGTATCCCAATTGCGTTGATCGATGCTTATGATATTAATCACTGGATTGTCTGGTCCAGACTCGATTATGTACAGACCGCCGTCATAAAGATGGAATATTCCTGAGTTCGGCATTAAACAACAAACCAACCAACCAACAATTCTTACCCCTGGGTAAATGTTCTGGTTTAACTGAAAGTATCGGGAAAAATTGTATCTGAAACTATTTTTTTATCAGGAATAATATATTCCAATGTCATGTTATTTTAGTTGCAGCTTTTACTAAATATATTTTTTTAAATAATAACCCTAAGCGTAGCACTTCTGTGCAGCTGATCGCAATTGCCAGTTATTATTTTTCACATGGAACAATTTGACCAGTCACTGTCGAGGCTCCCGCGCACGGGATCGCGAGAACTTTAAGTTAACATAGACTAGCAGGGGTACAACGAATATGACTTTAAACAAGTCAAAGTATGGCATTTATGATATATCTATCCATTCTCTGTCAACTAAAGTTTGTTTCAAGGCATCAATAGACCGTGGTTCGATGTTAATAGTGAGTGAGTGAGTATGGTTTTACGCCGCTTTTAGCAATATTCCAGCAATATCACCGCGGGGGACACCAGAAATGGGCTTCACACATTGTACCCATGTCGGAAATCGAAAACCGGGTCTTCGGCGTGACGAGCGAACGCTTTAACCACTAGGCTACCCGACCGCCCCTTCGATGTTAATAACATTGAGTTGTGCCATCTTGTGATCGCTTCACACACGATTTTGCCCAAATTAATTAAAACAATATTAAAAGGAATTTTGAATAAAATGAATGAAATAAGTTACAAACATATAAGTCCTGATATACAATGAACACTTTTTATAACCAGACAGTGTAATTATGTGATTAATTTGTGTACTTCAGTACAGATTTGTTGACATGGTATTTCTGGTGTTACATGCTCACGGTAATGTCTTTGCGTTTAGGGAAAAATATCAAAACTCATTATGGCGTGTATAATGCGCACCCCCTTCTACCCAGTAGGGCTGGGATGAGTCGAAACTTACTACCCGGGTACCCACACCCCTATTACCCGACCCTACTCAGGTACCTGCTGTTGGTTTCAAGAGATAGGTACAGAATGTCCCATTGGTAATAGTTTGACAGCAGCCCGAGCAAAATGTATTTAGATACACGTATAAAACAATGTGGTCATGCATACACTGAAGTTGACTGAACTTTTATCTTTATTCAAACATATATAAGTCAGAAGGAATGGGTGCATAGTCATGAAGAAATGTGAACATCAGTGACTTGTGTAACCATGTAGTTATAGTGATTTTTTGTCATGACACAATATATCACGTGACTAACCACGGGTCCGGGTAGTCCTTTGGGTACCCGCGTCCTACTCAGTACCCACCCGACCCGAGTACCCGAGTAACCCGTCCCAACCCTACTACACAGCTGTGTTTTTTTTTGGAAAAAGTGCGCACTATACTCAAGAAAATACGGTAAGTCACTGCTTAGCATATTGTTGCACCACCAGGTCTTAATTAATGGTAAAACTTGTCTTCTGCTAACTTTCAGCCTATATTTTCAGCCAAGAGAAGTGCGGAGGGCGATGCGCCCAAGGAAGCTAAGAAGGCTCGTGTGGATGAGGCTAGCATCAAGGGTGTGTGTGTGCGGTGGGAGTGGGAGGGGGATGGTGGCAAGTGGACGCAGTATGGAGACAATCTCAACATCAATGTCACAAATGCATTCAACAGCAAAAAGAAAGAGGTGATTTTCATTCTCACTCACTTCCACATTGTCAATATATTTCTGGTCTTTGTTTATTCAGGAGGGGGGGCATGGGTGGCTCTGTCATCAAGGTGCTGCAGTTTGCTGTGCAGAGTTGCATCCCTTGGGTACACCAGGAACCTGTGATCATGGGTTCAAATCTTGGTTCACCCCTATTATGTTTTTAGGTTTGTCAGCGCCATACACATGCTCGTGGGTTTCACCAATGTGGTAAACTTCAAAGACCTGCATCACTTCAGGCTTTCCTCCAAAGTTGATATGCCGTGATACAACTGGAATACTGTTCAATGTGGCGTTAAGCCCAACTCACTAACTCATTCACACCATTTCAGACCTCCCTCAATCTCATGAAAATTGGATCTTAGTTCTCGCTCCGGCTAAACAAGTATCTGAGGACATCCCTTTACGGGTCACATCTGACCAATCAGAGCGATCATGCCAGTTTGAAAGTGCTTTAAAGCACAAGAAAGCTGACTTCTGATTGGCTAATGTCAACTTCCTGTCAGTGGTTTCATTGGTCGGTCAAAGTTCACGAAAGGTCGGTCTAATGTGACCCGTAATGGGCTGTCCTCAGATCTTTGTTTAGCGATAGCGAGAACAAAGATCTGATTTTAATGAGATTAGACCTCCCTGAATAAACAAACTTTGATAGGTTAAGTAATGTGATGCGACCTTCACTACCTTCCTGGTTCTCTGTTGCAGTATCAGTACAAGGTATCCTCATCAGTTACACTCATAGCTCAGTTTGGGAAGATGGTGCAGAAGAACAAGAAGACAGGTTGGGAGAGACGAATCCGGCTGACGATGAAGGATGCCGACTCAGATGGTAAGACTGTTGTTTGTTTCACAGACACTGCTGACTAAACAGTGTCAGAAATTGGCACTAGTTCTGTAGTCCTTGCCAAACTGCCCAATAGTTTGTTTGTTTGTTTGTTGTTTAACGCCGCACTCAGCAATATTCCAGCTATATGACGGCGGTCTGTAAATAATCAAGTCTGGACTAGACAATCCAGTGACTGACATCATGAGCATCTATCTGCGCAATTGGTATCAATGACATGCATCAACCAAGTCAACGAGCCTGACCACCCGATCCCATTAGTCACCTCTTACGACAAGCATGGATTGCTGAAGATCTATTCTACCCCAGATCTTCACGGGTTGCCCAATAGTTAAGGTATCATAAGGACTAGTAATAATTTGCCATTTTTATGTTCTATGTTATCATTATAAAGACTAGTGGACTAAAATGTTAGTTTCTACCGCTGCTGATTGTGTCATCATAATTGGCCTCCAGTGTACAATCCGTTAATACATCACATTGCCCCTTTCTGCATGTTCTGATTCTCACCTCCACTTGCCAGAAACTTTTATAAGTTTTCAACATTTTGAGTTTGTTCTGCTTTCAGACTTTTATGTCTGGCAGTGGGAGAATGAGCATGGAAAGTGGAACCCCTACCCTGCAGACACCAGCCTCTTGTTGGAGCAGGCACAGCGAGACGGCACCGACGAAACGGTCGACATCGAGGCACAGCATCGCTCGTACGCCATCGACCTGAAGACCATGGAGCAGATTAACACAACGACGAACGTGGCTCGCAAAGTGGCCAGGGAGAAGGCGGGTGAGCTACTTCTTGTGTTCAGGATTACATAGTCTTAACAGGATCACCTGTCTGCCATTGTCACATGATTCCTGTTTCAGAAATTGGTTACTGTCTGTGAAGTTATTGCAGATAGTCTGCTTTTGGTCAGGAAAATATTATTTCAAAATTAACTTTTGTTTGTTTATTTGTTGTTTAACGCCACACTCAGCAATATTCCAGCTTTATGACGGTGGTCTGTAAATAATCAAGCCTGGACCAGATAATCCAGTGATTGACATCATGAGCATTGACCCACGAAATTGGGATACGATGACATGCATCAACCAAGTCAGCGAGCCTTACCACCCAATCCTGTTAGTCGCCTCTTACGACAAGCATAGTCACCTTCTACACCAAGCATGGATTGCTAACAACTAATTCTACCCTGGATCTTCACGGGTCCTTATATTTGGTGTTTATGGCAGTGTAAATATTCAAATGTACACACAGTGTAAATCCTTAAAATATTGCTTGGTTAACCAATCAAAGGAATCTTGCAATTTATTTTTTTACCTACATTTTCTTGGTTGCAGTGTTTACTTGTAGTGGTTAAATTACATCCTTTATTCCTAAGTGGTGAAGAATTGATGTGATGCCGTGAGGCATATGTTGAATTATTACCTGCGGTTCATGTCAGAACGACCTTTCATTCGGCCAATCAGAGCATCGCTTATCAGATCATGAAAGTGACAGTTAGAATGTGATTTTTGATTGTGCAACCTTGAAAAAAAACCACAGGGTATCCCGAACAACAGTTATCTAGACCATCTATTAGCCATTCCAGAATGTTCTTTTGTTCAGTTTTGATTTTTTATCAGAGTATATGTCAAAGTATGTTTCGAAGCGTAGTTGCCAGTTTTAAACTTGTGCTGTGAAGCTCGATTAAGCTACTTTCTGATTGGCTATTGTCGACTTCTTGTCAGTCATTCAATTGGTCGGTCAAAGTTCGCAAAAGGTCGGTCTGACATGACCCGTAATGGGATGTCCTCAGATCTTTGTTTAGCGGTAGCGAGAACTGAGATCTGATTTTAATGAGATTGTCCCTACAGTATACATTCTTTGAGTTACCAGCTATGTCATAAAAGGATCACGCAACGCAAAATAACCATGATGTATAATAACAGTGAATTAACAGACAGGGACTTGCACATTCTGTCCTCAGATTCGTGGACAAAATGATGTTTCTTTATATGTGTGTGTTTGCAGATTCCATTGCCGCCGATAATGATGTTGATGCTGTTGATGCTGTTGATGATGCTGATGAGGATGAAGAGATGCCGTCAGTGTCCAGTGCAGGGGATGCACCAGCTGCCAAGTCCACGGGGAAGGCAGCTGCCAAGTCTACGGGGAAAACGGCTGCTAAGAGTGGGGGGAAGGCAGGTAAAAGTGGGCGTGGCAAGTCGGGGAGAGTGAAGGAGGAAGAAGAAGATGGAGAGGAAGTGCCTACAAAATCTACAGGTGAGAAGACTTTTTGTCCTTCTGGAACTCTAATAACAACCCTTTTAAACAAATTTTTGACAAGTCTTCCCGATGTTTTTTTGACGTATTGTTAATCACATGCTGCCTTGAACATATTCAGTTTGCATTAATATGTTGCTGCAGCACATTAACTTTTGCGATACTAAGATCAGATGTGAGGTGAACGAAAAGGAAATCATAACAAGGCTTTCTAAGGAAGAGAACGTATAGATAACTTCTTTATTATGAGGAACACAACATTGTTTTCCTCATAATAAAGAAGTTGACATCCATATATTCTCTTCCTTATGTGTATCACTTCTAAATGCCTTTCAAAGACCTGAAGGCTTTCTAACTCTTAGCATTGCATGTCCCATGGGGGTGGTCGGGTAGCCTAGTTGTTAAAGCGTTCGTTCGTCACGCCGAAGACCCGGGTTCGATTCCCCACATGGGTACAATGTGTGAAGCCCATTTCTGGTGTCCACCACCGTGATATTGCTGGAATATTGCTAAAAGCGGCGTAAAACCATACACACTCACACTCACTGCATGTCCCATGATAACACTGCAGCTTATAGGGACAGATAGCTAGACACATACATTTACTGCAGGCCATAAGGCCCACACAATTTGAAACTATGGTCCTGACACGATATGTTCCTATTCCAAACTAAGTGCCTATGGTTGGCAAATTGGGAAATTTGCAATTTATTTCAAAGTTATCGCTTTCCAAAATGCATAGGTATTTTCAATATAGTATTTCAACATTGTATTCAATATTATGATGTAAAATTAAGCATGAAAGACTCTTCAGTGGTCCTGTTATCAGTGAGATACCAGGAACCTCTACAAAGCCATAACATTAGTTTTGACTATAATGGCATGGATTGGTAACATGGGAATTAATACTGACATTTGCTTCAAATTTGTGGTCGAATATCAGCCTCTGAGGAGGTCTAGATAAAGCTAGACTGATCCACAATGGATTACAGGCTGCATTGATTGGTTGTGTTCAGCTCTGCTCCCCAGAGCTCCAGATAACTTTTGGAGCAATTGAGTTTTTACTCTATTTTAATTGGGTTATAACATTTTTCATTGAGTAACCAATATAATTTCACTCATCCATTCATCACTCTTTTGGGTTTTTCCCAAAATTAGTGAACATTTTAAGATTTAAAAAAAATGAAATAATGTTTTAGATGTATATAACTGTTCTAAATATATAGGCTTGACTCAGAAAGTCAATTAGCTTATAATTGTGTTTCGGAAATTAGCTCCGTTGTACGCATGATACAAAAGCTTCATTGGGTATTTACGCATGCTGTGTTTATACATTGGAGTTTTTCATTTTATGCACACATTTTTGTATGCAAGATGATTGAAAGTAATTGGGTTTTGAATATATTTGGGGAGTATTTTACGCAAATATGCAGCATATCTGTAGCTCTGCTCCTGTTTTCAGTGAGGACAGTGGTGGTGAAGGGGAAAGCCCCCGTGGACCCCGAGTGCAGCATGATGCATAAGACACACGTCTACTTTGATGCCAAGGATGTCTGGGATTGCATGCTCAACCAGGTGAGATTACTGAAGGCTGTACCCCTGGCGATGCCTTGTTGGATTGGTCTAAGCAACCTATGCTGGTCCGATGTAGTGACTAATGGTCAGACTCAGTGACTTGGTTGATTGTGTGTCATCGTGACCAGAAGACATTTGCTAATGTGGACATTCACTAATCCAGACATTTGCAAATCCAGAAATTCGCTAATCTGGAAGATATTACAGGGAACTGTTCAGACTGAGAGGGTTTTACTGTACAGAATAAGCCTCACAACCAAGTTGTTTGAGTTTACCCAATGTTTAACAGTGATACAGTGTTCTCATCAGGAATAACAAGACTAACAGGGTCTAGAGTAACAGCGTCCTGACTAACAGCGTCCTGACTAACAGCATCCTGACTAACAGCGTCCAGACAAACAGTGTCCTGACTAACAATGTCCTGACCAACAGGGTCCAGACTGACAGGGTCCAGATTAACAGGATTCTGACTAACACTGTCCAGACTAACAGGGTCCAGGTTAACAGGATTCTGACTAACACTGTCCAGACTAACAGGGTCCAGATTAACAGGATTCTGACTAACACTGTCCAGAATAACAGGGTCCAGACTGACTGGGTTCAGGCTAACAGGATTCTGACTAACTGTCCAGGCTAACAGGGTTCAGACTGACAGTTTCCTGACTAACAGGGTCCAGATTGACAGTGTCCAGGTTAACAGTGTCCAGGCTAACAGTGTCTAGAGTAGCAAGGTGTCACTGTGCGAAGCAAGGTCTGAAAAACTTCTTGTATTTGAGGTGATATTGTTGTTGGTTTGTTGTTTTATGCCGCACTCACCAATATTCCAGCTATATGACGGCAATCTGTAAATAATAGAGTCTGGACCAGACAATCCAGTGATTGATATCATGAGCATCGATCCACGCAATTGGAATCGATGACATGTTTCAACCACGTCAGTGAGCCTGACCACCCGATCCCGTTTGTCGCCTCTTACGACAAGCACAGTCGCCTCTTACGGCAAGCATGGGTTGCCGATGACCTATTCTACCCCGGATCTTCACGGGTCTGAGGTGATATATACAGCACAACAATAACACGCGGTTACACAACCTGAGAAAACTTGATTGTTTGTTTGTTTGTTTTTCAGACTAATGTGGGTAACAACAACAACAAGTACTACTTGATCCAGATCCTGGAGGAAGACGGCAAGAAGGCTTTCTACGTGTGGCAGCGATGGGGGCGCGTCGGCTACAAGGGGCAGAACAACCTCGTACCCTGTGGTGGCGATCTCGACAAGGCCAAGAACATCTTCTGTAAGAAGTAAGTAAACATCTAACTGCAGCTCTCTAGACTTGGGGACACGGCTAGCCCAGTCATTGGAGTTTGAATTCGTTTGAATTTGTTGGTCTGATTTCCAGATTCTCCTTGATTGTAATCCTTAATTTCCTAGCATCATTGCTGGCACAGGTGGCCCAGTCATCTAGGTTACACACAACCAAATGTTTTCCCATACTTAACGTTATATTTTGTATTAAAATAACTAGGCATTTGATTGATAATCAAAATCTATATTGTGATAAAACGGGTCTTACTTTGCGAAGTGCATCAAATCGCGTGAGCACCCTGACTGAAAACATGAACATGACTGAAAATATCTGTTGACGAGGTGGCAGTACAAATGTTTTGCAATTCCTGCAATCGGACAGAATCTGTTATAATGTATGGTTTGGGTTTTGATAGTTTTATCTTTTTCAGATTTTCAGACAAAACTAAGAATGACTGGGCGTCACATGACAGTTTTGTGAAGATGGCTGGGAAGTACGACATGCTGACCATGGACTACTCCACTGGGAATGGAAAGGTGAGAACTGACCGCTGTGTCTGACCAATGGGGGAAAAGTGAGAACTGACCATGGGCTACCACTGATGGAGGAAAGGTGAGATCTGACCACAATCTCCGGGTGATGGGGGAAATGGGTGAGAACTGACCGCTGTGTCCGACCAATGGGGGAAAAGTGAGAACTGACCGCTGTGTCTGACCAATGGGGGAAAAGTGAGAACTGACCACGGCCTCCCGCCAATGGGGGAAAAGTGAGAACTGACCACAGTCTCCCGCCGATAGGGGAAAGGTGAGAACTGACCACGGTCTCCCGCCAATGAGGGAAAGGTGAGAACTGACCACGGTCTCCCACCGATAGGGGAAAGGTGAGAACTGACCATGGTCTCCCGCCAATGGGGGAAAGGTGAGAACTGACCACGGTCTCCCACCGATGGGGGAAAAGTGAGAACTGACCACAGTCTCCCGCCAATGGGGGAAAGGTGAGAACTGACCACAGTCTCCCGCCAATGGGGGAAAGGTGAGAACTGACCACAGTCTCCCGCCGATGGGGGAAAGGTGAGAACTGACCACGGTCTCCCGCCGATGGGGGAAAGGTGAGAACTGACCACATTCTCCCACCGATGGGGGAAAGGTGAGAACTGACCACGGTCTCCCGCCGATGGGGGAAAGGTGAGAACTGACCACGGTCTCCCACCGATGGGGGAAAGGTGAGAACTGACCACAGTCTCCCACCGATTGGGGAAAGGTGAGAACTGACCACGGTCTCCCACCGATGGGGGAAAGGTGAGAACTGACCACAGTCTCCCACCGATGGGGGAAAGTTGAGAACTGACCATGGTCTCAATCCAACAATAGAAGAAGAGAGCATACGCAAATATGATCCACTGATGATATGTTGTATATTGACAGGCAGAGGACACAGTGGACGCACCTAGCATTAAGAAAGAAGACAGCGTGAAAGTGCCGGACTGCACCCTGGACACAAGGCTACAGGTAAGACCCTGGTCTGTATGGATGATATGCCGACAGTATCGATGTTCACTGAATAGCTTGTCAATATGTTGGTGCATGGCTTTTGTCGCTATGACCTTTTTGATTTAATAAGCACCATGGGGGATCATGGCAAGAATAGTTCCCCATGAGACAAACAAAAGTCTTCTGGTGTTTTGGTTGTGCTTAAAATGACTGAACAATGCAGCTTGTTTTCTCTGTTTTTATCCCCCGCCCAACAAAGTTATGTTCATTATGCTCATTATGTCAATCACTAGAGTGTCTGGTCCAGACTCCAGACTGCTGTTAAATAGCTGAAATATTGCTGAGTGCGGCGTTAAACAACAAACAAACAAATCAATGTTGCACTACTGTCTATCATGTCTATTACCTTGCTGTTCTATGTTGCTGACATGAGCTGATATTTGACTTGTGTTGGCAGGATCTGGTCAACCTGATCTGTGATATCAAATCTATGGAGGATGCTGTCGTTGAGATGAAATACGATGCCAAGAAGGCTCCATTAGGTGGGTAACAGAGTTGTCTCCCTTTCTTGGTGTAAAAATTTGAAAAGATTTACAAACACATCTAGGAGACAATGGTATATTCTTGGTTTAGGTAAACTATGCTGTCTGTCTATGCTAGATGTATCATTGCTGGGAAAGTGTGACATAAACCCTACTCGCTCAATCATCATAAGTTAAAAGATGGTACTTGTTGTTATTCTGTTTGGCGCTCGGCATTAAGGGGTTAAAACAAGGACTGGTCAGCTACGAGTCGGCCACGTCATAACAAAAGACGTTTAAAGATGGTACTTGTTGTTACCCTGTCTGGTGCTCGGCATTAATGGGCTAAAACAAGGACTGGTCGGCTCAGAGTCAGTATACTGGGTCTGAGTGGGGTATTCATGTTAAACTGCGGCATGGTATCTCAGTGGGCTAGCACTATAAAATCGGCATCAGTCCTGACTGGTACAAGAAGCCACACACACACACGTGCATGCACGTCGCTATATAAGTGCAATAATCTTGGACGCGACGTTAAACCCAATTTCACCTCCCCTCACCTCAATCATCATAAGACTAAAGACTGCCTCCATGGTCTAGCATCTGCCCAGAGAACGGAAGTTCAGTGGTTCGAATACCTGGCCATGTGATACCCAAATACATTGAAAGATGGCACTTGTTGTTACCCTGTCTGGCACTCAGCATTAAGGGGCTAAAACAAGGAATGGTACCCTCAGAGTTAGTATCGTGTGTCTGAGTGGGGTATCCATGTTAAGTTGCGGCATGGTATCTCAGTGAGCCAGCATACGTTCAGACTAATACAAGCACCCGCATACAAACATGCACACGCACATGCACCCACGCACGCACCCACGCACGCACCCATGCACGCACACAATATAAGTGAAATCTTGAACACAACATTCAACCATTTCATCTCACCTCATAGATTAAGCAAGACCGTTTCAGGGATCAGGTCAGTTCATCTTCCAGGATATATAGGGACTGATTGTCAACAATTGTTCTAAAGATTTTACAAAATTTGGTAATGATCCAATCTCATTAAAATCAGATCTTAGTTTTCGCTACCCCAAAACAAAGATCTGAGGACATCCCATTTCGGGTCACGTCAGAACGACCATTTCGCGAATTTTGACCGACCAATGAAATGACTGACAAGAAATCGACATTAGCCAATCAGAAGGCAGCTTTCTTGAGCTTTACGACACTAGTTTCAAACTGGCGACCACTGGCGATTCCGACAGTCACTTTCATGATCTAGTAAGCGACGCTCTGATTGGTTGGATGAAAGGTCGTTCTGACGTGACCCCTAATGGGATGTCCTCAGATCTTTGTTTAGCAATAGCGAGAACTAAGATCTGATTTTAATGAGATTGGTAATGATCTAAAACAACATCTTATCTAAAGTCGAATAAACCAATGTCCAAATGCTGTTTTTCGCTAGCGAAATCCTGCAGTTTCATGTAATGTGACACTGAGATAGAGGATCCACGTGATGGCTCAGTGATGCCCTGTTGTTGTAGGCAAGCTGACGGAGAACCAGATCAAGTTTGGCTACTCGGCCCTGAAAGTGATTGAAGGATTGATCAACAAGGGGGACATGAGCAGGAAGCTGACGGATGCTTGTAACGACTTCTACACTCGCATACCTCACAATTTTGGGTAAATATCAGCAGATATATCTTGTTGCATCTTCCTGTATTATCAGATCATGATTTGTAAAATCTGTCGAACAGATTGTGGCAATGTGGTTCTAAAATGACCGAAAATACTTGAATCTGATTGGTCTATCAGTTTTTAAATCAAAATAACCTCCTCTGATTGCAGCAGCTGATTTGACTGCTGCATCACTGCTGGAGCTAATATTTTAGAAAAGTACTTTTTTCTTTGTCTCTGCTGGGGGAAATGCAGTATGCTTATGTCTTGTGATAGGTAGTGTGTGTGTGAACCATGGTACCTGTCCACTAGTGAAATGTCGGATACGATGAGAATCCAATTGTGTGTGATTTGTTAAAACACTGTAACCCTCTGAACATATGTCTTTGTGGAATGTACACCACTGATAGCAATTAGGGTCCTGGGTTCTTTAAGGCTTTCTGAGACTTTTATTCTAGGGACCACAAGAACAATTTTCTCATATACACAGGTTTGTTTTATTATGATGATAGTGATGATAATGATGATTGCGAAGATTAAGAATGTGAAAATGATGATGATGATTGTGAAGATGATGATGATGATGATTGTGATGATTGTGAAGATGATGATTGTGATTGTGATGATGATCTGGGAATAACACCACTGTCTCCTACAGGATGAAGACCCCGCCAATCATCAGGACCAAGCAGGAGGTGAAGGACAAGATTCAGCTGCTGGAGGTGAGTCACCCCTCACTCACCCTCCCCCTTCACCCTCACCCCTCACCCCTCACTCTCACCCCTCACCCCTCACCCCTCACTCTCACCCCTCACCCTCACCCCCTCACCCCTCACCCCTCACTCTCACCCCTCACTCTCACCCCTCCCCCTCACCCCTCACCCTCATCCCTCACCCTCACCCCTCACTCTCACCCCTCACCCCTCACTCTCACACCTCACCCTCACACCTCACCCTCACTCTCCACCCTCACCCATCAATCTCACCCCTCACTCTCACTCCTCACTTTCAACCCTCACTCTCACCCCTCACTCTCACCACTCACTCTCACTACTCACTCTCACCCCTCCCCCTCACCCCTCACTCTCACCCCTCCCCCTCACCCCTCACCGTCACCCCTCACTCTCACCCCTCACAGTCACCCCTCACCCTCACCCCTCACTCTCACCCCTCACAGTCACCCCTCACCCTCACCCCTCACTCTCACCCCTCACAGTCACCCCTCACCCCTCACCCTCACTCTCACCCCTCACTCTCACCCCTCACCCTCACCCCTCACCCTCACTCTCACCCCTCACCCTCACTCTCCACCCTCACCCATCAATCTCACCCCTCACTCTCAACCCTCACTCTCACCCCTCACTCTCACCCTCAAACCTCACTCTCACCACACACTCTCACCCCTCACCCTCACTCTCACCCCTCACCCTCACTCTCCACCCCTCACCCTCACTCTCCAACCTCACCCATCAATCTCACCCCTCACTCTCAACCCTCACTCTCACCCCTCACCCCTCACCCTCACTCTCCACCCTCACCCATCAATCTCACTCCTCACTCTCAACCCTCACTCTCACCCCTCACTCTCACCCCTCACTCTCACCCTCAAACCTCACTCTCACCCCTCACTCTCACCCCTCACTCTCACCCCTCACCCTCACCCCTCACCCCTCACTCTCACCCCTCACCCCTCACCCTGACTCTCCACCCTCACCCATCAATCTCACCCCTCACTCTCACTCCTCACTCTCACCCCTCACTCTCACCACTCACTCTCACCCCTCACTCTCCACCCTCACCCATCAATCTCACCCCTCACTCTCACTCCTCACTCTCACTCCTCACTCTCACCCCTCACTCTCACCCCTCACTCTCACCCCTCACTCTCAACCCTCACTCTCACCACTCACTCTTACCCCTCATTCTCACCCTCAAACCTCACTCTCACCCCTCACTCTCACTCCTCACTCTCATCCCTCACTCTCACCCCTCACTCTCACCCCTCACTCTCACCCCTCACTCTCACCCCTCACCCCTCACCCCTCACCCCTCACCCTCATCCTCACCACTCCCTCTCACCCCTCACCCCTCACCACTCACTCTCACCACTCCCTCTCACCCCTCACCCTCACCACTCCCTCTCACCACTCACTCTCACCACTCCCTCTCACCCCTCACTCTCACCACTCCCTCTCACCCCTCACTCTCACCACTCCCTCTCACCCCTCACCCTCACCACTCCCTCTCACCCCTCACTCTCACCACTCCCTCTCACCCCTCACCCTCACCACTCCCTCTCACCACTCACTCTCACCACTCCCTCTCACCCCTCACTCTCACCACTCCCTCTCACCCCTCACTCTCACCACTCCCTCTCACCCCTCACCCTCACCACTCCCTCTCACCCCTCACCCTCACCACTCCCTCTCACCCCTCACTCTCACCCTCACACCTCACTCTCACCACTCACTCTCACCACTTACTCTCACCCCTCACTCTCACCCCTCACCCTCACCCTCACCCTCACCACTCCCTCTCACCCCTCACTCTCACCCATCACTCTCACCCCTCACTCTCACCCCTCACCCCTCACCCTCACCACTCCCTCTCACCCCTCACCCCTCACCACTCCCTCTCACCCCTCACCCTCACCACTCCCTCTCACTCTCACCCCTCACCCCTCACCACTCCCTCTCACCCCTCACCCTCACCACTCCCTCTCACCCCTCACCCCTCACCCTCACCCTCACCCCTCACCCTCACCACTCACCCTCACCCTCACCACTCACCCTCACCACTCCCTCTCACCCCTCACCCCTCACCCTCACCCCTTACCCTCACCCCTCACCCTCACCACTCACTCTCACCCCTCACCCTCACCACTCACTCTCACTCTCACCCCTCACCCCTCACCCCTCACCCCTCACCCCTCACCCTCACTCTCACCCCTCACCCCTCACCCCTCACCCCTCACCACTCACTCTCTCTGTGGTGAGTCTGGCTGAGTAGGCCCCAATTACAACTGTGACCTGTCGCCATGGGGCTTTGTTCATGCTGTCAATCACCAGTTTGCCTGGCCCAGATTTTATTACTCATAGCTGAAAGGATTGCCAAATTTGTTAGTCCCTTAGTCATGCCAGTGAGTGAGTGGTTTTACGCCGCTTTTAGCAATATTCAAGCAATATCACGGCGGGGGACACCAGTAATGGACTTCACACATTGTACCCATGTCGGGAATCGAACCCGGGTCTTCGGCGTGATGAGCGAACGCTTTAACCACTAGGCTACCCGACCGCCCCCCCTTAGTCATGCCAGGATGAGCTGATCATGTTTACTAAGTACTAAGAGACTTTGTATTGCAAATTAAGAGAAAAATGTAATAATTGAATCTCGGTTTGTGTGATCATGTGTGACAATGTTCCTGATTGTGCTTCCCAGGCCCTGAGTGACATAGAGATCGCAATCAAGATGCTGAAGGAAGGAGACATGTCCGAGAACCCGGTAGACAGACACTACCATGCACTCAAATGTGGCCTTGAACCGCTGGACAAGAGTCACGGTGACTTCAAGGTGAGCAAACAAAACACAAACCAAACCAAGTCTCTCTGACCCTTGTGCTTCATTCTTGTTGTAAAGGTGAGTATGAGATAACCCAACCTCATTAAAATCAGATCTAGGTTCTCGCTGCCGCTAAACTAAGATCTGAGGTCATCCCGTTACGGTCACGTCAGAATGACCTTTCGCGAACTTTGACCAACCACCGAAATGACTAACAAGAAGTCGACATCAGCCAAATAGAAAGCAGCTTTCTCGAGCTTTACGGCACACGTTTCAACCTGGCGACTTCCATTTCAGACTAGCCTTAAAAACAATGTTGAAAACTGAACAAATGAACATTCCGAAATGTTCAATATATGGTTGAGATTGTATGGCAGTGCTTCCCACGTACTTTTCAACGCCTCCTCCATTCAAATGTTTATCGCACGGTGGCAAGAGATAGACGAGAATTTCGACGGAATCAGTCGTACGGGCTGTAACTGTCAACGTTTTCGAGGTTTTCGACTTTCACTTTCATGATCTGGTAAGCGATGCTTTGATTGGTCGGATGAAATGTCGTTCTGACGTGACCCTTTATGGGATGTCCTCAAATCTGATTTTAATGAGATTGGAGATTACCCAAATAGCGATTATGATGGAAGACAGACTCACTGCTGTTTCAGTATTGCTCTCTTCCCTAAAAGCCTTGTCATGCTACATTTGTTGCTAAGGCATATTAGGCCACAATGATATTGCTGCAGTATTCCATCAATCTTTGACATACCCGTGAGAATTTGGGGTAAGAAGTGGTCTCCAGGAGTGGATGCTTGTTGTAAGATGACACTCAGTGGATCGGGTGGTCCGGCTTGCTGTTTCAGTTGATTGCATGTCATAGTACTCGGGCATTGATCATTGCTCATACTATCAATCAGTGGATTGTCTGATCTAGATTATTTATTGCGTGAAATTGCTGAACATTGAAGACTGGTCTTCAGCAACCCATACTTGCCATAAGCGGCGACAACGCTTGTCGTGAAAAGGACGAACGGGATCCGGTGGTCAGGCTCGCTGACTTAGTTGATGCATGTCATCGTGTCCCAATTGCGTTGATCGACGCTCATGATATCAATCACTGGATTGTTTGGTCCAGATTTATTATTTACAGACCGCCATAACAACAAACAACAGACAACCGTTGTTGTAAGTGGCGACTAGAGGACTTTCGGATGACCAAAATGGCTGCTATGATGGATTTGCATTGTCAGGCTTTGGTGTCCTGACAGAAGATGGTTTTCAAAATACGAATTGTTATTTGGGAAACATGGCAGTCCTGCTCCAATATTTGCTTGTATGCAGCTGTCTACAGTGTCTACAGTGTCTACAGTCTACATTCCCAAAATCCTTTACTTGTTTTAGTGGGACACGGGTGGGGTTGCGTCCCAGAAACCTATGATTGTGGGTTCGAATCCAAGTTCACCCCGATTATGTTTCTAGGTTTGTCAGCACCATACCCGTGCTCGTGGGTTTCACCGAAGTGGTAAAAGTCTGAGACCTGCATCACTTCGGGCTTTCCTCCCACATTAAGCCGACACACCGTGATATAACTGGAATACTGTTAAAAGTGGCGTTAAACTCACTCACTCACTCACTCACTGACATATTTCAGCTGCTGAATGAGTACCTGCAGTCCACGCACGCGGCCACACACAACATGTACAAGATGCAGCTGATGGACGTCTTCAGCTGCCAGAAGGACGGGGAGGCCTCCAAATTCGTGGACCACGGAAACAGGTTGGTCCTGTTGATCAAAGAGAATTGGGTGGGCAGTAGGCATGGGTATTGGAGGTTAAAATTGTTTCACAATAGTTTGCGATGCACAAGGCCATATTGTGATACATATCACGATATATATTGTATAATTCTAAATTCAGAAGCAATCTGACACATTAAGGTATAAATTGAAGTTCGAAATTGGAACAAAACAAGATGCTGGTACAACATGATGTATACTCAGTCAATAAATACACAGGCCTACAACAGCGAAGGCATTTGGCAAGAAAATAACATTAAACACACGATAAGAATCGCATTTTAAAATCACCCGATATACCGAGCATTAAAACATGATATTGTGATAGGTATTATGGAAAGAATGAACCTCAATTTACTGATATACTGGTAATACCGCTTAATGGTTAAGCTGTTTGCTCGTTAAGCTTAAAAATGCAATGTTTAAATACAATGTTAATATGCAGTGTTTAAATACAATGTTAAAATACAATCTTAATATACAGTGTTAAAATACAATCTTAATATACAGTGTTAAAATACAATCTTAATATACAGTGTTCAAATACAATCTTAATATACAGTGTTAAAATACAATGTTAATATACAGTGTTCAAATACAATCTTAATATACAGTGTTCAAATACAATGTTAATATACAGTGTTCAAATACAATCTTAATATACAGTGTTCAAATACAATGTTAATATACAGTATTAAAATACAATCTTAATATACAGTGTTAAAATACAATGTTAATATACAGTGTTAAAATACAATCTTAATATACAGTGTTAAAATACAATGTTAATGTACAGTATTAAAATACAATGTTAATATACAGTGTTAAAATACAATGTTGATATACAGTGTTAAAATACAATGTTAATATACAGTATTAAAATACAATGTTAATATATGATAAGGAAGAGAAGTTATGGATGTCAACTTCTTTATTATGAGGAATACAACGTTTTGGAATATATACTGACGCCTTCATCAGGTGAAATGTTAAACATTTCACCTGATGAAGGAGTAAGTTTATACTCTGAAATGTTGTAATCCTCATAATAAAGAAGTTGACATCCATAAATTCTCTTCTTATGTGTATCACTTCTAAATGCCTTTCAAAGACTTTATATATGATGTTAAAGTACAATGTTAATATACGATGTTAATATACAATGTTAAAATACCACTGAAATTAAGAACAAAGTTACAGAACCACATTTGCCTGTCAAAGAGTTCTATTTATTTATTTAAATTCCTAGATAGAATCCTGGAATTGCTTCCGTCAGTATTGATCAGTTGCATCTGTGCCCACTTGCACTGAGCAATCTTCACATTACATCAGGAACAACTCCCACAGTTCAACATAGAGCTGTAAGCACTGGTCTGTGTCACCTGGTAAAACCTAATTCAACCATTTCTTCACTTCCTTTTCCCAGAATGCTGTTGTGGCATGGATCGCGGTTGACCAACTGGGTCGGAATTCTAAGCCAGGGACTACGCATCGCACCGCCGGAGGCTCCTGTGACTGGATACATGGTAGGAACAGTCTCAATACTGGGATTGGATGGTCAATTCTATGATGTCTGTCACCGTGACATTCAGCGCTCTGTGTGTGATCCTAACATTCAATATATCGTGTCCCTAAAACACATTCAGCTGTAGTGATGTTATGGGACCTAGTTAGTTAGTTATGTCTCGCCCAAGTTTGACTGTTACGTCTGCTGTGGTTGTATAAACATTTCATGTTTCATGTATTTTGACACTTGTTTTTTCTCCTCCAGTTTGGCAAGGGTGTTTACTTCGCTGACATGTCCAGTAAAAGTGCAAACTACTGCTTCACATCGAGAGCAAAAAATATCGGTCTCCTCCTGTTGTGTGAAGTAAGTTTTTAGCTTGAGAATATTTATCTTTTTGCTAGAAATAATTCTTTGCAACTGGCACTGATGTAAGTCATTATGGAAGGTGACATTTTGTGTATACATGACAAAGTTCAGTCTGAACAGAACTAGTGAGTTTGTAAGTCCTGCAGCTCTTTATGTGTACTAGGATGTAAAATTGTAGTCAAATAGCATCAGTCAGCCACTTGTATTGTGAGATTTATCGGAACAACTTACAGATGACTTCAGATCAAGACCTTTGTATCATTGATTGATTTCACTTTTTTCCCAAAGTATTAATCTATTAATGTGCGAATGTGTGGCAAATGGCATTCAGTGTCAAGAAGCCTGTGATTGTTCCTCAAGGCAGTCCCAGCTGTACGGGGGCTGTTCCTCAAGGCAGTCCCAGCTGTACGGGTGCTGTTCCTAAAGACAGTCCCAGCTGTATGGGGGCTGTTCCTCAAGGAAGTCCCAGCTGTATGGGGGCTGTTCCTCAAGGCAGTCCCAGCTGTATGGGGGCTGTTCCTCAAGGAAGTCCCAGCTGTACGGAGGCTGTTCCTCGAGGCAGTCCCAGCTGTACGGGGGCTGTTCCTCAAGGCAGTCCCAGCTGTATGGGGGCTGTTCCTCGCAGTCCCAGCTGTATGGGGGCTGTTCCTCAAGGCAGTCCCAGCTGTATGGGGGGTGTTCCTCGAGGCAGTCCCAGCTGTATGTGGGCTGTTCCTCAAGGCAGTCCCAGCTGTACGGGTGCTGTTCCTAAAGGCAGTCGCAGCTGTATGGGGGCTGTTCCTTAAGGCAGTCCAAGCTGTACGGGGGCTGTTCCTCAAGACAGTCCCAGCTGTATGGGGGTGTTCCTCAAGGCAGTCCCAACTGTATGGGGGCTGTTCCTCAAGGCAGTCCCAGCTGTATGGGGGCTGTTCTTCAAGGCAGTCCCAGCTGTATGGAGGCTGTTCCTCGAGGCAGTCCCAGCTGTACGGGGGCTGTTCCTCAAGGCAGTCCCAGCTGTATGGGGGCTGTTCCTCGCAGTCCCAGCTGTATGGGGGCTGTTCCTCAAGGCAGTCCCAGCTGTATGGGGGCTGTTCCTCAAGGCAGTCCCAGCTGTATGGGGGGCTGTTCCTCAAGGCAATCCCAGCTGTATGGGGGGTGTTCCTCATGGCCGTCCCAGCTGTATGGGGGCTGTTCCTCAAGGCAGTCCCAGCTGCAACTGTTGTAGGCCTGTGTTAAAGGGAGACTAGGCTCAGGGTTATTGGCAGACCCAGCATTTTAAAAGACCCTAAACACTATTTTTGTGTCTGTTTTATGATGTGTAACAATTTAGCAGTTAATGTTTGCCCTAATTACACAGTAACAATTTCTCGGTGTCACACATGGTATATCAGTGTCTTGGATTGGGCAAAGTTTGGCTCCGTACCATGGAACAGAGACCCCCTTTAAAGTATGACAGTTCTGAGTGTCACTATAATTAGTTTGAAACACAGAACCCTGGAGGTCATGGATCAATGTTTGCATATTTCCTTGTGTACCAGGTGTCGCTGGGGGCGATGAACGAGATCCTCGCTGCTGACTACAACGCCGCCTCGCTGCCGGCTGGGAAACACAGTGTGAAGGGAGCAGGGAAGATAGCACCCGACCCCAAGTGTCATAAAACAATGTAAGTATTCTCCCCAGGGAGCAGAGAATGCATTTGGTGTGCATGCTGACATGTTGAACCTGCTAATGATGTGCGTTGTAAGCATGCCTCCTGTTGTGTGGAAGGGTGGTGAGGTGGCTATGCCGTTAAAGTGTTCGCTCATCTCGTCAGAGGCCCGGGTTTGTTTCCCCACCTGCATACGAAGTGTGTAGACCCGTGAAGATCCGGGCTAGAATAGGTCTTCAGCAACCCATGATTGCCGTAAAAGGTGACTATGCTTGTCGTAAAAGGCGACTAACAGGATCTGGTGGTCAGGCTCGCTGACTTGGTTGATGCATGTCATCGATCCCAATTGCGTGGATCGATGCTCATTATATTAATCACTGGATTGTCTGGTCCAGACTCGAATATTTACAGACTGCCATCATATAGCTGGAATATTGCTGTGTGCGGCGTTAAACAACAAACCAACCAACCAACCAACAATGTGTGAAGCCCATTGCTGGTGTCTCCTGCCAAGATTTTGCTGGAATGTTGCTAAAGGCGGCGTAAAACCATACTCATTCACTGTGCTGTAGAGACTTATATATTTATTCTCGCCAATGCAAAAAGCTCACAGACTTGGAGATTTAATAATGTTATGTTGCTTGGGACCTGAGAATTGTCCAGTCACCAGCTGAGAGGCTGAGGGTCACATGACCGGTTGTCTATAATTGTATGTGGCAGAGGAGTGTAATGTTTGGAACATAGAGTGAGGCCGATTAGGGTGATGAAGGCTGTAACTGGTGGATAAGTATGCTATGACTACCTGAGGTGAGGTGAAATTGGTGTTCATTGCACTTATATGGCAATGGTCAGGGGTGTGTCTGTCTGTCTGTCTGCTTGTACGAGCCTAATGCAAGTTTTATAGTGCTAGTCCACTGAGATACTATGCTGCAGTTAACATGAATACCCCTCTTAGACACAGTATACTGACTCCGAGCCGACCAGTCCTTGTTTTAGCCCATTAATGCCGAGCACCAGACAGGGTAACAACAAGTACCATCTTTAAACGTCTTTTGTTATGACGCCGACTCATAGCTGACCAGTCCTTGTTATATCCCTTTAATACCAATGCTGGGAACCAAGTACCATCTTTTATCGTCTTTTGGTATGCCGCATCCGGAGATCAAACCACCAACTCTCCACTGTCCTGGCAGATGCTGTATCCACTAGACCACGTGGGTGGTCAAAGTGAGGTGTGGTGGCCCTGAGGTTAAGGTGTTAGTTCATCATGCCAGAGATCAGGTTCAGTTCCCATATTAGTACAAGGTGTGAAGCATCTTGTTGGTGACAACCCGTACAGTCTGCAACATTGATGGAATATTGCTAAATATGGAGAACTTAAAAAACCTATTAGGACCGTCAGTCAGGCAATCACTTGTCACAATGTGGCTAAATACAGTCAAGACTCGTTAAATCCGACAATCGGCTTTATCCAACACTAATGATGAGAACTGATTAAATCAATGCTATTTAGACCCATTAATCCGACAGTCTCGCACTCCGACTCCGACACACCTAATTTGCAACGAATTACTGAAATCACTCATTAATCAGTCTCGTTTATCCGACACAGTGATCAGCGTACTCCGTGGTCATCTGCCCGCGAATACACAGCCAGTGTTTTGATGCAAGACGAGTCAGCTGGTAGCTGCATATTACAAAGCTGCAGAGATAAACTTTGCTTAACAATAAACAATTAATGCTTTAAATGAAGAAAACAGGATTAATCATATGCTTAGATTGCCTCAATCTCATTAAAATCAGGTACAAGTTCTCGCTATCGCCGAGGACATCCCATTACAGGTCACGTCAGAAGAACCTTTCGCGAACCATGACCAACAAACGTTGGTACAACTTATTCTCTTTCAGATTAAATCCTCCTTGGGGCACTTATTGCATTTTCCTGGCTCAAGAAAATCTACATGACATAGTTGTAACCATTTTCCTTAATAAAAATTGTTACCACACAAAAAACTTTGTTTTTGTATGATATACGTCCACCCTTATGGTGCCTCACCCTCCACGGCGCGTCATGCCAAGGGAAGCAACTCTCACCCAAATCACTTTCCTTATGTCATCTGACAAAGACAGACGTGCTGTTTTTTTCAAGACAATATAAAGACATGATTATCGTTCGTACAAGAACCATGGCAGACCAAACTGTATGTATGGTACATTTCTTTCATGCAAAGGCCTAATACCTCGCATTGTAAAGTTATAAAGTTGTAATTATGTGACACGTGTACGATACCTTTGAAATAAGGCCGTCGTAGCGTCCATTTTGTAGTGCCACGTATGATATATGTAACACCAGGGCCATCAAAAACGGCTTCGGTTTTTTAATCTATATCATCGGGCTTTAGCCTACAATCTTTTCCTTTAAATAAACCCAAGGTGGTGTGTTAATTATTTTAAATTACACTTACCTTTTTTACGGGTTTTCTACACCTTCGCCCGTAACACGCCCACTTTGGTGTTATAATTATACTACGACATTGGCTATTAGTATCGCGTTACCAATCGCATTCTAAATTACGCCTTTGCTTCTAGTTACACAATTTATGCACGTATCTTTCCGATCTTTCAATCGCACTGATACACTTTATTACCCTTCCCGCCAAACTCAAAAATTACGGTCTTTTTTACAGACCTTCAAACTGTGTACGGGGTGCTCGGCTTCGATTCCCCCCCAAGACAGGCATGATACCTGCATAAAGTGTTTGGCCGAAGACGGGCATGACGATGGGTCATGCCCGATCTGTGTTGCATTTACACCACGGGCGCAAAAAAAGAGAAATGTGGACCTCTTACACTTTAAGGGTCTATTGAAGGCGGGGGTGGACATTAGATCGGCAAAGACCGCCCCGCCCCCCTCAAAAAAAGTAAGAAAGGGTAAAAAGGCAGCTGAGACTGTCTCCTCCGCTCCCTCCCCGGGGGCCGGGGGAGAAGGCTCTAGGGTCCCCGTCACAATCACTGCACCCTCTCCTGCACCGTCTTTGGCAGACATCTCTGCCTTGTTGAGGTCGCAGATGGCGTCGATGATGGAGGAGGTAAAGTCTCAGCTCCGAGAGGAGTTGCGGACCGAGCCTTCCCCGTTGTCGGCGCCGGACGCGGCTTCGAGACCTTGTGATATGCCCGGCGTCGGCCGAGGCAGGCCACTTGGTCTCGGGGACGAACTCAGACCGGGCTTCGGCGCCGGCTCGAGGTCGCTCCCCAGCGGAGGGGTGGCGGGCACTGGCCCGTTCACTACCGACGCACAGTTCTCCCTAGCGGAGCCAGACGCCTCTTCCGAGGCCGAGGCTTCCTCTAGCGGATTTCTAGCCCAGAGCCAGGTGGGTTCCCTTGAACCCCCGGCACCTCGGGACCGGGACTCGGCTTCGGGCCGGGTGCAGCCCGGGGATGCGAAGGCCCAGGCCTTCGGGCGTCCCCTTCCGACTTCGTCTGCCTCTTCTCTCGGGGTAGAGTCGATTAATTTCGGCTCGGAATCGAGAGAGGAGGAGTGGATGGAGGAGGGGGGAGACGACTCGGAGACCTCGGGAATATTTTCCTTCGTTTCCTCGTTGAGGCATGTACGGGACAAAATTGTCCAGGTACTGCCTCAGGTGGCTGCGCCCATGCCCCAGTCGGATCCGACTGAGTTCCGCCTTCCGGGGGACGCTTTTGCTCCGAGCAAGGCGCCCCAGGTGCGGCTCCGTATTCTGTCTTCATTGGTGCATGAAGTCATCAACCCTCTGTTGTCGGGTGCCCGCAGGAAGTTCGACCTGCCCGAACTTATTAAGCGGTACCCGTTAGCAGAGGATGGTGATTTTGAGGTACCGGTGGTGGACGAATGCGTCTGGACCTCCGTTACCCTGGGGGGGTCTTCGACCCCCAACTTGGCTAAGGTCAAGCAGGGCCGGCGGTTGCCACCCTTTCCCGCGTGCGGTACGGAGCTGAAGGCTGCTTACGTTTGCTTCGAGGAGCAATATCGTAACGCATGTCAGCAGCTCCGGGTGTCCGTACACTCCGCTTATCTGTCGGCCGTACAGAGGGAGTTAGCGGGAGAGGGGCCGGCCGACTCTTCGGAGTTGGCCGCGCAACTGACGGAGGTACATAGTCATCTTGCGAGGGACGCTATTCGTAGCTGTGCCTCGCAGATGATGTGCGCAGTCATGGGCATGCGCAGGCTGTGGATGTCGGTATCCAAATACTCGGCTTCCACACGCCAGGATCTACGTGCTTTGCCTTATAAGATGGGTGCCACCCTCTTCCCTGGGGCTCAGCAGGTGGTCCGAGAGGCCGCACAGTTGTATGCCTCCATCAAGGATTCTAAGGCCTTGTTGGAGGTACCATGCGTTAAACCGCGTAAGCGGACCTCTCCACTTGCTTCCTCCTACGCTGACGCGCCGGGTCAGAAGTCTGCACCTGCTTGGAAGCAGCCGCTTCCTTCAGGTAAGGGCGCCGGGAGGAGCAAGAGAGGCAGGGGCCGGGGCAGGGCAGCTGGTCGAGGCCAGCAGCCTTTTCGCGGGCCGGGAACCCATCGGGTTCCCATTAGCGCCCGAAGCGCCCCGGGCGGACCCACGGTCGCATGTTTTCGAACTGCCGACAGCCGGGGTCTGCTGCCTCAAGCCGGATGTCCCCGTAGGCGGCCGACTGGCTCTATTCCTGCAGGAATGGGAGACAGTCACATCCAATCCCTGGACCCTGTCCACTCTAAGGGATGGCCATTTGCCTCGGTGGAAACATCATCCGCCCCCCTTCTCCGGGATAAAGCACACTCCGGTGCCTGCTACCCTGGAGAGGGCGGAATTCCTCGGTGCCGAGGTCGACGCACTTCTTATGAAGGCTGCGATCGAACCGGTTCCCGTGGGACAGGAAAGCGAGGGCTTCTACTCGACATATTTCCTAGTCACCAAAAAAGACGGAGGGTTCAGGCCTATTCTCAATCTGAGAAGGCTGAACAAACTTATAGAGGTACCGTCCTTCAGGATGGAGACACTGCGCTCGGTGATCTCAGCTGTCGAGACCGGAGAATGGCTAACGTCAATAGACCTAAAAGACGCCTATCTCCACGTACCCATACACCCCGAGTTCAAGAAATACCTCAGGTTTTCTTTCGACGGGAGGTGTTATCAGTTCAGGGTTCTACCATTCGGGATCGCTACGGCCCCGAGGGTGTTCACCAAGCTGATGTTGATTCCCGCCCAAGTGGCCAGGTCAAAAGGTCGGTTCTGCCATCCGTACCTCGACGACTGGTTACTAAGAGCTCTATCGCAATCCCTGAGTCAGATAGCTACACAACAAGTGATAGATATTCTGATCACTCTAGGGTGGATAGTCAATCTCAAGAAGTCAGATCTGAGCCCTACTCGGAATCTAGTCTTCCTAGGGGCGAATTTCAACACGGTGAGCGGACTTGTATCTCTGTCACAAGATCGCATTACCAAGGTCAGAAGTGTTACTTCCCAGTTCCTTCTGTCCGCCAGTCACACTGCTCGTACATGGCTCCAGTTACTGGGCAACATGGCGGCGACAGTGGATGTGGTTTGGCGGGCGCGCTTGAGAATGAGACCCATTCAACAAGCGCTCCGTCGACTTTGGGTGAACTCGGAAGATCTCGAGACTGTTCTCGAGACTCCGCAGTCAGTGGTGGACCGAGGTCGGGAATCTGTCCCGGGGGCTCCCCCTCGACACTCCCGTGCCGTCTCTCACAGTTCAAACAGACGCGTCACTCTCCGGCTGGGGAGGCGTTCTGAACGATCACACTGCCTCGGGACTATGGTCCCAGCAGGAGATCAAACTGCATATCAATGTGCTAGAACTGAGAGCGGTCAGGTTGGTGTTCCAACGCTTCCTGGATCTGCTTCGTGGCCAAGTGGTGCGTCTAGAGATGGACAACCAAACGGCGATGACTTACATCCGGAAGCAGGGGGGAACGGTGTCTCCGTCGCTTCTCCAAGAGACGTGGCAGTTCCTCCTATGGTGCGACTCACACGTTATCAGGGTGCTACCTGTTTATCTCCCGGGGGTAGACAACGTCCATGCGGACGCTCTGTCTCGCCGGATCCTCGCTCCTCACGAGTGGAGGCTCGACCCGGGGATATTCGGGATTATCTCCCAGTTATACGGGTCGTTCCAGGTGGATCTGTTTGCGTCTGGGGTGAATCACCAGACACCAACGTTCTGCTCCCGAGTCCCCGACCCGAGGTCGGTGGCACCGGACGCCTTCCAGCTAGATTGGACGGACAGAATACTGTGGGCATTCCCCCCAGTACCTCTGATTTCCAAGGTCCTGTCTCAGCTAGCCACTCAGCCTGCGCGACTACTTGTGCTCCTGGCACCCCTTTGGTCGGCGCAGAGTTGGTTTCCAGTCATACTCAGGTTTCTGGCTCAGCCTCCTGTTCTATTACCTTTACGACCGGACCTCCTATCCCAGAACGAGGCCCTCCACCCGAATCCCAGGATTCAGTGGGTGGCTTGGCCACTGTCCGGAATCGCCTCCAGGAGAGCGGTATTCCTGCACGAGTTGCAGACACAATACTGGCTTCGCGGAGGGATTCGACAAACGTTCAGTACGAGGATAGATGGGCCTGCTATGCGCGCTGGTGTGTCGATAGAAGGATTGCAGATCCCTTTTCTGCAGATCTCGTAGCCGTACTTGAGTTCCTCCAGTCGCGACTAGATGTCGGCCTGGCCGCATCGACAGTCCGGGGGTACTCTACAGCTATCGCTGCCTTTCACGTCCCCGTCGACGGGGCACTTTTGGGTGCGCACCCATTAGTGCAGCGTTTTTTAGCAGGTGTGGACAGGATCCGACCGCCTGTCCGGCGGATCAGTCCCCCTTGGGAATTGTCAATCGTTCTTGATTGGCTGTCCGGTCCTTCTTTTCGGGATCTGTCGTCTCTCTCTCTTCAGCTGTTGAGCTGGAAGACGGCGTTCCTTGTGGCGGTAACGTCCGGCAGACGGGTAGGCGACATTCACGCAATGTCAGCCGATCCCGAACTAACTGTCTTTCACCGGGACAGGGTCAGTATTCGCCTGCCGGACTCTTACCGTCCTAAGGTCGCACACGCCTTCCACGTGACGGCTCCTATTGAGCTACCTGCTCTTTCACAGCCTTCCTCGTCGGGGACCACTACAAGACATGCTCATGTATTGGATGTCCGCAGGACCCTTAAGTCCTATATCAGCAGAACTAAGGGTATCCGTAAGGATAATCAACTATTTTGCTGTTATGGCGGTAGGAAGGCTGGCTCACCTGCGAGCAAACAAACTATCTCGCGGTGGATAGTCTCTACTATATGTACGGCGTACACGCTTCAAGGCAGGGACCCCCCTACCAAGTTGAAGGCTCATTCGGTTAGAGCAGTGGCTACGACACAAGCGTATGCTGCGGCTCTGCCCATTGAGGAGATCTGCTCCGCGGCTATTTGGAGCCAGCCGAGCACGTTCATCAAACATTACCAACTCGACAAACACTCAAGCGAGCGTGCTCGGTTTGGTCAGTCAGTTCTCCGAACTGGGCAAAGTACTACATCTCTAGCCGATTGAGCCTTCGAGATTTTAGACCGCCCGGACCGGTTATAACACTGCTCAGTAACGGTCCGGATTTTATCTTCTACGGTCGATACAATACCAGCCATTACTAGTCGATAATCATCGTAATTGCACATGCACTCCTTCGATTACGGGGACCCTCTGGCCTAGCTCTGTGCGGGTTTATAGTCTCTCGTGATCTGTGCCCCCAATATCACTTGTTCAAAAAAGTGGGTGGGGTGGGGGGTGTGTGTGTCTCGAGTTCTCGATATGATGAGCCACAAAGAATGGCTCTTTTCATTGTGTATGGTCGATAACGCCCTGTCTCCAGCCCCCGCCTTTCGACGGTGGTGCCTCACGATAAGGTTGGTTCCATTTATTGAACTCTTGTTTATTCATTGAAATAATCAAAATACGATGTATTTTATGCACGCTTGTTGCTGACGGATGCCACTTCCTAGATTATCTTTAGGAGTCTATCTTGATGCAATAAGTGCCCCAAGGAGGATTTAATCTGAAAGAGAATTTTACAAACCTGTAGAGGTTATGAATTCTCTGATGAAATCCTCCTTGGGGCACGGCCACCCGCCTCCCCACATTCCGTCAGCATTAGACATATGGAAAGTGATTTGGGTGAGAGTTGCTTCCCTTGGCGTGACGCGCCGTGGAGGGTGAGGCACCATAAGGGTGGACGTATATCATACAAAAACAAAGTTTTTTGTGTGGTAACAATTTTTATTAAGGAAAATGGTTACAACTAAGTCATGTAGATTTTCTTGAGCCAGGAAAATGCAATAAGTGCCCCAAGGAGGATTTCATCAGAGAATTCATAACCTCTACAGGTTTGTAAAAATTTCGTTTATCTGACATACTCATATGCAACCAGCCATGTCGGATTAACGGGACTTGACTGTATTGCTGACTTTATGTTTCGCTCACTCACTTAATCAGTTGATTATATGTTCTGCAATTGCTTCTCCCGCAGGGCGTGTGGTACAAAGGTTCCGATTGGGAAGGGTATTGACACAGGGACTACAAACCCTCATGGCTACACACTCAACTACAACGAGTTCATCGTTTACAACACGGCACAAATTAAAATGAGGTACCTACTCAAGGTGAAGTTCAACTATAAGTGAGTGAAACAACCGGATTGTTGCAATAACATTGTCTCAACATGCAGCACGGATCACCAGGACTCGACGGCCAGCTTCACAAAGCTGCCTTAGCACTATGACTGTCACAGCTCCTCAACTTTAACATAGACTACCCATCACAACTATCCAAATCCATGTTGAAGTAGGCGTCATGAGAGTCAGAGCTTCACATTGTGGCATGTTGGGTTGACTACGTAGGTGGTTCGATCTACAACAGACTGAGCAGCGTTCGAAATTGGCACTTGTCCTGTAGTCCTTGCCAAACTGCCCCATGGTTAAGGTATAAGGACTAGTAGAAATTTGCCATTTTTGAGGGTTTTGCTTTATGTTATCATTAGAAGGACTAGTGGACTAAAACTGTTCGTGTCTATCGCTGTGTACATTTTTGTCCTGTGTGGGGGTTGCAATTTTGAGAAATTTGCTGTTTTTTTATCAATAATATAAACATGCAATTTTACATAAATGTAACACTGATATGTTATTTGATAGATATTGTTATGGATTTGACTGATTGTGATTTTTGGCATTCCGCTGTCAACTTCTTAAGCCAAGTATTCCTTGTTTGGTGTGGATACCATGTAAGCAGTTTTCTACCAACTCACCACAAGGAGTTTGTCCTAAAAAATGGCTTAAGGTATTAATTCTGCGGTTCCAATTGGATGAATTTCAGAATATGACTCCTAGTTGGCAATATTTGAGTATTTCTTTCAGTCGGAATCTTTATGTGACAATTCGACAGAAAAATGGTTTGAGTTGTTGTTGTTGTTTTTTTAAGGAGTTGAACCAAAACACTTCGTGTTTGGCATCTTCGTGCAAATATTATCATGAAATCACCAAAGCCAATATATTTTTTAATCTCTTGAAGTGAAGAAATGTGAAATAAATGTGAATAGAACAAAATAGTGATGACCTCCCTTGGATTTCAGTCATGACATGTTTATGGGATGGTGGGGAGTTAGTCTCGTAGCTCGCACACATAAGGGATCTGATGTAGTTGTGGGGATCAAATGAGACGCAGACATTTATTCATTCAAGTATGACAGTTACAATACTTGAATAGTCTTGGCTGAGATCACTCTATGCAAGTGAACGCAGCATTTAAAGGAACTACCGAGCCTTGCAGAGGCAAATCCAGCATTTTGAAAAAGGGCGACGCACAGCTAAGTCACAAGTGAACAGGTTCACAGGTAAGGAGTTTGAAATAAGGGAGGGTTGTGCACCCCAACACATTCACCCACCCACCGATACCATCTTCCCGAGGCAAGTGAGTTAACCGACTATAAAAGTCCAGTTTCCACCCTTGCCGAACTAGGCTGGTATTATGGAGTTACATTTTGGCTGGACTAACGGGTCTATGCATAGTCCAATCAAAATCGTGCACCGAAATCGAAATCCGGTTGGTAAAATGTTTCGCAGATTTCGGTCAATTGCAGGATTTGCAAAGCATGTGCACCGCCAACTCGTCAGCAGATATTTTCCAAATCTTTTCATGTTTTTAATCAAGGTGCTCACGTGATTTGATTTCACGATGTAAGACCCGTTTTATCACAATATAGATCTTGATTATCGATCAGATCGTCCTGACCAGGCGCCACCATTTTGTGTGAAGCAAACGCAAGTGATACGAGAGGTGGAATCTGATTGGTCCATAGGAGGGGCTTAGAAGAGACATAGCTGGTAATAGACACTGGTGGCGCTACGATCGAGCCCAGTAATTCCAGCCCAGTTCGGCAAGGGTGGAAACTGGACTTTTAAAGTCAGTTAGCTCTCTTGCCTCGGGAAGATGGCCGATGCTAGCAGTGGGGTGATACACTGATGCATCGGCGGATCGCGATTTTTTACTTCACGATACAAGTATCGATCACAATTGCACACAAAGTAAGAAGTACAGATTAATAAATGTTACACCAAACACTAATTACTAGTGAAAATGAGAAGTGAAAACATAATATTTTCATCCATTGCGCCATACTTGACACTGCCAGCTGTAAATCACCTGTACTTCGTGTGGCAACTACTGCGAGACTATTCATCCATCCCCATCGTGAGTCTGGGATAGAATAAGTCCCCAACAACCTGTGCTTGATCGGGTGGTCAGGCTCGATACTTACAATATCAATTGCTGAATTGTCTGGTCTAGATTTGATTATTTACAAGGTGTCATCATATAGCTGGAATATTGCCGAGTGCGGCGTTAGACAACAATATGTTATACAATGCATGTACCTTGTGTGCAGGCATTCATCATTGTCATTCTGTTTTTGTTCTCGTTTCCCATGTCAGTAGATGGATGTATACTTATATTATATTAATGTAGTGCTTTTACATGACTGATTTTATTTGAGAATAAAAGGAAAAGGTGAATGAGACTTGTTTTGGTACGCTGATCATGCTGATGTAGATGTTTTTATTTTTCAGTTTTCCATTGAATAGTTAAGACAGCTTGGCTGTCTGCACCTATTTCATAGCAAAATCGACCCGTGAAGATCCGGGTTAGAATAGATCTTCAGCAACCCCAAGAGACTATGCTTGTCATAAGAGGCAACTAATGGGATCTGGTGGTCAGGCTCGCTGACTGGGTTGATGCATGTCATTGTATCCCAATTGCGTGGATCGATGCTCATGATGTCAATCACTGGATTGTCTGGTCTAGACTCAATTATTTACCATCCGCTGTCATATAGCTGAGTGCGACATTAAACCACAAACAAACAAAATCATAGCAATATGAGCGGCTCAATCGTCTACGGTGCAGTTGCCTCATCAAGCCATAGTCTTATTATGATGGGTTCGTCTCATACCCGTGAAGATCCGGTTTAGAATAGGTCTTCAGCAACCCATACATGTCATGAGGTGACTAAGGGGATCAGGTGGTCAGGCTCCCTGACTTGGATGATGCATGTCGTCGTGTCCCAATTGGGAAGATCATGCTCATCATCACTGGATTGTGTGTTCCAGACTCAATTATTTACAGACTGTCATCATAAAGCTGGAACATACTCGTGGGTGTCATCGAAGACTTCAGGCTTTCCTCCTACACCTCCACAATGAAGGTGACATGCCAGTGATCCCAAGTCACTACTTGCATGGAACTGACATGACACTTTTTAGGATTTGGGTGTATTTGGACCCGTGAAGATCAAGGGTAGAATAGATCTTCAGCAACCCATGCTTGCCATAAAAGGCGACTATGCTTGTCGTAAAAGGTGACTATGCTTGTCGTAAAAGGCGACTAACGGGACCGGGTGGTCAGGCTCGCTGACTTGGTTGATGCAGTTCATCGATCCCAATTGCGTGGATCGATGCTCATGATATCAATCACTGGATTGTCTGGTCCAGACTCGATTATTTTACAGACCGCTGTCATATAGCTGGAATATTGCTGAGTGCGGCGTAAAACAACAAACCAAAACTTTTTAGGATTTATTATGAATAACTTGTTCTGTTGAGCATCTTCCATCTTGGGATTCAGGAAATACAAAATGGCTCATGTAGGTTTCATGATTTTGGTATCTTGCACACTCATTTCATAATGCCTTTGTTTTCAGGAGACAAAATCCACAAAACATATTTAAAGATTTATTCCATTTTTTAATGTACAGGTTTCATGACGGGACAACACACATGAATAAATAGCACACAGGTTCAATTTGTTTTCTGCCAATCAATCAGGTATTCAGGACTAGTGGTGATTGATCTTCAGATAGGATGTTCGTCTGTCAAAAGTGATGTTGAATCATCACAAGAAGAATGTCCATCTATTGTACAATATTGATTATCACACATGTCCATTCATCTAAAGCAATGATTGGCCATCCCAGATAGTACGTCCGTCCATCTAAAATTGATGTTCGTCTGTAATGGACATTTAAAGCAACGTTTTGTCATTACAGTATGTCTGTCGGTCCGAATCAATTATTGGTCGCCACAGATGGCTTCTGTTTAATGTGATGAAGCTGCTGAATGTACAACAAAGCTATCTTGGACCGTTCCCAAAGCTATCTTGGACCGTTCCCCTGTTCAAATTTCCACATTGTCAAACACATGTACATCTTTCAGTGGATAATTTAAACTTTAGGTTATTACTTAATCTTTGTGTGAAATCTCATCACGATTTTAATTCTGAATGAATCATATTTCAGTCTAAGGCCATTTGAATATGGTGGGATGAATATAAAATATTTACTTACAAATGCCCTGATCAAGAAGAATAAATTTTGTAAACATGCTAAATCAAACAATTCTTTTGAATTGTTCTGGTACTCAATATACACCCTCAGAACAAGCACACAAAGGTGCCGAACGGTTTCTGTAACTCTCCTGATCACCACCGGGATATTTCCGCGATCAAACATCTCCAACTTCCTGGCTATCATGAACAAAAGAATTGTAGGAGAAAAGCCTCAACTAGCTGCTTCAGTCGTTCGGATACAAAGTCTGGCAAGAATCACACTTATGTTGTACAACAGGACTGCTTTGAACAATATTCCAATGACACGGCATGTCACCTTATTGTGGGAGGAAAAGCCCGAAGTGATGCAGGTCTCGGACGTTTACCACTTCGGTGAAACCCACGAGTACAGGTATGGTGCCGACAGACCTAGAAACATAATTGGGGCGAACCGAGATTCGAACCCGCTATCACAGGTTTCACAGCAAATTGCGGCTCCTAAGACGACTTGGCTACCTGTGCTGCCAGACAGGAGGAGGCGCCTCGAGCGACAGAACACAGTGCCACATCGCACACATTCTGAAACACTGTGAGATAGTCCACTCTGGACTCCGAATAATAATGCTACTACACATGAAACCTAAAATACTCCAATAAGACTCCTATTAAAAATCCATAATTATCGCTTCTATTACATGCATACTTTATGATTGTTTTGGATCTCCCTTCAAAGTGAAATAAGCAGATCTAATTGAAAACAACTACTTAAATTAATCAATAATAAATAATTTCAAAACTGAATAAACTATTCAATATGTATTTTTTCAAATATTTTGGGGAATAAATCTTATAAAAACAATTTAAATGCTGTGGAACAGAGAATTCTACTTCCCACGACAAATAACATTACCAGTGTTAGTAAGGAGAGAAGGTTATCAACCTAGCACCCCAACGCTCCGTCTTTTTCTTGTAATCCACCACCAAGTTCCTGCATCTTTTTACAGTTCCGGTTACCCACAAGCCTCAGGATAAGATCAGACCAGTTTGTGTGTTTACGCTTGCCCTAAATACATGACATTTTGAATGTGTAAGAACTTCTTCAGAGCAGCTTCTTACCCCTTCACTTACCCGATGAAAGGACAAGTGACTCGGGATCGTTGTTACAAAGAATAAAAGACGTTATCCTTGAAAAGGTGTCATGCATTCATGTTCTTCCAAATGCCTATCAAAGAATTGGGCTTCTAAATTTTGCAAAGATTTAATATAAACATAATGAATTAAAATGCTGTCTTCGATTGATAATTCTTGAGAATTTTGTCAGTTTGGCCCTGGATTGGCTTTTTCACCAAACAATGGTTTTGGCCATGAAACGCTTTTCACTGTTTCCTGTGTTGTGCTGCTCTACCAATAAGTGTCCAAATAAGGATTTCTTTGATTCCTCCCAACTCTAGCAATAATAGAGTTATGGCCCTTTGGTATGATGCCATCAGCATATACAGTTTTCTGAGAATTTAACCCAATGGTCCAAGCAAATGTTAGGTCTATGTGAAAGACAGTTAATGCTGATCACAAGTGTTGCCCAGTAACTAACTTAGTATGGTATGACTTAATGTTCTTGATATTCCAGGTATGAATTAGGGCTGGGACGAGTCCAAATTTACTACCCGGGTACCCACCCCCTATGACCCGAACCCTACCCGGGTACCCACCCCCTATTACCCGACCCTACCCGGGTACCCATTGTACACAAGAGATAGGTACAAAAGTCCGATTGGGAATAGTTTGACCATAGCCCTGGCAAAATGTATTTAGATACTCGTATAAAACGATCTGGTCATGCATACACTGAAGTTGACCGAAGCTTGATCTTTATTCAAACATATAGTCATCAGGAGATGTGAACATTAGTCATTTATAGTGTAACCGTCGAAGTTCTAGATGATTTTTGCCATTGAACAATATATCACGTGACTAGTCATGGGTCCGGGTAGTCCTGTGGGTACCTGGTTCCTACTCAGTAACCTCCCGACCCGAGCGTCCGAGTTACCTGTCCCTGCCCTGGTACACATGAATAAAACATTCTCACTTTCTGAAAAAATTCGCTTCGATAACAAAGAGGCATTCTAAACGTCCTGATTATGTAACAATGAGTCATTGTCCACCTTTCATTCACTTCACGTCAACAAACTCCTACACATCGTAAGAAATAAAAGAACACAGGGTTTAAGACAAATGTCTTGGCAGAATAAAAACATGTTTGTGTCAATTTCCATTTGAAATGAACATAACAACACCACTGACTCCTTGGACAAAAGACACATTCATAATACTAATAATTATCATCATATGTACAAATACATATAACATGTACATTAATTATTGAGAAATTTTGGCAAATTTCTAGGTATCACCTGGTCAATTCCACAAACATGATCTCAAAACAGGTAAAAAATAGGGTTTGTATTTCCTAGAGCTGGGACGATACACCAACCGCGAACGAGGTATCTCAATACTTGCATGTGCTGTTATCTGTGGTGCGAAGGCCATCTTGTTATAGACAGGACATGGTCAAATACCTGGCACACTGACGATTTACAGCTGGCAGTGTCAAGTATGGCGCAATGGAAGAAAATATTTATGTTTTGACTACTTAATTCCACTACTGATTAGTAATTGGTGTAACATTCATTACAGAAAACATTTAAACGATAAACAATAGTTTTTACATTGTGTGCCACTGTGATTGATACTTGCATCGAAAAGTAAAAATTTGCGATGCATCAGTGTATCGTCCCACCATTAGTATTTCCATATATTACAAATTGAGTCTGAGTACCATGTATTTAATTGAAAATAATAAGTATTCCCTGGGAATGAACTTCTGATACAAAACAATGTATGTTTAAGTCAAAGCAGGAAAAGGGTTCAAAGTTCCATTTTAAACATTTTTAGCACCCTGAGGGTTTCAAGAATTCAGATATTTGAACTGAGGTTGTGTCTGATATTGATCATAAGAAAACAATCTGTTTTGACATGTAACACATTAATAAGGAAATTTTAAGTTGACTTAAAAAAAAATTAAATGTTTCTCAGACATTTCTTTTCAAACCGACGAGGGATGAGGACTTAATTGCTTTTTTATGGAGAACAAAATTGATGAGATCAACCTTTATTTGTCTTGACTGAAGTCAAACAATATAAGTCAGTCTTTTAGTTTGGGAGACCAATACAGTCTATATCCCCAAGAGTGAGTGAGTGTGTTGGGTTTAATGCCGCTTTTAACAGTATTCCAGTTATATCACAGCGTGTCAGCTTAATGTGGGAGGAAAGCCCGAAGTGATGCAGGTCTAAGACGTTTACCACTTCGGTGAAACCCACGAGCACGGGTATGGTGCTGACAAACCTAGAAACATAATCAGGGCGAACCGGGATTCGAACCCACAATCATAGGTTTCTGGCGTGCCCAAAGGACGCAACTCTGCATAGCGAATCGCGGCGCCTTTGACGACTGGCCCACTCGTGCCCCCTATATCCCCAAGAGGTATCCTAAGAAAACAAATGTCAATGACCTGTAGATGCCAAACAGTTACTTTTTCCTGACAAATTAAATAGCTTGTGGTAAAGCCATTTCCATAAAAAAACACTGCAAAATTTCAGAAAGGAAATACAGTAATAGACACGATGCCGTAGTAAATGAAGTCATTACTTATTTATTTCCACCTCCTGCCTTGAGGTCATTTTGGATAAAAAACAAAACAAAAACTAAATTCTTGTTTATACTTCCATGCACCTACCACAGGACATCTTAGTGAAATTCATGCATATTCATGGACCGAACCACCCTCAAACTGTGGTTTAGTCCAGGGCCCACTTGCACAAAGCGATCTTAGCGCTAAGATTATTGTAAGCTATGTTAAAGTATGGGAGTTACGATCACCTAGCGCTAAGATTGTTTTGTGCAATTGGGCCCAGGAATAATGAATTTCGCTAAAAAGTCCTGAGCATCTATGCATTTGTGAAGTGACCCCTCCCGCCCAAGCAATGAATATCTTAACACACGCAAACCAATCACAGACACAACTAGGGACTGTCTCAACACCTTCCTATCATCATGCCAACGACTTGTGTGCATTTCCTGATCATCTGGTTACGTAACATATTTTTGTTGCTGAATTGAACTTTTCATGTAGCCGAATGTCTTGACCCGACAAACATCAAAATGATGAAGCCTGAGTTGTGACACAGAAAACTTCTCTACACTGGAACCTCAATAGTCCAGAAAACCCACTGTCCAAGTACCGTCTATTTGGTACCTCTGTATATATAATTAAAGGGACATCACTGCCATCGATTTGTGTGTCTGGGATACCTGAGAATGGTATCATGTTGATGAAAGGTTTCATTGTACGTAGATCTGTACAAATACAGACATCATGAAGGTTTCAGAGACAGCTCAGAGTGAGTGAGTGAGTTTAGTTTAACGCCGCTTTTAACAGTTTTCCAGTTATATCACGGCGTCAGCTTAATGTGGGAGGAAAGCCCGAAGTGATGCAGGTCTCAGATGTTCCAACTTCGGTGAAACCCATGAGCACGGGTATTGTGCTGACAAACCTAGAAACATAATCGGGGCGAACCGGGATTCGAACCCACAATCATTGATTTCTGGCGTGCCCAAGGGACGCAACTCTGCACAGCGAATCACGGCACCTTAGACGACTGGACCACCCGTGCCCCCGAGACAGCTCAGAAGGGTGATGTTCTTGCCTAAAGCTCTGAATACGTGAGTTGGCATTTACGCCACATTCAGCAAAATTCCAGCAATATCACGGAGGGTGACACCAGAAATGGGCTTTACACATTGTACCCATGTGGGAAATCGAACCTGGCCTTTGTTGTGTCAAATGAACTTTAGGCTACCCAAAGAAAACCTTCGCCTATATAAGATTTTTTGCTAGATTTGTAAAAATACATTTTTTTAGAATTTGTCTCTGGAAACATAACCAAATTCAAATTAATGAGTTAAAAAGTGTTGAAGCAACCCCTGTCTCTATCACACCTCTGCAATGTACACGACTACAACATCCAATAGATTGCACAAACACTGCCGCCATCACTCGGCCCCACCTGCCACAATGGCTGCCATCCATCCTACAGTCAAACCACAGGAAGCCAAAGTTCCGACAAAACGTGTAGGCCTTTTTGTTACTCTTAAAAAGCCTCTCTCTATATACAGTAAAAAAGGGCATACTGTTTCCTTATTTTAGTCCCAACGATGGACCCCTGTGGTGAAACTGTTTGCAAGTGGATGGGCATGTTTCCATGACAACAATGAGTGACAGCAACCAATGGATATCTCCATAACAAAGAAACTGAGAGCTGCATTAACCAATCATGTTGCTTCTTGTTCTGGGGAACTTGTATGTGAATGAAGCACGTTGTTCAAAGGATCATAATTTACCAATCTTTGACCAACAAGGTATCTGCAAATAAAACATGTTTGTCTTAGTGAATTATCTAACAGCGTACATGGAGAGGATTAACAAACACATTTCAAAGTAACAAACACATTTCAAAGTCCAAAGTTCCTCTTCTAAATTGCGGCCTAGTACAAGCAAGTGATAAAAACATTTAACTGAAGCAGAATCTGAAGACTGATCTTTACATGAAATAGCTGAAATAGCTGGGGACCTTCTCTAATCCAGGATGTAATCACAGGGTAGACCAGCATAAGATGTGGGGACCTATTCTAACCCAGGATCTAATCACAGGGTAGACCAACATAAGATGTGGGGACCTATTCTAACCCAGGATGTAATCACAGGGTAGACCAGCATAAGATGTGGGGACCTATTCTAACCCAGGATCTAATCACAGGGTAGACCAGCATAAGATGTGGGGACCTATTCTAACCCAGGATCTAATCACAGGGTAGACCAGCATAAGATGTGGGGACCGATTCTAACCCAGGATCTAATCACAGGGTAGACCAGCATAAGATGTGGGGACCGATTCTAACCCAGGATGTAATCACAGGGTAGACCAGCATAAGATGTGGGGACCTATTCTAACCCAGGATCTAATCACAGGGTAGACCAGCATAAGATGTAGGGACCTATTCTAACCCAGGATCTAATCACAGGGTAGACCAGCATAAGATGTGGGGACCTATTCTAACCCAGGATCTAATCACAGGGTAGACCAGCATAAGATGTGGGGACCTATTCTAACCCAGGATCTAATCACAGGGTAGACCAGCATAAGATGTGGGGACCTATTCTAACCCAGGATCTAATCACAGGGTAGACCAGCATAAGATGTGGGGACCTATTCTAACCCAGGATCTAATCACAGGGTAGACCAGCATAAGATGTGGGCACCTATTCTAACCAAGGATCTAATCACAGGGTAGACCAGCATAAGATGTGGGGACCGATTCTAACCCAGGATCTAATCACAGGGTAGGCCAGCATAAGATGTGGGGACCGATTCTAACCCAGGATCTAATCACAGCGTAGACCAGCATAAGATGTGGGGACCTATTCTAACCAAGGATCTAATCACAGGGTAGACCAGCATAAGATGTGGGGACCTATTCTAACCCACGATCTAATCACAGGGTAGACCAGCATCAGTTTTGGGGACCTATTCTAACCCACGATCTAATCACAGGGTAGACCAGCATCAGTTTTTGGGGACCTATTCTAACCAAGGATCTAATCACAGGGTAGACCAGCATAAGATGTGGGGACCTATTCTAACCAAGGATCTAATCACAGGGTAGACCAGCATAAGATGTGGGCACCTATTCTAACCAAGGATCTAATCACAGGGTAGACCAGCATAAGATGTGGGGACCGATTCTAACCCAGGATCTAATCACAGGGTAGGCCAGCATAAGATGTGGGGACCGATTTTAATCCAGGATCTAATCACAGGGTAGACCAGCATAAGATGTGGGGACCTATTCTAACCAAGGATCTAATCACAGGGTAGACCAGCATAAGATGTGGGGACCTATTTTAACCCACAATCTAATCACAGGGTAGACCAGCATCAGTTTTGGGGACCTATTCTAACCCACGATCTAATCACAGGGTAGACCAGCATCAGTTTTTGGGGACCTATTCTAACCAAGGATCTAATCACAGGGTAGACCAGCATAAGATGTGGGGACCTATTCTAACCAAGGATCTAATCACAGGGTAGACCAGCATAAGATGTGGGCACCTATTCTAACCCAGGATCTAATCACAGGGTAGGCCAGCATAAGATGTGGGGACCTATTCTAACCCAGGATCTAATCACAGGGTAGACCAGCATAAGATGTGGGGACCTATTCTAACCAAGGATCTAATCACAGGGTAGACCAGCATAAGATGTGGGGACCTATTCTAACCCACGATCTAATCACAGGGTAGACCAGCATCAGTTTTGGGGACCTATTCTAACCCACGATCTAATCACAGGGTAGACCAGCATCAGTTTTTGGGGACCTATTCTAACCAAGGATCTAATCACAGGATAGACCAGCATAAGTTTTTGGGGACCGATTCTAACCCAGGATCTAATCACAGGGTAGACCAGCATAAGATGTGGGGACCTATTCTAACCAAGGATCTAATCACAGGGTAGACCAGCATAAGATGTGGGGACCTATTCTAACCCAGGATCTAATCACAGGGTAGACCAGCATCAGTTTTTGGGGACCTATTCTAACCCAGGATCTAATCACACGGTAGACCAGCATAAGATGTGGGGACCGATTCTAACCCAGGATCTAATCACAGGGTAGACCAGCATAAGATGTGGGGACCTATTCTAACCAAGGATCTAATCACAGGGTAGACCAGCATAAGATGTGGGGACCGATTCTAACCCAGGATCTAATCACAGGGTAGGCCAGCATAAGATGTGGGGACCTATTCTAACCCAGGATCTAATCACAGGGTAGACCAGCATAAGATGTGGGGACCTATTCTAACCAAGGATCTAATCACAGGGTAGACCAGCATAAGATGTGGGGACCTATTCTAACCCACGATCTTATCACAGGGTAGACCAGCATCAGTTTTTGGGGACCTATTCTAACCAAGGATCTAATCACAGGATAGACCAGCATAAGTTTTTGGGAACCTATTCTAACCCACGATCTAATCACAGGGTAGACCAGCATCAGTTTTGGGGTACCTATTCTAACCCACGATCTAATCACAGGGTAGACCGGCATCAGTTTTGGGGACCTATTCTAACCCAGGATCTAAACACAGGGTAGACCAGCATCAGTTTTTTGGGACCTATTCTAACCCAGGATCTAATCACCGGGTGGACCAGCATAAGATGTAGGGACTGATTCTAACCCACGATCTAATCACAGGGTAGACCAGCATAAGATGTAGGGACTGATTCTAACCCACGATCTAATCACAGGGTAGACCAGCATAAGATGTGGGGACTTATTCTAACCCAGGATCTAATCACAGGGTAGACCAGCATAAGATGTGGGGACCGATTCTAACCCAGGATCTAATCACAGGGTAGACCAGCATTAGTTTTTGGGGACCTATTCTAAACAAGGATCTAACCACGGGGCATGGGAATCAGTGCCAGATCTTACTTGTCATCTTTGATGTGGTTATAAAGCCTCCGGAACTGCCGCAGCTGGAAGGTGAAGCCGGCCACTATCACAATAACAGTCAGGAGGAAGGGGTAGATACGTCGCATCGTCATGTTCTGTGTCTCATCGTCAACACCTGCACACATACAAACACGGAGTGAAGATACATCAACTTGAAAGACTTAACAAATTGTTTCCTGTTTTGGTTTCTAAGCACTTGCCAAATAGTACATCACATTGTTTTTAAGACGAATACAATTCCTGACACCCCTGCAGCACGTTCATCAGAGATGTTTTGTTGTTTAACCCCACCCAGGAATATTCCATCTGTATGATGGCAGTCTGTAAATAATCAAGTTAGGACCAGACAATCTTGTGATTGACATCATGAGCATCAATCTACGCAACTGGGATATGATGACATGCATCAACCAAGTCAGTGAGTTTGACCACTCGATCCTGTTAGTCGCCTCTTAAGACAAGCACGGGTTGCTAAAGGCTTTTTACCCAGATCAAAACAGGTTCATCACAGATGTGGTAGTATCTACATTAACTGTTAAACAAAGTCTTAAAGAACTACCACTAAATATCCAACAAACAGGTTACCAAGGTAACTGCATTACTGCAATCAAACAGCTAAACTTGCAACTGCCTATTGCAATCATCAGTGCAACATATGCGTTGTCTATACTGCTCACCTAATGCCGGCACGATGGTCTTGGCAATGACATAGGGCACAGACAGAGACATGCCTAGCACACACACCACGGGGAAACACAAGGAAAACAGGATGTATTTGAGATTCATGTTCCGCAAGCCATCATTGTACACCTGAAACAGGAAACAGAGAAACATGATTATTCCAAGATTATATACAGAATCTAGTGTCTATCTATAACCCCATGTATCTAGTGACTAGACTTAAACAAATATAAAGGCCAGGGTACCCCATTGGTCTCATATAAAGCAGGATCAGTGTGCCCTGTCTGATTGTGGGATGTATGTGGGCATGTAACTGGCTAGGAAATATATAGACTGGTGATTCATTATCAATCTGTTAATGGGCATAGTTACATGACTAAGCTGGAGTCTTTGAAAGGCATTTAGAAGTGGTACACATAAGGAAGAGAATAGATGAAGTCAACTTCTTTATTATGAGGAACAATGTTTCGGAGTATATGCTTACTCCTTCATTCACCTGGACAAGGAACAAGGTGTGTGTGTGTAGAACAAGGAACAAGGTGTGTGTAGGACAAGGAACAAGGAACAAGGTGTGTGTAGGACAAGGAACAAGGTGTGTATAGGACAAGGAACAAGGTGTGTGTAGGACAAGGAACAAGGTGTGTGTAGGACAAGGAACAAGGTGTGTGTGTAGGACAAGGAACAAGGTGTGTGTAGGACAAGGAACAAGGTGTGTGTAGGACAAGGAACAAAGTGTGTGTAGGACAAGGAACAAGGTGTGTGTGTAGAACAAGGTGTGTGTGTGTAGGACAAGGAACAAGGTGTGTGTGTAGAACAAGGTGTGTGTGTAGGACAAGGAACAAGGTGTGTGTAGGACAAGGAACAAGGTGTGTGTAGGACAAGGAACAAGGTGTGTGTGTAGAACAAGGTGTGTGTAGGACAAGGAACAAGGTGTGTGTAGGACAAGGAACAAGGTGTGTGTAGGACAAGGAACAAGGTGTGTGTAGGACAAGGAACAAAGTGTGTGTAGGACAAGGAACAAGGTGTGTGTGGACAAGGAACAAGGTGTGTGTGTGTAGGACAAGGAACAAGGTGTGTGTGTGTAGGACAAGGAACAAGGAACAAGGTGTGTGTAGGACAAGGAACAAAGTGTGTGTAGGACAAGGAACAAGGTCTGTGTGTAGGACAAGGAACAAGGTGTGTATAGGACAAGGAACAAGGTGTGTGTAGGACAAGGAACAAGGTGTGTGTAGGACAAGGAACAAGGTGTGTGTAGGACAAGGAACAAGGTGTGTGTGTAGGACAAGGAACAAGGTGTGTGTAGGACAAGGAACAAGGTGTGTGTAGGACAAGGAACAAGGTGTGTGTAGGACAAGGAACAAAGTGTGTGTAGGACAAGGAACAAGGTGTGTGTAGGACAAGGAACAAGGTGTGTGTAGGACAAGGAACAAAGTGTGTGTAGGACAAGGAACAAGGTGCGTGTAGTCGACCGACCTGTTCCATGACTCGCTTGAGCCACCACTGTGGGCCCATCATGGTCACAGCACAGATGATCTTCGCATGGAGCACTCCCAGTGCCCAGTCCTGTAACCATGGTAACAGCAAACATGTAGATAACAACAGCACTTTGGAAAACACTTGATTCTAATTGGTTAATCAGGTTTCAAATGCCCCTGACTCACATGTGAAGACAGTTGTATCACTGTATTCATTTCCACACATTCCACAACTTTCTATGTCAATTCCAAGCAGCAAAAATAATTTCCCAAATTTGTTCCTGCTCGGCTGAAATAAAATTAACAAGGCCTACAGATGTGTTTGTACTCTTAATGACAAGAACAACACAAGCAGTACGCCATCAGCTCAGGACAACATATTTACAGACAAGAGCTAGCTTGATGGACACAATATTTTTATGGATAACTACTTCTTTAATACTGTAAAAAGCGTTGTCAAGCAAGGATCTATACCGAAACGTCGCTTTTCACAGTATTAAAGGGGAAGTGTACACGCAAAAATCACTTTCTTTCTTTTTCTAAACAAAACGCAATTTTAGAATTAGTTAGTATCTGTGTTTGAAAATATACACTCATTTTTTTCACAGTGAAAGTAGGAAGCTCACAATAGTGTGAAAATGATATGCCGTTATGAGGCCTTCGTTTTTCGAGCTAAACAGGCCTGAGTTATTCCCCTTAGATTATGACGTAATTGGTGCCAATTCAACTGGGTTCCGGTCTTTTCTGAACGCAAAAGATATCAAGTACAAGTTTTCAGTAAAACAACATGGCCTACGACACACTCCGGCGCAGTGGTGACTCAGCATAACACTATGCTGGCTGGCATCTGAGATGCTAGAATCACACACCTGTACCTACACCACGTGAAGCGGCTCTAACAAAGCATGATGACGTCATAATGTTTATCAATTGGCACTAATGACGTCATATTGCAAGGGGCATAAGCCATGGTGTTTTTGTTATGGAAATAGAACACTTGGTAAATGTGAAAAATATAAATCGTTTTAATGCAAAACATATGTTAATTAATTGTGATATTTTTATATTTTTGTCTATGACACTTCTAGGTTAACACATTTATTGTGGAAAAAATACAAGAAAATTAGGTTCATTTCCGTGTGAACTTGCCCTTTAAAGAAGTTGTTATCCATAAAAATATTGTGTCTATCTTGTCATCCGTCAACTTCTAAGTAATGCCTAATAACAAGTTAAGAGCTAGCTTGTGACCAGCTGTGACTTGGGAGTGAGAGTACTCATCGATCTGGCAGTCAGTGTGCCCACAGTAAGTAAGCTCTTCCACCAATTTAAATTTCATGTCTTTTCAGTGCCATTATGCTCCAAAAGGTCAGAAATGGTTCCAATTCCAGATACCATGCAAATCATGGCTGCCTGATTATTAATGATCCTTAAATTATGTTGAGTACTATACAGCCAATGTACAATCATGCAATCCGAGAGTTCTCACCTGCCAAGGAAAGAAAACAGGTGTTTGGTCGAGCGGAACGCGAAGCGGCGCCACCACCACCAGCTCGAACAACAGCCCCAGCAGGAGGGGCACCATCCCGATGAGGAGGCCGGCTATGAGGAGACACTTCAAGGCCTGCACATGGAACAAATACATCAGCAGTCTATAAATGTGGGCAGCGTAGCAGTCTTGTTTTGATTGTCGATTAACACTGCATTCAGCATTATGATGGCAGTCTGTGAATAATCAACATACAATGGAAGACATGCATCAACCAAGTCAGAGAATCTGACTATCCGATCCCTTTACTCGCTTCTTACGACAATCATGGGTTGCTGAGAACCAATAAGATGCCAGATTTTCACGGGTAGACAGCACAGTAAGATTATACAAATCTTCACAGATTCTGGAGTTTAATGACAGTTTGGATCACACGGTATATATATAGATAAAAGTTCATGTTTGCTCTGATCTCAGTGAATGAGAACCGCATTTACGATAATAAGCACCCAGAAAATTGGTGCTTATAAAAACCCAACACAACAAAGTCACATCTGTTTTCAGAGACTGAGTGAAAGTGAACAACCTTTGTTCAAACATCAATGAAACTAAAACACTTCAATAATTGTTAAAACTCAATTATATGCCCCAAAAGTTTTGTTTGTTTGTTTGTTGTTTAACTCCGCACTCAGCAATAATTGCAATAAACCAGCTGCGGTCTGTAAATAATCGAGTCTGGACCAGACAATCCAGTGATAAATATCATGAGCATCGATCCACACAATTGGGATCGATGATATGCATCAACCAAGTCAGCGAGCCTGACCAACCGATCCCGTTAGTCGCCTTTTACGACAAGCATAGTCGCCTTTTACGGCAAGTATGGGTTGCTGAAGACCTTTCTACCCTGGCGTCTTCATGGGCAGCCCCAAAAGTATACACACAGTATGTACACAGAGTTACAGTGTTACACATGTTTGCTCACCAACAACGCCCAGTTTTTCAGCTTAGTGAAAATGGCCGCCGAGCCCTGAGGTATCCAGTTGTAGAGGACTGTGCTGATCCGGAGCATCAGCCAACAGACGTACAGACCACACGCCGCCGTGTACAGCTCATGGATCTTCGCATCACCCATCCATATAGACATCAACCGCCGCCCTACAAATACTGAACCAAACAGGTCCAACATAAATTATTTGATAGACAGTTTACCACCATAAGCTGTTCATTTCGTTAGCATGCAGAAGACAATAATCTACAGTCGTAAAATTTCTAGGTCTTTGACAATGTGTTTGGATCGTAATTTAATATACTAAAAGTCATGGCATGAAATTGCGACTGTAATAAATGGTGTTACGGTTTGTTGGCAAAACAAATTTATTTACACTCCAGTGATTTTGTCAATTTTTCCATCTGTAGTGTGTACCTGACCGTATCAAATGAAATGTTATCAATATGGACTTTTTAATTAATGAGAAGTGCCAGTCTATAATACAATGACTATTGTTCTAGGCTCTCCATTTTGTTTAATTAGCAACAATTAAGTCATTTATTTCCCGCAGAAGGCGGCGTGTTTGCCATGTACAGCAGCCAGAAAATGTTTACAAGTAACCGGAAGTTGAAAAGACTGTTAACATTCAAGATGAGTTATAATTGAATGATTTAGTCACAGTTTAATGCCGCACTCAGCAATATTCCAGCTATATGACGGCAGTCTGTATATAATCGAGTCTGGAGCAGACAATCCAGTGATTGACATCAGGAGCATCAATCCGAGTAATTGGGACCGATGACATGCATCAACCAAGTCAGCGAGCCTGATCCCGTTAGTCGCCTCTTTCGACAAGCATAGTCGCCTCTTACAGCAAGCATAGTCGCCTTTTACGACAAGCATAGTCGGCTCTTACAGCAAGCATAGTCGCCTTTTACGACAAGCATAGTCGCCTCTTACAGCAAGCATAGTCGCCTTTTACGACAAGCATAGTTGGCTCTTACAGCAAGCATAGTCGCCTTTTACGACAAGCATAGGCGGCTCTTACAGCAAGCATAGTCGCCTTTTACGACAAGCATAGGCGGCCTATTACAGCAAGCATAGTCGCCTTTTACGACAAGCATAGTCGGCTCTTACAGCAAGCATAGTCGCCTTTTAAGACAAGCATAGTCGCCTTTTACGACAAGCATAGGCGGCTCTTACAGCAAGCATAGTCGCCTTTTACGACAAGCATAGTCGGCTCTTACAGCAAGCATGGGTTGCTGAAGACCTATTCTACCCCGGATCTTCACAGACTCAACTTTGCAGGTCTGTCAATGAGATCAACCTGTTACATGACAAGACATATGTGTACAAACCTGGAAGAACAAGTGAGACAAGACTAGCACCAAACAGCGTCACACACATGAGTACTACCAGCAAGATGACCTGCAACACCAACACATACCTTGTCAGAACTCATAAATACAGATTACTACCCCACAGTGTTTCCATATCATATCATGTGTGAAGCCCATTTCTGGTGTCCCCTGCCGTGACATTGCTGGAATATTGCTGAAAGCCGCGTAAAAACCAAACTCACTCACTCATTCCATATCATAAATATCATACCTGCCGGTATTAAGAATAAATTTGTTTGGTGAGCATAATACAGATTATACAGATATTATGATTTGGAAACACATGGGAATATCAATCTATTTATCTTGTAATGCCATCATTAAAATTATTCATGTTTAAGATAGTATTTCACACATTTTAGAAACCGCATATGAATACAATGCTGGAGAGCCCCAATTGATACAAAGTCATCTAAACTTACTGGGATCATAAGGCAAGAAGACATTGCATTGCTTCATGGAGCTTGCTAAAAGTAGTTCCTGGAATCCACTATGTGATAGCTACATAATCATCTCTTACAAATATACAGCTGTGACCACAGGGGGATTGAAACTATTGGAATAATTAAAAACACTATTATGATATTATAACAACAGTGAAGTATCTTACATAATGGGTTACTGGTTGACTAGACTGCGATAGTATCAGAGCTCCAGATAAGCTGCGTATCTGCGTGAAATACGCATCAGAAATGCAGAAATACACAGTAAAATATAATCTAAGCGTATCAAATACGCAAAGAACATTACAGATACGCTACAAAAATAAAACTTGTGCGTATCATCAAAATATTGTGAAGTAACCCTGCGTATTCGATTAGCAAATCAGCAACTTATTTTGAAATTATAACGGGCATTCCGTCAACCTTGCCAAACTCCACAATGACAGTTACATCATGATCATTTGCCATCACACTTTCTTGTGGAAGTATCGTGGTATTTTTTAGTCCTATAAAGCCCTCGAACCCACACGACACCAGTTTGTAGGGACTAGATGAATAGTGTTTTTAAATATTTAACTTAAATACCCACATGTGTAAAAACTAGTGGGTAACAGAAATTTGAATACGCAGATATAATTACTGATACCCAATGATTTTAAAATGCATGGGTAAAATACCCACAACACCAAAAGCTTATCTGGAGCTCTGAGTATACTGATTCGTTCGTACGTTCGTTCATTGTGATATTATTGCAATATGGGAATATCTTATACAACAGGTTATTGACCAACTAGTATTGTAATCGTGTGATAAGTAATGGTACATGGGCTTCCTTAGAGGTGCTCAGTGTGACTGGTCATGTTCTCTATTGCAATACTATCCTCGGTGAAAAGAGGAAGTAATGTGTCCCTGCATGTCCCTGTGTGCCTGCATGTCCCTGTGTGCCTGCATGTCCCTGTGTGCCTGCATGTCCCTGTGTCCCAGCATGTCCCTGTGTCCCTGCATGTCCCTGTGTCCCAGCATGTCCCTGTGTCCCAGCATGTCCCTGTGTCCCAGCATGTCCCTGTGTCCCAGCATGTCCCTGTGTCCCAGCATGTGCCTCTGTCCCAGCATGTCCCTGTGTCCCTGCATGTCCCTGCATGTCCCTGTGTCCCAGCATGTCCCTGTGTGCCTCACCTTGAGAGTAAAGAGTGTGGGTCTGATGTAAGGCTGGAAACCGGTTGGCCCTCCCCCTTGCAGCATGGCCTGGTGTGCCGCACCCAGACCTTCCCCCGGAACCTGCTGGGGGGGCTGGGGGGGGGCAGGGGGAGGAGCACCTGCTGCTGCAGCATTGTCCTGTTGGGGTGGGGGAGGAGGAGGGGGCACAGGATGATCTCCATGAACAACCTCATCCTGCAACAGAAGAATAACGTTGTCAACTCCATGTGTTTGTTTATTGTTGTTAAACACCACACTCAGCATACCCGCGAAGATCCGGATAAGAAAAGGTGTTCAGCAACCCATGCTTTCCCTAAGAGGCAACTATGCTTGTTGTATGAGGCTCCTAATGGGATCGGGTGGTTAGGCTCACTGACTTGGTTGATGCATGTCATCGTATCCCAATTGCATAGATTGATGATCATGATATCAGTCACTGGAATGTCTGGTTCAGACTCGATTATTTACAGACCGAAGAATATAGCTGGAATATTGCTGAGTGTGGCGTTAAACAACAAACAAACACATTCAGCAATATTCCAGCCACATGATGGCAGCTGTAAATAAGTCTGGACAAAGATAATCAAGTGATTGATATTGTACTCAGTGATCCACGCCATCAGGGTGCGTGGACATGCAAGTGACCGAGCCTCACCACCCGATTCATTTGGTCGCCTCTAACGACCAGCATAGGTTGCTTGGGGACCAAATGGATCGCTTCTAACGACCAGCATAGGTTGCTAGGGGACCAAATTCTAACCTGAATTCCCCATGGAGGAGCTCAATGTATGAGTCTCATTCACCAATGACCACTTGAACCCTACAGTAATATGGACTACTCACCCCTTCCTGAAACTGTATGTCTCCAATGAGATATGACCGTAGGCTGAGGATGTAGGCCACACCCAGCGTCCACCCTCGCACGAGGCCCTTCAACCAGAGTCGGGTGTGCCCCTGTTCCAGCAGCGCTGGCAACACCACCTGCAGCAACAGCAACTCCAGCGACAGCTCACTAACAGGGGCATCGCTACAACACAGGAGACACGTCATCACTAGCAGAGGCATCACTAGAACACAACACACAGGATGTCATCACTCACAGGGGCATCACTACAACACAGGACACACCTGTCATCACTCACAGGGGCATCACTACAACACAGGACACACCTGTCATCACTCACAGGGGCATCACTACAACACAGGACACACCTGTCATCACTCACAGGGGCATCACTACAACACAGGAGACACCTGTCATCACTCACAGGGGCATCACTACAACACAGGACACACCTGTCATTACTCACAAGGGCAACACTACAACACAGGACACACCTGTCATTACTCACAAGGGCAACACTACAACACAGGACACACCTGCCATCACTCACAGAGGCAACCCTACAACACAGGACACACCTGTCAGCGCTCACAGGGGCATCACTTCAACACAGGACACACCTGTCATCACTCACAGGGGCATCACTACAACACAGGACACACCTGTCATCACTCACAGGGGCATCCCTACAACACAGGACACACCTGTCATCACTCACAGAGGCATCCCTACAACACAGGACACACCTGTCATCACTCACAGGGGCATCCCTACAACACAGGACACACCTGTCATCACTCACAGAGGCATCCCTACAACACAGGACACGCCTGTCATCACTCACAGGGGCATCCCTACAACACATGACACACCTGTTCACTCACAGGGGCATCACTACAACCACAGGACACACCTGTCATCACTCATAGAGGCAACCCTACAACACAGGACACACCTGTCATCACTCACAGGGACATCACTACAACACAGGACACACCTGTCATCACTCACAGGGGCATCACTACAACACAGGACACACCTGTCATCACTCACAGAGGCATCCCTACAACACAGAGCACACCTGTCATCACTCACAGGGGCATCGCTACAACACATGACACACCTGTCATCACTCACAGGGGCATCACTACAACTACAGGACACACCTGTCATCACTCACAGAGGCAACCCTACAACACAGGACACACCGGTCATCACTCACAGGGGCATCCCTACAACATAGGACACACCTGTCATCACTCACAGGGGCATCCCTACAACACAGGACACACCTGTCATCAATCACAGGGGCATCACTACAACACAGGACACACCAATCATCACTCACAGGGGCATCGCTACAACACAGGAGACACTTGTCATCACTCACAGGGACATTGATAAAACACAGGACACACCTGTCATCACTCACAGGGGCATCAGAACAACACAGGCTACAAAATGTCACACTGACATGAAGCTAGGTCACACTGACATGAAGCGAGGTCACACTGACATCACTGGGTCACACTGACCTGGAGAGCATGACATGATACGGCAGGAATGTTGGAAACAGTTTCCGGATGACCCTCACTGGCAGCCACAGCATCAAAAGCACCGTGCTACCAAATATAATCTGAAAACAGGCAAAGAAAGATGGTAACAGATTACAAGATGCATCTGAATAGTCATGAATCTGATCATTCACTTCCTTAAATTCCCCCATAATACTGAAGTATCAATGCTGACACTGATGACATGGTGTGTGGTGATACAAGGTAGAATGTGTCATAATAAGATCCATGTATGTCTTCAAAGCAATAAGCCTTTACTTGCACTACATCACTAAAGGCTATTAGCCTAGCATCATGTGTCAGTTCTGTATTCCAACATGGCCACACTGATGTGTGTACCGATCTGTCAACAAGACAAGTCCAGATGTTGTATAAAATCTCCCTAAGACAACCTTTATTATTGAATGGGTGAGTATGGTTTTATGTCACTTTTAGCAATACTCCAGCAATATCACTGCAGGGGACACCAGACATGGGCTTCACACATGTGGGGAATCAAACTCGGGTCTTCAACGTGACGAGCGAACTTGTCAACCACAAGGCCCCCTTATTATTTCGAGATATCTGCTGACTGTAAGAAGCCTGGGAACTCACCACGGAGGCCACAAATCTGCGGACGTGTCTGTACACAGGGAGATGAATCATCTGAAACAACACACATTATTCATGTACACACATCTGAAACAACACACATTATTCATGTACACACATCTGAAACAACACACATTATACATGTATACACATCTGAAACAACACACATTATACATGTATACACATCTGAAACAACACACATTATACATGTACACACATCCGAAACAACACACATTATACATGTACACACATCTGAAACAACACACATTATTCATGTACACACATCTGAAACAACACACATTATACATGTACACACATCTGAAACAACACACATTATACATGTACACACATCTGAAACAACACACATTATAGATGTACACACATCTGAAACAACACACATTATACAGGTACACACATCTGAAACAATACACATTATACATGTACACACATCTGAAACAACACACATAATACCTGTATACACATCTAAAACAACACACATTATAGATGTACATACATCTGAAACAACACACATTATACATGTACACACATCTGAAACAACACACATTATACATGTACACACATCTGAAACAACACACATTATACAAGTACACACATCTGAAACAACACACATTATACATGTACACACATCTGAAACAACACACATTATAGATGTACACACATCTGAAACAACACACATTATACCTGTATACACATCTGAAACAACACACATTATACATGTACACACTACATAATAACTTTACACACATGCTACACAGCGTGCATGGTCATTTAAAGAAATCTCTTACAAAACCGCAAATATGTTATATGCCATATCTTGATAGCAAATACAACAAATGAATGATATACAATTCTCGAGGCCATACATTGTACCCGCCCCATCCAACCCCACCCTCCAGGCTTGTGAGAAGGTATCCCAGTTTTTCTAACCTCTTGTATGGGGTTGAAGTCGGGGTCGTTGAGGTTTCGGAGGAACCAGAGCACCCCCGGCCGCAGGACCTCGCGGAGCAGCAGGATGAAGGATGCGAAGTAGAACACATAGACCATCCCCACCAACCAGTGGATGAACATCGACGTTCCCGGCGCCAGGTGGAAACTTGTCTTACGATCTTTGAGCGTTGCATCAAACATTGACTGCAGAAACAGGAAAGATGTTCAGCATAGCGAAAATACACAAACTGTACCTAACAATAATCATTTTTTAACTGCTTGGAATAAACATAAAAATATCAATATAGGCATGATAGGACGAAGCAGTAGAAGTCTTCGTATGCTGGCATTATACTGCTTCAGATACCCATTCTAGTGCCCACTCTACAGCTGGTTTGGCTGGAAGTGTGTCAAGAAAAGTCCCTTCTCTTTCATTGTCAATACTACACGGCTTTGTATACATGACGTTCCTCCATCACCTATGAATGTATGGGTTCGTTTTGTAGTTCAAATTATCAACTAAAGAATCACGTCACTACCAGGTCCAGCGAGAGGGAAGCCAGTGGGTGCTTACATTGCTTATATTTCTGTTGAACCATGTGCTATTGCTTTGCGACTATCTGTTCTAAATTAGCTTCAGTATCCGGTAGAGTTCACACAAACTTCATGCACAGAATAGGGCACATGATTTCTGTTGAACCATGTGCTATTGCTTTGCGACTATCTGTTCTAAATTAGCTTCAGTATCCGGTAGAGTTCACACAAACTTCATGCACAGAATAGGGCACATGATTTCTGTTGAACCATGTGCTATTGCTTTGCGACTATCTGTTCTAAATTAGCTTCAGTATCCGGTAGGGTTCACACAAACTTCATGCACAGAATAGGGCACATGATTTCTGTTGAACCATGTGCTATTGCTTTGCGACATCTGTTCTAAATTAGCTTCAGTTTTAGGTAGGGTGCACCTAAGTTCATGCACAGAATAGGGCACTCTTGACTTATACATGTTATAAACTTTAAATAGACACTGGTCACCATTACATCAACTACATACCAACTATGTATTCACTGTTGAAGTACTGATGACACTTTCTTTGGGTACAAGCAATCACATCCCTTATTTTGAAGCATGTCCTAGCCCTCACTCTGGAGAGTTTCTTCAAGGTCCAGCTATATGACGGTGGTCGGTAAATAATCGAGCCTGAACCAGAAAATCCAGTGATTGACATCATGAGCATCGATCAATGTAATTGGGATACGATGACATGCATCAACTAAGTCAGCGAGCCTGACCACCCAATCCCATTAGTCGCCTCTTATGACAAGCAGAGTCGCCTTTCTTTTATGGCAGGAATGGGTTGTTGAACACCTATTCTAGCCCAGATCTTCATGGGGGATACAAGCATGGGTTGTTGAAGGCCTATTCCACCCCTGATCTTCAAGGGTCAACTCACCAGAGAGCAGATGTCCAGCCACCAGCCACAGATGAGTGGGAATACCCCGATCTCCACGACAACCAGCAACTTCACCTTCACCACCACGTAACACAGACCCAACACACGGCGGAACCTGGGACACAAGTAATACACACAGTCACAGGTTAGATTGAAAATGTGTTGATTGTTTGTTTCTTGTTTAACATTGTTCAACACAGCACTCAGCAAACTTTCAGCTAAATGGTGCATAGATACCAAAAGCTCAGAGACAAAACATCATATTTCACCCCACCGGTGAGTGGTGACACATTTATGCATGGATTACTTTGTGGACATTTAAGATACAACAAAATCAGTTGCTTTCCATCTTCAGCAGTGGACAGCTTATGTTGGATATTATCGATGACACAATTTTCATATCGATTATTGTTAATATTTCTTCTCATTGATGAAAATTCTGATTATCAATCTTCTTAGCCATCCCTAATGGTCTGTCAATAGTTGAGTCTGGATAAACCAGTGGTTGATATTATGAGCACCGTCCCACATCATTAGAGTACGATGATATGCAATATACTAGGTCCCAAAGCCTGACCACTCCAACATGTAACATGTTCAGTAGCCTCATACAACAAACAGTTTTGTTGGCGACCCTACTTAAACCAGAATCTCAACAGGGTCAAGATTGAAACAAAATGAAAAATGTGGAACTTGTTAAAATCCTTTCAGAACTATCATCTTACATTATGGAAAATTCAATATTTTGAACAAGAGTCTCCAAGACTTTCACTTGAACATGTCGTCAAAAAACGGTAATCCATAAAAAACAGGCAATATTACAAATAAGGCCAAGGGTACTCTTATTAACAGGAATTCTAAGATGCCTTCACTCAAAGATCACAAGGCTCTGACTGCGATAAAGTACACTTTTTAGTTGCGTCATAATTGGCTGACGTCATGACGCTGTTCCGACTATCTCCCCCGTGATCTAATGTATCCTTGGTAACATTGTTCTTTCATTACTGTCAAACAAGATGGCACTCTTATATCATTATTCGGTGATGCAAGTGTCCTCGTGCTTTAACTATAATAGTCCATACTTTATTACACTATAAATGGGGGCAAAGCAAACTTTATTACTTAAATATATCTTAGATATGAACAAAATATAAATCTTACAAAGATACTGTTTGAGAAGCTTGTGTTGGAGGGTATAAAACCATGAAACTCACTTTTTCAGCCTGGCTACCGAACACATGACGTAGAGTGCCAACAAAGACAGTGCGATCACCACGTAGCCCGTCAATGTGGTCAGCAAACCCTCGAAGTGGGACGACAGAATCTAGGAACAAACACATTATAATGTACAAAGGATTGAGTGAGTGTTGAATGCCGCGGTCAACAATGTTTCAGCTACTGCCAAACAAACTAATCATTTTGGGACAGTAGCTGTTCCGCATGCAACGAAGGGAGTCCATTTCTATTAAACATGGGGTTGTGGAGGAGTTCATGTGCTATGTGTGTTTGTCAGTGTGCCACATCAACACATGCACCATCTTCACATTAGTGAATTGTATTATGAGGCAGTAAAGATTGTTTTTACATTGTTGTCATTGTCAGTGGCAAAGTGTGATTGAAACGCTCATAAAATGTCAAGGGCTGAGCGGCCATATTGTAACTGGAAGTGTGATTTAGAGTTACCTCCCTTGGTTGTTGACAAACACAGGACAGACATGATTGTTAGAGAGGTTTCTGAATGTGACACAAAGGCATTTTATCTACTTGCCAAGTGTGGATTGGATATCTATCTGAAAACACAGAATTTCTGCCAACTTCCAACACTTTAAAATTCAAAAATGGAGTATCAAGACATTACAGTGACAGAATCTGGACATTATTGACTACACTGACTGATGTTACAGTGTTACAGGGCCTGTTACATATTACTGCTGCCACATATTTGACCCTTTGTATTTCCTTTTGTGATTGTAAACCTAAAACTGTGTGTTTCAATATTATTTGTTAATTAAATTATTTATTGATCTTGTGTGGTCATTTACTGATTTCACAAATTAGTCCTGTACAAAATGATGACCTAGTGAACATTTCAATCAGTTTGGAAACCACTTTGTCACAACTGGTTGTAAAGGGCCAACACAGTGAGCCCATAGTGTTGTTTAACATATTTCAACTTTGGTAACACACAATTATGTCTTTTTCATCTTTTAACCCCTGTCTGTTTCACTCCTCAACCCCCCCCCCCATCCCCTACCTCAATGATTGCCATGTTTGTATGCTTTGTGTCATGAAATCGCGAATGTTTTCGTTATCTGATCAACTAGGTCGTCGCAAGAAAAGTTGCCTGGATGTGGCAAGGGTAGAAACTAGGTTTTGATATAGGCTAGTGGACACGCTTGCCTCGGGAAGATGGACCAATGTATGAGAAATATGATTTTGTTTGTTGTTTAACACTGCACTCAGCAACATTCCACCTATATGCTGGTGGACTGTATTGAGTGAGTGAGTGAGTGAGTATTATCTTATGTCGCTTTTAGCAATATTCCAGCAATATTCCACAGCGGGGGACACCAGAAATAAGCGTCACACATTGTACCCATCTGGGGAGTCGAACCCGGGTCTTCGGCACGACGAGCGAAAGCTTTAACCACAAGGCTACCCACCGCCACGGCGATCTGCATACAAACAAATCTAGGCCAGACAATCCAGCGTTTGACAGCAAGAGCATTAATCTAAGCAATTGGGATACGATGACAAGCATCAACCAAGTCAGCGAGCCTGACCATCCCTCCTGTTAGTCACCTCATACAACAGAGAGTGAGTGAGTGTGTATGGTTTGACGCAGCTTTTAGCAATATTCCAGCAATATTTCTGGGGACACCAGAAATGGGCTTCACACATTGTATCCATGTCGGGAATCGGACCTGGGTCTTCGGCTTGACGAGCGAATGCTTTAACCACTAGGCTACCCGACCGCCCACCTCATACAACAAGCCTGGGTTGCTGAAGACCAATTCTAACCGGGATCTTCACGGGGGTATTTTACATGAACTTACAGCATCATCAGCTTTCAATCCAACCACGGTGAAATGCCCAATATGATATGGACAGAATGCTGAAACACAAAGAAACAGTTTGACATACGGCACAGAGACACCCTGACACATGATGGGGATGGGGTATTATATGGAGGCAGTGGTACTACAGCTGTAGTATTTCATCCATTAACGCAATTGAGGCCAACTTTAACAGAAGGAGATATTACAATGTTTAGGAGACAGACCATTAGTGTTCCTTGATCAACATTGATCTTCAACATGCATGTACTCACCAAAGACAAGAATAAACAGGGTGTTGAGTGAGACAACCCAGAACACATGTTCCTGCAAAAGAAAATATATTGTTTTTACAGGGTTTAGAAGTGCAGATGATACAAAATCTACCATATTTTGTCAAAGGTTCACATATGTTATACAATGAAGATTAAATGTTGACCTTTATCAGCTTATAACAGCTTTTCCCAAGATACATTCATAAATAAAATCTTTCTAAAATTTCCCTATCAGTCTCAGTGTCACATAGAACTTGACACACATTTCATAATTAGTGACTTTGACATCCATTGTTTGCCAGAGTGAGTGAGTATGGTTAATGCTTTAAACGCTGCGTTCACTTGCATAGAGTGATCTCAGCCAAGACTGTTGTAACTGTCATACTTGAATGAATAAATGTCTGCGTCTCATTTGATCCCCACAACGACATCAGATCCCTTCTGTGTATGGTTTTACGCCGCTTTTAGCAATATTCCAGCAATATCACGGCGGGGGACACCAGAAATGGGCGTCACACATTGTTCCCATGTCGAACCCGGGTCTTCGGCGTGGCGTGCGAACGCTTTAACCACTAGGCTACCCGACCGCCCCCATTGTTTGCCAGAAAATTAGCCCATGGTTACTTAGTTTGTGTATCAGGTGTGAAGTCACTAAGCCTCAAGCTAACCATGAAAAGTTAAGAAAATGTTCCTCATCATCAGTCAAAAGAAATGTCTGATGTGATTCGTGCGGTGTCAGCCACACTGACTGACTGACTGACTGACTGACTGACTGACTGACTGACTGACTGACTGACTGACTGACTGACTGACTGACTGACTGACTGACTGACTGACTGACTGACTGACTGACTGACACACACAAAAGATTAACAAAGCCTGTACCCAGATAGCTACCGATCAGTATCATCAACTTACCAGGAACACGAGGGATCCATCCAGACCGAGCAACTGCAACAACAAATGTTACTAATGATATTGGTGGCATATTTCGTGTCAATATCTTAATTTCATTTTGAAACAAACATAGATTGATAACTTTTAAATATTCCAGCTATATGACAGCGGTCTGTATATAATCAAATCTGGACCAGATAATACAGTGATTGACAAGCTCCTAGCTAGAGAAGTGATCCACATCTCCTAGTTGGCATGAAAATGACAGGCGATGTCTCCTGGTGGATGCAAACAACAGTCATACATAGCATCCATACTAAACAACTGATCAGGGCCCCGTTCCCCAAAGCGATCTTAGTGCTAAGGTTATTGTAAGTCTCATTCTTTAACATAGGCTTACGATCATCGTAGCGCTAAGATCGCTTTGAGGAACGGGGCCCAGGACATATCACGAGGCAGAAGTTCCCAGACTCTACAAAGATGGCCAAGAATGCCTACCCTCTCCCACGTCAGCTCCTCAGCAGCCCGGTCCCACTCGATGGGGTTCCAGTTGTTGTCATCTGAAACAAGTTCGATTTAACACTGCTTTGAAAAGAGTTTGATGTGTTTATCTGGAAATACATCCTCCAATCTAATACTTTCAGCATTGTCTTCATACATGGGTTTGTTACTGTGATTCATAAGTTCAGACATTTGTTAATCAGGACAGTTTTACTGCAGTGATATAAACTCCACACTATCAACACAAGTCCACACTATCAACACAAGTCCACTTATTATCACAAGTCCATATTATTAACACAAGTCCACTCTATCAACACAAGTCCACACTATCAACACAAGTCCACATTATTAACACAATTCAACACTTTCAACACAAGTCCATTCTATCAACACAAGTCCACTCTATCAACACAAGTCCGCATTATTAACACAAGTCCACACTATCAACACAAGTTCACACTATCAACACAAGTCCACTCTATCAACACAAGTCCACACTATCAACACAAGTCCACTCTATAAATACAAGTCCACTCTATCAACACAAGTCCACTCTATCAACACAAGTCAACTCTATCAATACAAGTCCACTCTATCAACACAAGTCCACTCTATCAACACAAGTCCACACTATCAACACAAGTCCACTCTATCAATACAAGTCCACACTATCAACACAAGTCCACACTATCAACACAAGTCCACATTATTAACACAAGTCCACACTATCAACACAAAGCCACACTATCAATACAAGTCCACACTATCAACACAAGTCCACACTATCAACACAAGTCCACACTATTCAAAGAATGAAAAACACAACTAACTATCCCTCTTCTACAGCTACTCACCCTGTGCCACATTGTTGGCGTTCATCTCACCTTCCCCTTCATCTCCCCGGTCATCGTCCCCCCCGAGGTTGCCAGGGTTACCATCATTCTGATTACCTCCGCCTCGGTTGCCCCCAGCAAACCCACCAATGAGGTTATTCATAGCACCTCCGTCAAGGAAGTTCTGAAACATTTCATCACATAGATTCAGGTGATCCTCAAGTTGGTTGTCTCATCACTGTCTACCCAAACGCCATTTTACCTGACCTACACCCGGCTGTCTTCCAAATGCCACGTGGGTCCCACGGGACACAATCCCCAGTCCACACCCACCCTGTCACCACCTCACCACTGCCCACAGACCCCATCCACCCTCTGTCCCCCTGGCTGCCACACCCACAGTCCCCACCCACCCTCTGCCACTACCTGGCTGCCACACCCCTTTGTCCACACACTCCACCTATCCCTTGTCCCACCTGCCTCTGACACCCACTGTACACACACTCCATTTACTCTGCGTCCCCAACCTGGCTGTCTTGACTCTGCCCACAGTTCCCACCTGCCCTCTGTCCCTCCTCCGGCTACCACACCCACAGTTCCCACCTGCCCTGTCTCCCACCAGGCTACCACACCCACAGTTCCCACCTGCCCTCTGTCCCCCTCCTGGCTACCACACCCACAGTTCCCACCTGCCCTCTGTCCCCCACCTGGCTACCACGCCCACAGTTCCCACCTGCCCTCTGTCCCCCACCTGGCTACCACGCCCACATTCCCCACCTGCCCTCTGTACCCTACCTGGCTACCACACCCGCAGTCCCCACCTGCCCTCTGTCCCCCACCCGGCTGCCACACCCACAGTCCCCACCTACCCTCTGTCCTCCCCCAGGCTGATTATCCTGCTCCAGCCAGTCAGGCCCTCCACCATGCAGGATCTGTTCCCGGAGCCACACCAAGCTGATGAACGCACACAACGTACAGGTCACTACAAAACAGCCCTGGAAACAATCGGATGCCAAGTTCTCCCTGAAACACACAACATGACAACATAAGTGTATAGGCTGTAAACAAAATATGAGGCTACATCTTCATCACTAATCCCTGGGGGACAAATACAATCCTTCTCAGCATACGCTCACACAAATAACGCTGAACAATAATTAGCTCAGGCAGTCATATTTATTGTAGGTATCTTCAGTGTAGATATGGACCCGTGAAGATTCCAGGATAGAATAGGTCTTCAGCAACCCATTCTTGCCGTAAAAGATGACTATGCTTGTCGTAAAAGGCGACTAACGGGATCGGGTGGTCAGGCTCGCTGACTTGGTTGATTCACGTCATCGATCCCAATTGCGTGGATCGATGCTCATGATATTAATCACTGGACTGTCTGGTCCAGACTCGATTATTTACAGACCGCCGTCATATAGCTGGATTTTTGCTGAGTGCTGCGTTAAACAACAAAACATCAACAACAGTGTAGATATGTATATTTCCCGTCCTAAGGATGCAGGCATTGTCTATATCTCCAAGACTCGCATTTTGGTAAACCTACACTAACCCCTGTGTTCATACCTGTGGTTTTCAAGACCTCAAATATTAACCGCACTTGATTTTTACTTACATTTCACAAACCAATCAAACATCAAGATAAGGAAATGGGTATGGGACTTGCCACCGCCAGTTTTAATGTTTTAATGCCTTAGACGACTGGGCCACCCGTGCCCCCTCATTGCTATGATGTGTACAACTGCAGTACTGAGGTGCGTTCAATAAGCCGCTGTGTGCCGATGCGCCAGCAAGCGCCCCTGAAAATAATTCCTTATGAACGTAATGCATGCTATTCACGCTTTCTAGTGCCTCTGCACATACTGAAGAGGAGGCACACCGAGGGACAAAGATGGGCTACTTAGACAAATGCGGTGCCTGCAAACATTACATTTCGATATTTTCGGCTTATGTCACGATAATGCCGTAAACTTGTTTTGTTGTCTGATCGGTGACCGTTTAGCTAATGGTAAGGTTATCATATCTTTATCATAAACAATAATACTTTACATACACAATGTTCAACACTAATACTAAAATCAGTCTGAAACACCATTTTGAAAACCATGCCCTATGCTGGAGGAAGCTGACACATTGTTCGATAGCACCCGAACGTCCGTGGAGAAAGCTAAGAAAGCGCTGAGAAAGCGCTTTGGCCTATTGATCATAGGCCTGGTGTGTGAGACTTACGTAGACAGCATGTCAAGAGGAAGCGTCAACAAGGAGCTCACTGACCCTGTGAAGAGGCAGCGATAGATACGACCTGCAATAGCAACCAAAACATGCTTAAAAATAAACATCAACAAACATGTAAACAGATATCAATGACACTTTGCATGTAGTTTTGGGACAGATGTTTTTAGCACAATACAAGCAACCAACATTCATCTCAGTATTACAGAAGTCCCTCAGACGTTCTGATCAAGCTATTACAGTATCATGCCCATGTCACACATTCATCCATATTGAATATATGTGTGATCAGGATGAAGTCTGTCATTCAGCATGGTAAGGCATTGTACTTACATTCCACATTCAAATGGGTTTAATGTGGATAGGAGAAATATCAGCTTCCTGTCATGTTTGCAGTGGCTACTGGTTTACCATGTTTACAGACACAACCTATTGTAACTTACACGCTGTGAGCGGCACGACTCCCAGCCAGGCAAAGGAGAAATATCAGCTTAATGCTACTGGTTTACAGACACAACCTATTGTAACTTAAACGCTGTGAGCGGCACGACTCCCAGCCAGGCAAAGGAGAAATATCAGCTTAATGCTACTGGTTTACAGACACAACCTATTGTAACTTACACGCTGTGAGCGGCACGACTCCCAGCCAGGCAAAGGAGAAATATCAGCTTAATGCTACTGGTTTACAGACACAACCTATTGTAACTTACACGCTGTGAGCGGCACGACTCCCAGCCAGGCAAAGGAGAAATATCAGCTTAATGCTACTGGTTTACGAACACAACCTATTGTTACTTACACGCTGTGAGCGGCACGACTCCCAGCCAGGCAAAGGAGAAATATCAGCTTAATGCTACTGGTTTACAGACACAACCTATTGTTACTTACACGCTGTGAGCGGCACGACTCCCAGCCAGGCAAAGGCCACCAGTGTGTAATGAAACCAGTACCGGACAGCGCGGGCGATGCTCTTCAACAGACCACTCACTATATCTTTGATAGGAAGCCGCTTCGGCATGTCTGGCGAGTAAACTGTGGAGAGAAGGGAATAGGTAACACCACAACTGGTATGCATACACAACGTTCCTTAGACAACATCACAACACTTGACAGATACTGTAAATCTTGAATTTAAAGCGAGAGTGAATTAAATGCGAAAAATGCAAGTGGTCTTTGCTCACATTAACTTCATTTTCATAACTTAAGGTTAGAAAAATGAGATCTGATTGGTTCATGTGATGTAATATCACGTGATATAAAATACTATGATTCCGGCCTGGGAGGAAATAAACTTCTGAGTGGGAGAATAAATCCCTTATACCCTGTCACAAACAACACAGGCTGCACATAGATTCCTGAGCAGGAGAATAAATCCCTTATACCCCGCTTCGAAGTAAAAAAATGCACGCTTTTTCTTAGTCAGTGAAATTCATCACCTCCGGCTCGTCACATAAAACCTAATGCGGGATACATAAAACCACATGTACACCTTGTGATACTGCTACAACTTATACAGTATCTACAAGAGCAGCACAACCAGAGCAGCTTTGAGTGTCTGTTATTTTACTCATCATTCATGACCACTGTCCACATCATTACTGATTCATTCCAGGCTCTAAAAGTAATTATCAAAACGTACAGTACGCTACACTATTTCAGTACTTTACGGGACCCCCATACTGCCTGCAAGGACCCTTAAAATTAATTATTGGGGTCCTTGCACTCCCACTGTTGTACTTCAAGATAAATCCCTCTGTCTCTTTTAAGTAAGTGACTGTTCACCTAGCAGTGAATGGGTACCCGGTAGGATAAGATTGTAATATGACTGTTAACCTTCTAGCACCTCACAAGCAGCTTGGCTTCAATACTCCCCAGGGACTGAGAATGAAAATTGACTGAACGCTGATCCATTGATCGGGGTAATAACAAAGCACTTTGAGCATGCTTTAGGGTGTGGATTTGGCATATCATAAATAATGAACATCATTACATGTATTATTAACAGTGAGAACCAGCATATCTTGCAGTCTCCAATCAAGAGAAACAAAGTGTGCCTGACACACAACTTCATTGTGGCAGGATAATCATGATAATACTCTCACTTGAAATACATGAGACAAGGTCACAATGTAGAATCCACATGAACAAGAAAAATCTAGTTACAGTAAGCTATGGTTATAACGAACTCAAAGGGACCACTAATTTTAGTTTGCTATAACTGCAGTTTGTTATAAGCATAAATACAGTATATATGCAGCAAATGGCCGGGACCAAAAAATAAGTTTGTTACATCCATCAGTTCGTTGCAAGCGTGTTCGTTATAAACGTAGTTTACTGTACATCGAAGTGTACATGCACCAATTGTGTTGAACAACATGACTTATGTCAATCAAACGGACAAATTATCAACATTTACTTACTTGGTGTGAATGCAAATTTGTGTTTGCATAATTCACAGTATTCTTTGCGACTGTATTTCAACCACTGGACAAGACTGAAAGTAGATAACATGGGAATTATTAGCAGTACAACTGATGCATATTGTCCGGGCGATAACATACACAGTAGACACAGAAGAATATGTGGAAATTTCAAGTCAAAAAGTGTTTATCTACCTACCTTTCGAAGTACAGTACATACATCATGATTTACACACAGAGAGCTGTTTGATAGTGAAATGATTCAAATGATGTAGGTCTTTCTCAAATTGCAAGTGTAGGCATATCTACAAAAGGCCAACATGTGAGGCAGACCTGTGAAGACCGGGGGTAGAATAGGTCTTCAGCAATCCATGCTTGCCGTAAAAGGCGACTATGCTTGTCGTAAAAGGCGACTATGCTTGCCGTAAGAGGCGACTATGCTTGTCGTAAAAGGCGACTATGCTTGCCGTAAAAGGCGACTATGCTTGCCGTAAAAGGCGACTATGCTTGTCGTAAGAGGCGACTTTGCTTGTCATAAAAGGCGACTATGCTTGTCGTAAGAGGCGACTATGCTTGCCATAAAAGGCGACTATGCTTGTCGTAAGAGGCGATTATGCTTGTCGTAAGAGGCGATTATGCTTGCCGTAAAAGGCGACTATGCTTGTCGTAAAAGGCGACTATGCTTGTCGTAAAAGGCGACTATGCTTGTCGTAAGAGGCGACTATGCTTGTCGTAAGAGGCGACTATGCTTGTCGTAAGAGGCGATTATGCTTGCCGTAAAAGGCGACTATGGGATAGGGTGATCAGGCTCACTGACTTGGTTGATGCATGTCACTGTGTCACAATTGCGTAATTTGATTCTCATGATGTCAACCACTGGATTGTCTGGTCCAGATTCAATTATTTACAGACCGCTGTGATATAGCTGGAATATTGCTGAGTGCGGCGTTAAACAACAAACAAACAAACATGTGAGGCAATGTTAAGAGAGATACCTCTAAACGTAAGTAATCATGGTAATGGCACTGAAACATGTTGTGTCCAATACTCTCTATACACTAAACATGCCAAACACTCCACCACCTTAAAATAATGTTTCAATCCTCTGTGATGAGTCAAAAATGTATACAAAAATAATCAAGTGACTAATGGCATGTGGTCCTGTGCACAGCGCACAGGTCACAAATCAGTGAGTGAGTATGGTTTTACGCCGCTTTTAGCAATATTCCAGCAATACCACGGCGGGTGACACCAGAGATGGGCTTCACACATTGTACCCATGTGGTGAATAGAACCCAGTTTTTGAACGCTTTAACCACTAGGCTACCCCACCGGCCCAGGTCACCAGTCAGGTAAAGTTAAGCAACCTTGGTCGCGGAGAGTATGGGTTACCATGTTCGACAGCTTGGCTCCTAGGAGTTTCTAGGGCTTTGGTCCTGCCCCACACTGAAGCACATATAACACATGTGGTGTCTCTTGGGCCAGTGACTTTGTTAGAAAATGTGCCTCGGTTCACCCAGCAGTGAATGGGTACCCGGTAGGATGAGATGGCAATGTTGCTGTTAACCATCTAGCCCCTAACCATGCTAACAGGCAGCTCGAGTTGTATACTCCCCACGGAGCTGAGAATGATTGTTGAGTGCACACTGATCCATTGACCGGGGTAATAATTTAGAGCACTTTGAGTAACCACATAGCGGATGGAAACAGCCCCTAACAAATGCACTAATTATTATTATTAATATTATTATTTGAACACGCACCAATCTTGATGGATGAACTTGATACTGCCCATACACACACAAGGATGATAGAGAGGCTTGTCAGGGGTCCCTTCACAGCGACACACCCGACAAATATCTGAAAATAAAATAACAAGTTTGATATATCTGAATCAGTGTGAACATGATAAAAGCGGAAAGAGTGAGTTAGTGAGTGAGTCCGATTTTACGCCGCTTTTAGCAATATTCCAGCAATATCACGACGGGGGTCACCAGAAGTGGGCTTCACACATTGTACCCATGTCGGGAATCAAACCCGGGTCTTCGACGTGACGAGCGAACGCTTTAACCACTAGGCTACCTGACCGCCCCTCAAAAGCGGAAAGATGGTCTACACATACTCCACTTGCCACATGCATGACACAGAACATTGGTCACACTATTTTATGAAATGTTGATTTGGTTCTATTTTTGAAGGCTCATCGTCTGTATCAGCTTCTGCACCACATGCACGGTATGCTTCAGTGGACATTAAGTCGTCTCCCTCTCCGGCCTCCTTCAAATCAATCCTGAAAACCCATCTCTCCAGATGTCACTACGTCCGATTCCCATTGGATCTTACCCTCTAGCTATGCTTCCATGTTTTATGTAGCGCTGTAGGTGGATATGGCGCAACAGAAATGTCCAATATTATTATTATTATCTATTTATTTTTTATTTTTTTATTATTATTATTTCATGGTGTAGTCTAGGCTAGCATGGTTAGTGACATCTAGGTGTTCAACTGACTTGATTGATTAACAATGTAATCACGGTAATCATCATCATCATGATAAATCATGTGGATCCATGTTTGATTTTCCAGAACAACATTAACAGGTCACACACACAACATGTACACACACTATTTTCCCTGGACAAGTTGTCCCTGATCCTACTGATGTACTACACAATTCATTACCCCTCAACAGAGCTCCAGATAACCTTTTTCAATAGCAATTGAGTTTTTACTTGAAGGTTTCCATTTAATGGGGTTAGTACATTTTTCATTGGGTAACCAATATTTTTCACTCAACTATTAATCACTCTATTGGGTTTTTCTCCAAATGAGCTAACATTTTGAGATTAAAAAAAGAATATATATTATTTCAGAATAATAATAGCATTAATTTGCATAATTCATTTCGGATTTGTTGAATGGTACTTCCAGTTTTACCATCTCATGGTAATCAGCTGATAATGTTTTGGGCAATGAAAAACTTGAGTTAATTAAACACGTAAATTTGGGAGCCATGTGTTACTGCGCACGATAACTGAGTTAGCACTATACTGAAGGGCGCAATGGCAAGGGAACACTTTTTTTCATAAATACAATAAGTGTAAGTATAAGTCTTATATGTTGCTGCTATCATAATCAATCACACATTGAAACTACGCAATCCTACTTTTAGCTGACACTCACAAGCACAGTAGGCATGGTAAGGTAGCAGAAACCCATTCTGCCTCTGATTGTGAGATATGTTAGCAGCAAACCCATAAGCATGTTAAGCAGTCACCTTGATTATTTTTGAATATAATGACTAAACATGCTTAAAAAAAGGAGAGCATAAAAAATGTTCATACATCTTGGAAGACAATAAAATTGTTATCTACTGGCTCATGTACATGATGTAGGTATCCATCAGGATGTTCTGCAAATTGAAATCTCTAACTTCACATACTGATATTCATTACATAGATCATGTAGATTGCATTTCATCCTATCACAATTTGTGTGCAGAGACAAATTAAACATTTCGCTGTTCCATGTTTATTTCAATAATAATTTTACTGACATCTTACACAAGGAAGTGAAAATAACAATAGCATGCATCTTTTCTTATAGTAATGTCCAAACTTCTTGCAGTTCCACAAGCATACGTTCAACAGTGGCCAGAAAGTTTCAGTAGGCTATGTGGGCAGTATCATCCAGGCTGGGTGATATCCTAAGCATGTCAAGGATTCATTATCATGATTATGTTTAAATCAACCAAAAATAAACATATTTGATACCCTAATTTATGAACACTACCAAATGGTATTTTCATCAGACCTGGTCGTATTAAAACAATGGTAACATGGGCTATATTACCAGAGACCATTAAAAAACATACCCCCCTTGAATCCATTACTGATAGGAACTGATAAAGACTAATCTTAGCATTGAAGATGTCGAGCCACTTAGAATTTTATGATGATATCCTCATCCCCACATCTTGACTGTAATGAATAACGACAAATACAGCATTTTGTGGCATCAAATAGACTGCTACGTGCTGCTTTTGCAGACATTTTGTCACCAAACAAACACAAACTTTACGATTCGCACCACCATCAGGTAAACAAACATGTATTGGATAACAATGGATTGTATATGAGTATCTGCCACATACAGATGAAAAGTAGATACTGTTATGTCCTTATATTTCATATACCAACATCAATATGTCCAGATTGCAAGTTAAATAGTGAAAATAATGATAGATTTTACCTGGCTGTCCCTCTTGGTCATCCATATTGGAGGGAATGTCGTTACGTCGTTTTCCAAGGATAGATATTGAAAGCACCATACTAATCCTAGAAATAGGTTTTGTCTTTATGCAAGATCGTTAGTATAAAAATATGATTCCCGATCTTACTGTTCAATTAATTAACGGTATTTCCTTTTGTTACGACAACCGCACGCAGACTCGCACCGACCAACTTCCGGTTGGTAACGATAGACGCAAAAAGTTTGCGAAACACGAATGAGGTTATATTGTAATGCCTTTAACATGTGAGATTTTATTAACAGTATAGGTCACAAATAAACCAGACCTGACGACTTGACATGCTCAAAGGTAATTAGTAAGGAAACTGTTGGAAACATGGCAGAAGATGAGTTAGATTTGGCCCTGGAGCTGAGTCGAGATCTAAATCTCGCAGCACAAAATGATGCACAGAAAGACAAGGCCGTCTGGGAACACGAAGACTTAGCCCAGGTATATTCTAAGTTTTAGACCAATTAACAGAAACCGATATTTTGTTTAATCAGTTTTTTTAACAACATGGTTTCCATTCAGGATTCTGTAAACAACTGCAGCACACCACTAACAGGGTTAGAAATTGGCACTAGTCCTATAGTCCTTGACAAACTGCCCAATAGTAAAGGTATCCTAAGGACTAGTAGAATTTTGACATTTTTAAAGGTTTTGCTATATGCTATCATTATAAGGACTAGTGGACTGAAACTGTTAGTTTCTACCGCTGACTAAGGGATGCGGTGAATTTGTAGACACCGCCAACTCGTAGACACAATTTGCGGTGAATTCGTAGACAAACCAGAAGTGAAATCGTAGACACCTTTGTTACACTGGAAGTGAATGATAATTACTATCTGTGTCTTTCACTCATCTCAACAGTATCAGAATTGAATGATAAATAAATAATCGTGTAAGAGGATCATTCGTAATTGCTGAGCGAAGTCTATTACCATATATAATTATTTTGTTGAAATAGGTTTTGCAGGATAACTAATGTTATAAATTAATGATCAGGTAAGTATATCCAAGTTGAGGCCAATTGGAATTGTGCATCCAAACTGAGAAGGAGATTAATTATAGCTTCCACATCTATCTCTGTAAAAGATAAGATTCAAAACTAGCTGTGTGAAATGTGAGCAAGAAGTATTAACCAAAGCATCATTATGCATCAAATATTTATTTTCATTCAAAAGTTGCATAGAAACAAGTACCATTATTTTTCAGCCAAACCATGTATAAAAGGAAATTAGGGCTCATTGGATTAGCTTGGACACATTTTTTGAGACACTTGGTTGAAACGAGGGGCGTTCAATAAGTTTTGCAACTTCAATATAAGACCAAGTCACAAAATATCTTTTGCACTTATTTTCAGTATAATCTCCATTCACCTCAATACACTTATTCCATTTGTCCTTCAAGCTTTTAATACCACTTTTATAGAAATCCGCAGATTGGCCCTCTAACCACGCCTCTGTGGCAGCCTTTATGTCCTCGTCATCCTGGAAGCGTCTTCCACGTAGGGCAGATTTCATTTGCCGGAACAGGAAGTAGTCACTTGGGGCTAAGTCTGGGTTGTACAGTTAAATCACCCAACCTACAGCCCAGACTTAGTCCCCAGTGACTATTTCCTGTTCCGGCAAATGAAATCTGCCCTCCGTGGAAGACTTATTGAACGCCCCTCATATGTACATAGCCCTTGATAGGATAGTCCTTTATACATAGCCTTTGACAGTATATGACTCCTTTGCATTTTATTACACCTTTTTCTTTTGAACCATGTCACTGTGTCTTTTGTTTGCTAGGTACGTATGCGAGTTTTAAGGGAGCATTCGAAAGGAGTAAACAGCTGCCAGTTTTTCAACGATGGTACCAAATTTGTGACGGCGTCAGATGACAAGAGCGTCAAGCTCTGGAGCTTCCAGTCAGGGGGAGTGCTACAGAGCCTGGACAACATCCATGACATGGCAGTCAATGAAGCTAGGATCTCATCAGATGGGAAATGGTAGAGTATGACCAGATACAGTTGTAGAGATGAAACCAGAGTGATTCATTCACTGATAACATTGAAGTTGCACCAGAAACACCAACAATATTGACATTTTGACATGCCCCTTGTGAAGGGGCTAGAAATCATCCTCCAGCATTAGGAACTAACAGTTTGTGTCCACTAGTCAAAATCAGCGATCTAAAAAGGTGGCTGAGTGGGTTAGATAGCTGACTTTGTGTGCTGACGATTTGGTGCCGCACTCTGGCAGCGTGGGTTTGAATCCCGCATGGTATTCAACCCAAAACAGTACGAGAATCTGTACTTTACTAAGAAAGTGTTATCAAATATAGCATTTGTTACATTTGACCTCTTTCTAAATGGCATTTCTGTGTTCATAGCTTTCAGCAATGGGAGCCGTGCCAGTTTACACTTGTCAGAGGGGTACACAAAGTTCTGATCTAGACTACCAGTTGTCAGACTTTCATTTTTGTGGAAGCCTCGGTGGCTGAGTGGGTTAGATCGCTGACTTGTGTGCTGGCGATTTGGTGCCTCACTCTGGCAGTGTGGGTTCGAATCACGCATGCGCGTTCAGTTCCAAATTCAATTTAGCGGGGTTAAATCTACAGGTAACCTAGCTCTACATTGAAAACACAGTATGTTTATCTCCTAATTGGTCAAAAATACTTAGTTCATAAAAGTGCATGAATTAGCAACACTCAAAACACAGACTAAAGTATTGCTGCCAATGTATATTCTTTAAAACAACATTTTTCACTCTGATAAGACTAATTAGCAAGATTGTCAGTCAAGTGCCAAAAATACAATGATGATTATTACTTTCCTTTACACATAGTTAATTTCTATGAGTGTTAATTGCTATGGTTTTGAGTAGCAAGTTCCACAGGGTGTTGACAATTACTGCATGTACAAATGATAGAAAATGAATGGCAACCTATTTTCCTACAACACATTCCAGGATTTCCTCATGTAACCAACATCTGTTGTGCATAACAACAGTCATGTGTGATCAACTCCAAACAAAAAATCGACCTTACAGATTTATTCCTTGTGAAAAAAGTACTTGGGATTAAGTATAGGAAAAAGGAACTTACTGCAACACACTTATTGAACTGTTGTAACTATTTCATCTCATTTCCATTCTTAATTTAAAGGGGGGGGCACGGGTGGCCCAGTCGTCTAAGGCGCCGCAATTCGCTGTGCAGAGTTGCATCCCTTGGGCATGCCAGAAACCTATGATTGTTGGTTCGAATCCTGGTTCGCCCTGATTATGTTTCTAGGTTTGTCAGCACCATACCCGTGCTCGTGGGTTTCACCAAAATGGTAAACGTCTGAGACCTACGTCACTTCGGGCTTTCCTCCCACATTAAGCTGACACGCCGTGATATGACTGGAATACTGTTAAAAGCGGCGTTAAACCCAACTCACTCACTTAATTTAAAGGATACTAGCCATTTAGGATAAAGTGTGTTCACTTGTGCATTTTCAATCTTTTTCATTCAACTTCAGATAATGAGATATGAAATTTTGTACAGCCTTTTTACGGATGTCAATAAAATGTACAAGCTTAAAAAACATTTACCCATATTGAAATAATGATGACTCCCTGAATGCAATCAGACCTCGTTATTGTCAGACAAATCCATTTTATGAACAGGCGGATTATGTTTGGGTTTTCTCACAATTTTCATGTCAATTATCTGCACCTTTTCTCCCAATGCCGATTATCATGTATCTCCCACTTTTGGGTGCGATCTTTCCCCCATTGCATTCATCTGCATTGTCAAGCTACATCTTTATGGGGGAACAACTCATGAAACACTTTCCTCTGAGAAATAACTTCATCAAGTTGCGAGCGCATGTTCAAATCCCCAGAAACAACATCATGATAGAACAATCACAAATAAACCACGCTTCATTATTTTTGGTGATTTATCCCATAGCTATCTAATAACATGTATAATTCTGTGTCAGCAACATGTGTATGGTATTTTCATGATACAATATTTTTGGTAACAAACTAACAATTGCATAGTTTCTATGTAATCAAGGTATGGACTGTTCTTAGAATGGTTGGTCCTCAGTATTGGACCTCTCGACCAATAGAAAAGCCATATGGTGTAAACTTCACATTAAAATATTATTACATATTTTAATTTCATTGCTGCATTGATTCAACTTGGAAGAAGACATAGACTCTGTGTACACGAGTGTGAGTCTTGTTGCAGATAGTTTGATTATTTTTCAGTTTTGTCAGTTGTGGGTGGGACAAAAAGGTCAAGTTCTGGGACACTGAGAAAGTTGCAGAAAAGGTGAGAAAAGGGCAAATAATGTTTGATTATTTAATATTCTTACCTCACCTGACAGAATACCCTTGAAGATCTGGGGTAGAATAGGTCTTCAGCAACCCATGCTTGCCGTAAAAAGTGACTATGCTTGTCATAAGAGGCAACTAACGGGATCCAGGGGTCAGGCTTGCTGACTTTTTGATGCATGTCATCGTATCCCAATTGCATGGATCGATGCTCATGATGTCAATCACTTGATTGTCTGGTCCAGATTCGATTATTTATAGACCGTTGCCATATACACATGATCTAACTGGAATATTGCTGAGTGCAGTGTTAAACAACAAACAAACAAAATTTGCCTGGCATCCGTCTTCATCTGTCATCATATTCACCTCTGAAGCTGCTGGAAAATGATGCTGAAACTTCATATTCTTGTTTCCACCAATGATGACATCTCAATTTGTTCAAGAGGTTGGAATCTGATTTTCAAAATGGCCACCATGTGTTAGCTGAGGTTCAGACTAGTGGCTAAAGTCGCAGACCGTACTTTGAAAACACAGCATATTTATCTCATCTCATTTCATTTCAGGGTTTCATGTATATTTAAGTTGATAAAAGAGGCATGTTTTCAAGATTTCAAGATAATTCAGTTAGTGTAGTACAAGTCGTTCTGGTCTGGTACATGTGCACTGAGGTTTACGTTGTTGTATTTAGTGGTCCGGGAAGCATGGCGGGGTCGTCACCTGCTGTAAACTGTCACATGACGAGAAGATGGTGTGCTCCGGCTCTGACATGGACAACATCCTGAAAATCTGGGACACCAGATCAGGGGAGATCATTCACAACCTCAAAGGTAGCAGATGAATAGTTCGACACTGCAATCAGTGAGTGAGTTGGCTTTAACGCCGCTTTTAACAATATTCCAGTTATATCACGGCTTGTCAGCTTAATGTGGGAGGAAAGCCTGAAGTGATGCAGGTCTCAGACATTTACCACTTTGGTGAAACCCATGAGCAAGGGTATGGTGCTGACAAACCTAGAAACAAAATTGGGGCGAACCAGGATTCGAACCCACAATCATAGGTTTCTGGCATGCCCAAGGGACGCAACTCTGCATAACGAATTGCGGCGCCTTAGACGACTGGGCCACCCGTGCCCCCACACACTGCAATCAACTTGATCTGCTAGGGATAGAGAAAATGTGTTGGTATAGAACGCGCCATGTCATCATTCTAGTGAGTGCTGTATGTGGATGTGCAACTTGTGAACAATTATTGGACATCTGAGTGAAAAAGGGTCTGTCGTCTCCAGTGCCTCAATTTGCTGTTGCATCCCTTAGGTTGGCCAGAAGCCGGTTATCATGGGTTCGAATCCCTGTTCGTCTTGTTTACGCTTCTATGTTTGTCAGTACCATAATGGTTGATGGGTTTCACCGAAGTGGTACTGCCATAGACCTGCATCACCCAAAGCTTTCCTCCCACATCAAGCCGACACGCTGTGATATGACTGAATACTGTTCAAAGCAGCGTTAAACCAAACTCAAGAAGTCACTCAGAATGAATTGATGCCTTATCATGCTTAATAATCACAATATCATATTATGAGAGACAAGAAAACCACAATGTCTGAATCTTGCTACCCCTGGTCTTAATGTGACAGAGAATGTATTGAATGTGAACCCCATGTGTCTGTCAAACCTGTAGGACATACTGGGCAAATCTCCTGGAGTTTCAACTTCTGCATCGGTTCCTTGTGTTTTCCAGACCACCATTCGAGCACCATCACCAGCTGCATCTTCGCCCCCAAGGATGATAAGGTCATCACTACATCCATGGATAGGGTGACCAAGTTCTTCGATCTCAGGACCTGTACGACCACCATTCAGCTGGAGTGAGTTGAACTTCCCGAGGCAAGAGAGTTAACAAACTATAAAAGTCCAGTTTCCACCCTTGCCGCACTACGCTGCAATTAGGGAGTTCTATTTTGGCTGGACTAACAAGTCTAGGCATAGTCCAATCAAAATCGTAAACAGTCTGTAAACTGCTGTGCAGTTTTTGGCTGATTGTAGGATTTTGCAAAGCATGTTTACCAACAACTTAGCGTCAACAGATATTTCCAAATCTTTTCATGTTTTTAATCAAGGTACTAACATGATGTGATGCACTTCGCAAAGTAAGACCCGTTTTATTACAAAACAGATCTTGATTATCAATCAGATCGTCTTCACTGGGTGATGCTATTTTATTTGAAGCAAATGCAAGTGATATTAGAGGTGGAATCTGATTGGACAGTATGAGGGACATATAAGGGATATGACTCGTAATAGCCACTGGTGGCGCTACGATCGAGCCCAGTAATACCAGCATAATTCAGTAAGGGTGGAAAGTGGACTTTTACAGTCAGTTAACTCCCTTGCCTCAGGAAGATGGGGTGAGTTGAAACAAGTTGAGAAAGTGTTGACTGGGTGAAGGCCACCGTGAACACATCACTGGTTTGTATACACTATGTTCCTCATCACCCATGAATCCATAGGACAGCTTTGCAGTGTAATCGCTGTTTTGAATAACGCACCAAGCGATGCCCTGGTTCCAGCGAGAGGCAATCTCATTAAAATCAGACCTCAGTTCTCGCTACCACTAAGCAAAGATCTGAGGACATCCCATTAGGGGTCACGTCAGAACGACCTTTCATCCGACCAATCAGAACATCGCTTACCAGATTATGAAAGTGACAGTCAGAATGTGATTTCTGATCATGCAGCCTCGAAAACTCCGAACGATAGTTATGTGTTTAACAACTGTAGCCATACCAGAATGTTCCTTTGTTCAGGTTTCAAATTTGTAATCGAGAATTTGTCCAAATATGTTTCGAAGCGTAATTGAAATTAGTGCAGTAAAGCTCGAGAAAGCTGCCTTCTGATTTGTCATTCCATTGGTCGGTCAAAGTTCGTGCAAGGTCGGTCTGAGGTGACCCATAATGGGATGTCCTCAGATCTTTGTTAAGCGGTAGCGAGAACTAAGATCTGATTTTAATGAGATTGAGCGAGAGGGAAGCCAGCAACTATTTCTTGTGCAACGACTTTCTGATCCATACTAGGCTCATTTGACTTCTGTGAGTTTAACACAGCTCATTTCATTACTTGATTAAACCTAAATACCTGTCACAACTGCGCACCATATCAACACTATTCATTCCCTGGGGATGAGGAAGATAGTGTCTACAAACCTGTGAAGTATTGACTACTTGACATGACTTCTTTGAGAGGCATTTAGAAGTTGGAGTACTTAGTAAGGATAAGATATATGGATGAACAACTTCTTTATTATTATTAGTAGCAACGTTTTGCTGTACCGTTAGGTTACACCGTTATCAAGCAAGTGATGTACAGAGTATGGTTGACAGCATATATAAACGGGTATGAGGCAGTTTGGGCTGGGACGAGGTCAACTTTACGACCCGGGTACCCGACCCCGTTACCCAACCCTACCCAGGTACCCACTGCAGGCCTCAAGCGTTGGGGACAAATGTCTGATTGGGAATAGTTTGACTGCAGCCCTGTCAAAATGTATTTAGATACTTAGATAAAATGATCTGGTCATGCATACACTGAAGTTGACTGAAGTTTTATCTTTATTCAAACCTTTAGAGGTCAGAAGGAATGGGTGAATAGTCAGAAATAAATGTGAACACTAATGATTTGTAGTGTACCCATAGAGTTCTAGATAAGTTTTGTCCTTGAACAATAAATCACGTGACTAACAACGGTCAGTACCCACACGACGTGAGTATTCGTGTAACCCATCCCATCCCTAGAGGCAGTGTTTATACAGTTGAGTAGTACGACATCCCACTCCACTCAACTGTTCTGTCAACCATACTCTGTACATCACTGCTTGATAACAGTGTTAGAACCTACACCGAAGCTGTGGACATTGCTGAAGAGGATTCTCAAGAACATATATGGGTAATTCAGTTGATGGACATTTTATGCAATAATGTTGCATAATCATAGGTTGTTCGTAATATCAATCCCTGGATTTTCTGGTCCCAACTCCACCTTGACAGTAACCCGTTCTTGTGTAACTCTGCAGAGGCCACTTCAACATTGTGTCATGCTGTGCGATCTCGAAGGATGAGCGGAAGTTTGCCACAACCTCATGGGACAAGACTGTGCAGCAGTGGGACATTGCCACGGGGATGTACAGGTAATGACATTAGGGGGGGGGATGTACAGGTAATGACATTGTCACGGGGGGGGGGGGGGGGGGGGGGGGGAACAGGTAATGACATTGGGGGGGGATGTACAGATAATGACATTGTCACGGGGATGTACAGGTAATGACATTGCCAGGGGGATGTACAGGTAATGACATTGCCACGTGGAACAAATCATTGTTCTTGGCGATTTATCAAGTAGCTCTCTTGTGCTTAGGAACAGGAAGTTGCATGAATTATGTGTGTGAATATACTTGCAGGTCCAAGGGCTCGGTGTGTCTGAAGGGTCAGCATGAGGGGTCAGTCAGCTGCTGTAATTTCAGCAAAGATGGTAAGATGCTCCCTGATGATGCCTTTATATTCACATCTCTGCCAAATGGGCAGACCTGGGGCTGCCTCCATTGTTAACAAACACCTGTGTGTTAGTTTCAGTAAGATTCTGTGTTACATCACAATCTCAATCCATTGTGAAAATAAATGCCATAATCTGGTCTCCAAGACAGTGAACTCAAAAGACGTTTGGTCAGTTTGGCAATCTGTTGTGTTGGTGTGAAAGTGTTTTGCCTTCTGGGAAATGTGGTTTGTGGTTGGTTTGTTTTGGATTGCTGTTCACAATACAGATCACTCGATTATTTACAGGACACCATCTTACAGCTGAAATATTGCTGAGTGTGGTGTTAAACAACAATCACACCAACCACATACCTTTCATACACAAAGTTTCTTGCAGCCTGGTCAACAAGGTGCCTACCACATTCTGGTTGTTCCCTTGTTACATGGTATGATACAGACAACACAAGCTGATATCTTTCACATTACTTGTAAACAAACAAGTCCTTACAACAAACACTCATTTTGTCCTGTTGTTGAATTGTGTGATGTTTTCAGGCCTGATGTTGAATTGTGTGATGTTTTCAGGCCTGATGTTAAATCGTGTGATGTTTTCAGGCCTGATGTTGAATCGTGTGATGTTTTCAGGCCTGATGTTGAATCATGTGATGTTTACAGGCCTGATGTTGAATCGTGGGATGTTTTCAGGCCTGATGTTTAATTGTGTGATGTTTACAGGCCGGATGTTGAATTGTGTGATGTTTTCAGGCCTGATGTTGAATTGTGGGATGTTTTCAGGCCTGATGTTAAATCGTGTGATGTTTTCAGGCCTGATGTTGAATCGTGTGATGTTTTCAGGCCTGATGTTGAATCATGTGATGTTTACAGGCCTGATGTTGAATCGTGGGATGTTTTCAGGCCTGATTTTGAATAGTGTTGTGTTTACAGGCCTGAAGTTGAATCGTGGGATGTTTTCAGGCCTGATGTTGAATCGTGTGATGTTTACAGGCCTGATGTTGAATCGTGTGATGTTTTCAGGCCTGATGTTGAATCTTGTTGTGTTTTCAGGCCTGATGTTGAATCGTGTGGTGTTTACAGGCCTGATGTTAAATCATGTGATGTTTTCAGGCCTGATGTAGAATCGTGTGATGTTTACAGGCCTGATGTTGAATCGTGTGATGTTTTCAGGCCTGAAGTTGAATCGTGTGGTGTTTTCAGGCCTGAAGTTGAATCGTGTGGTGTTTTCAGGCCTGAAGTTGAATTGTGCGATGTTTTCAGGCCTGATGTTTAATTGTGTGATGTTTACAGGCCGGATGTTGAATTGTGTGATGTTTTCAGGCCTGATGTTGAATTGTGTGATGTTTTCAGGCCTGATGTTAAATCGTGTGATGTTTTCAGGCCTGATTTTAAATCGTGTGATGTTTTCAGGCCTAATATTGAATCGTGTGGTGTTTACTGGCCTGATGTTGAATCATGTGGTGTTTTTAGGCCTGAAGTTGAATTGTGTAGTGTTTTAAGTCCTGATGTTGAATTGTGGGATGTTTTCAGGCCTGATGTTGAATTATGGGATGTTTTCAGGCCTGATGTTGGTGACGGGCTCGTATGACCATAGTGTGGTGGTGTGGGACACAGACAACCATGTCCAGAAGATCAAGTTACAGGTACAATACCACAGTACACCCGGGGATCAGATCCACGATTTGTCCTGTCTATAATCCTTGTGTGTTGGAAAATTGTATCTATAAAGCGATAAACCATGTGGCCGCATCATACCAAAAGATGTTAAAAGATGTTTATTAGAAAAATTGTTTTTATCCTGACTGGTGCTTTGCATAAAGGGAATAGAACAAGGACTGGTCAGCTCGGAGTTGATTTTGATATACTGTGTCTGAGTAGGGTTTCCATTTTAAACTGCGGAGTTGTATCTCAGTGGCCTGGCACCAGAAAACTGGCACAAGACCGAACTAGTCCGCACACGCACACACGCAGAGGTAAAGAAGGAGCATTGTGTAGTGAGTGAGTGAGTTTGGTTTAACGCCGCTTTTAACAGTATTCCAGTTATATCACGGCGTGTCAGCTTAATGTTGGAGGAAAGCCCGAAGTGATGCAGGTCTCAGACTTTTACCACTTTGGTGAAACCCACGAGCACGGGTATGGTGCTGACATACCTAGAAACATAATCAGGGCGAACCGGGATTCGAACCCACAATCATAGGTTTCTGGCGTGTCCAAGCGACGCAACTCTGCACAGCAAATCGCGACACCTTAGACGACTGGGCCACCCGTGCCCCGAGCATTGTGTAAGAAAAGAAACCTGTGAAGTACTGATGATTCTATTGGGAGCACATCACTGGCCAGTCAGGACTTGCAATAAATCCAATGAACTACATCAAGTTCCAAGGATACTTTCTCGAAAATTTTGAGAGAAGGAACAAATTGCAAAGTGATCTATGGTGCCACAATTTGCTGTGCAGAGTTGCATCTGTTGGCAGGGCCAGGGTCTGTGATAATGTTTGTGTACCAGATCAGCCCTGATGATGATGATGATGATGATGATGATGATGACCTGAAATACTGTTCAAACCAGATGATGATTACCTGAAATACTGTTCAAACCAGCATTAAACCCAACTCACTCACTCATCCACTCCCTCATGTATGTTAGATGAAATAATTTACACAAAAAAAGAAAGTTGTTTTACTAGTAGTAGCATGCAATACTGTAACTGTTTTCAAACTCCAGGGACACACAGACTGGATAAATGACGTCTGCTTCAGCGAGGACCAGAAGTGGCTTATCTCTTGTTCAAAGGTATATGTAGGGTTGCAAATGATATGTTGTAGTCTTCTATGTTTGTCAAATGGAAAAAGTATGGAGCTTTTTACATTTTTTAATAACCTCTTGTCTACACAACATTATCTATGGAAATGGTGATCGACAAATAGTACATAAAGGGCTATGATCAGAATGTCGCTAGGGATTAGGGGTTGATTGTTACTCCTCATTTAAGGAGCAATGACACTGACACCAATTTTAGACAATAACCAATATGTGATTTGCAGGACGAGACCGTCCGACTGTGGAATGTTGAGGATACCGACAAGATCCCTGTTGTCCTTGAGAACAGGAAGTCCATAGGTCTCAAGGTCATCAAGGTAGGGTCAACACAACTATTGCCATTTTGTTTAAAACAAATGCAAGAGATGTGAGAGGTGGAATCTGATTGTTCAGTAGGAAGAGAAAGGACTCGTAATAGCCACTGGTGGCGCTACAATTGAGCCATGAAATTCCAACGTAGTTCGGCAAGGGTGGAAATTGGACTTTTATAGTCTATTAACTCCCTTGCCTCAGGAAGAGGATTACATGAGAATATAACAGCACCAACCCTCTTTTCATAAATGAAAATCAGGGGAAATGATAAAGGTTTTTGTACCAAAGACACCTTTAATTAAATAAGTTTGTGACAGGTGGGTACCCAGGAGAATGCTTCATGTGAAGTGGTTGCTGAAGTGTCTAATCAGAGTAATTGGAACATCTTGTCATAGTCATATAACGATGGGACCTAGCACCTCTTTGGCAGTTGGTAGTGGTCAGTCTTATTCTAACATGGTGATTATTATTACTTTTCAGTGTTCAACATGCAGCAAGCCTTTCTCAATAGCTCAGCTGGACAACTTCCGCGATTTGACTCTGTGCGTTTTCTGTCGACTCCAAGACCCGGGCAAGACATGGCTGGAGATTCATGAACCAGTGGCTTAGCTTAGCATCATTTTAAATGACCCTTATCTGTGATAGACATGGTTTTATCATGTCAGTATCATTGAATCTTTGTCTCTTTTTGACAAATGTATGATTCAAGGATTTCACTGTCAGCATTCCACAAGCCAGGCCATCAAGCCATTCACTGCATCATGTCGTGTGTATTAAATATCATTGATGGTTTTCCTGACACTGATCCTGACACTGATCCCTCCAAGATACCTTTCAATAATTGACAGTGATGTCCTGCACTTTAATTCAGTGTGTGAGATGCAGTTACCTTCGATAAATGATGAACATGTATCAGAGTTGAGAGACACTGCAATAAAATGTGAAGATCTTCAGCCTGTGTTGTCTTTGGCATACCATGGAACAAGGGAACGTCCAGTAAGTGGTATGCACCTTGTTGCAACAAACTTTGTGTATTACAACATTAATACCAGCGGAACCAGGGTTAAAATAACTATGGTAACACCACATTCTCCCCCAGTGAAGCCAGGTTGATGATTACCATGGCAACACCACATTCTCCCCCAGTGGAGCCAGGTCAATGATTACCATGGCAACACCACATTCTCCCACACAGTGGAGCCAGGTCAATGATTACCATGGCAACATCACATTCTCCCACACAGTGGAGCCAGGTCAATGATTACCATGGCAACATCACATTCTCCCACACAGGAGCCAGGTCAATGATTACCATGGCAACACCACATTCTCCCACACAGTGGAGCCAGGTCAATGATTACCATGGCAACATCACATTCTCCCACACAGTGGAGCCAGGTCAATGATTACCATGGCAACATCACATTCTCCCACACAGGAGCCAGGTCAATGATTACCATGGCAACACCACATTCTCCCACACAGTGGAGCCAGGTCAATGATTACCATGGCAACATCACATTCTCCCACACAGGAGCCAGGTCAATGATTACCATGGCAACACCACATTCTCCCACACAGTGGAGCCAGGTGGATAATAACCATGGCAACATCACATTCTCCCACATAGGAGCCAGGTCAATGATTACCATGGCAACACCACTTTCTCCGAAACAGTAGAACCAGTTTAATTATAACCATGGCAACACCACATTCTCCCAAAAGGTGGAGCCAGATTTATTCTCACCATGGCAACACAGATATTTACTGAAAATAAAGTCTCAACTTGTTAAAAATAACTTTTAATACATTTGGCACACAGATGTCCATGTAGCACCACAAAACACAACAAAATATCATGCTTTCTACACATGTTAATGCTGATATGGCATATCCCCAAAATATGAGAACAATGGAAGAAGACAGTTGAGAGGGTTAAATCTTTGTAACAAGTCTCACAATAGGCCACAACAAATCAGTGTCTTGTCCAACAGGATTTGCTGGCCTCAGATTGTCGACACATTCCTTAAAGTGTGAATCTAACTAGTTCCTCTGTACTTATGGCACACATGATGTAAGGCACAAGGCAGTGTCCATACTAGGTTTCCTCATCCTTGTGAATCCTGGAAAGAGTGAGTCTCACCAGGGGTGAGGTGAAATTGGTTTAGAGCCCATCAGTCCTTGTTATAGCATTTTTTGGCTGACGAGCCCAGGGATCCAAGCCAAGGATCCAACCCCGGGCCTTCCGCTCACTGGCCCGTCACTCTACCACAAAGCAATGGAGTTGGTATTCTCACCCAAGACACAATCTTGTAGTTATAGTATAAAATCACAAAGGAAAACATCATTCATAACAAAAGAAGATGGTGATTCTCACTCTCTGACCTGGTGTTTCTCAAGGTCAACTTCATACCTCTGCCACAAATTTAAAAATCTACCCATTTAGATGAATACATCTCATGAAATGGTTATCTGTCACTGAGAATATCCTATTTCCATGTGCGTATTGATTCTGTTTACCTTAGGCTAAAAAAAATTAATAGTCTTGGTTCTCAGGCGCCACCTGCATCATCATAAAGTCTGCTGCACATTTTGTTTTTATTTCCATTTTCAAATTTTAAAAAAAAATCCTAATACTTAAACACAATGCACAAAAAAAATGAAAATGGGAACAAAAACGACATGTGTAATGAACTTTATGATGATGTGGGCAGTGCCTGAGAACCAAGACCATTATTTTTTTTAGCCTTAGTTGTACGGTTCCATGTCCAGTCAAAGTCTTAGGGAGAGTTAGCGATACGGTCAGTTTGATGTACAGCAACATAAAGTCATGCTTCTCACTTTTGCTGTTCTGGTCAAGGGGCAGTGGGGTAAGCTTTCGCTCATAAAACGGTAGACCCAGGTTCGATTCCCCACTAAGGTATAATGTGTGAAGCCCATTTCTTGTGTCCCCCGCCATATTACTGGAATATTGCTAAAAGTGGCGTTAAACCTTACTCACTCACTCACTGTTGTGGTAATATATCTGCATAATTATGCAAAACAATATGAAAAGTGCACTAAAAGGCTTGCAATAGGCCAGTCTGCTCTAATTTCAGAATAAATGTGTTTGTTTATAAACAAGAGAAACGTTTGGTCACATGATATGCAAATTAGCCTGTGGCAGTGGTGTAATGCTAAATCATCAATGCGCCATTGTGTGGGTGATTCTGACCAATGGCCAGTGAGTGTGATAAGATTTTAAAATCTGAGGCAGAGAGTGTGAAGACTCAGAGAGACAGAAATGTATGGAAGCACCATGTTACCATAATCCCAATAGGTCACAGTGGCAACAATCATGACAATGGATTGAAAATCTTCAACAAACAGGGATTTTATGACTTCACAAGTGAAAAAACTAATAAATAATGGGTTAAGATGCCCAAATAAGGCATGCTAGACTAAATATCACAGCATATCAATTGTAAATGTCCAACAATGTCATAAACATGATAAAGGAACTTTCCAGCAAACCAAACAAAACAAACATTGTAACACATCTATCAAAACAAGGTCATAAACATGATAAATCATCTTTCCATCAAACCAAACAAAGCAAACAATGTCACACTTCTAACAACAAATTGTGAACAATACTTTTAAGCTCAACGATAAGTAGGTATCTTAAATTCATATATTTCAACATGGATGGAACTGACATCAGATCTACATCTCCTCCTCCACCACAAGGTCCCTGTACAGCAGTTTGTCAACCAGCGTGGCTGGGAGTGACATCAGATCTACATCTCCTCCTCCACCACAAGGTCCCTATACAGCAGTTTGTCAACCAGCATGGCTGGGAGTGACATCAGATCTACATCTCCTCCTCCACCACAAGGTCCCTGTACAGCAGTTTGTCAACCAGCATGGCTGGGAGTGACATCAGATCTACATCTCCTCCTCCACCACAAGGTCCCTGTACAGCAGTTTGTCAACCAGCATGGCTGGGAGTGACATCAGATCTACATCTCCTCCTCCACCACAAGGTCCCTGTACAGCAGTTTGTCAACCAGTGTGGCTGGGAGTGACATCAGATCTACATCTCCTCCTCCACCACAAGGTCCCTGTACAGCAGTTTGTCAACCAGTGTGGCTGGGAGTGACATCAGATCTACATCTCCTCCTCCACCACAAGGTCCCTGTACAGCAGTTTGTCAACCAGCATGGCCGGGAGTGACATCAGATCTACATCTCCTCCTCCACCACAAGGTCCCTGTACAACAGTTTGTCAACCAGCATGGCTGAGAGTGACATCAGATCTACATCTCCTCCTCCACCACAAGGTCCCTGTACAGCAGTTTGTCAACCAGTGTGGCTGGGAGTGACATCAGATCTACATCTCCTCCTCCACCACAAGGTCTCTGTACAACAGTTTGTCAACCAGCGTGGCTGGGAGTGACATCAGATCTACATCTCCTCCTCCACCACAAGGTCCCTGTACAGCAGTTAATCAACCAGCTTGGCTGAGAGTGACATCAGATCTACATCTCCTCCACCACCACAAGGTCTCTGTACAACAGTTTGTCAACCAGCGTGGCTGGGAGTGACATCAGATCTACATCTCCTCCTCCACCACAAGGTCCCTGTACAGCAGTTTGTCAACCAGCTTGGCTGAGAGTGACATCAGATCTACATCTCCTCCACCACCACAAGGTCTCTGTACAACAGTTTGTCAACCAGCGTGGCTGGGAGTGACATCAGATCTACATCTCCTCCTCCACCACAAGGTCCCTGTACAGCAGTTTGTCAACCAGCTTGGCTGGGAGTGACATCAGATCTACATCTCCTCCTCCACCACAAGGTCCCTGTACAGCAGTTTGTCAACCAGCTTGGCTGAGAGTGACATCAGATCTACATCTCCTCCACCACCACAAGGTCTCTGTACAACAGTTTGTCAACCAGCGTGGCTGGGAGTGACATCAGATCTACATCTCCTGCTCCACCACGAGGTCCCTGTACAGCAGTTTGTCAACCAGCATGGCTGGGAGTGACATCAGATCTACATCTCCTCCTCCACCACTAGGTCCCTGTACAGCAGTTTGTCAACCAGCGTGGCTGGGAGTGACATCAGATCTACATCTCCTCCACCACCACAAGGTCACTGTACAGCAGTTTGTCAACCAGCATGGCTGGGAGTGACATCAGATCTACATCTCCTCCTCCACCACAAGGTCCCTGTACAGCAGTTTGTCAACCAGCGTGGCTGGGAGTGACATCAGATCTACCTCTCCTCCTCCACCACAAGGTCACTGTACAGCAGTTTGTCAACCAGCATGGCTGGGAGTGACATCAGATCTACATCTCCTCCTCCACCACAAGGTCCCTGTACAGCAGTTTGTCAACCAGTGTGGCTGGGAGTGACATCAGATCTACATCTCCTCCTCCACCACAAGGTCTCAATACAGCAGTTTGTCATCCAGCATGGCTGGGAGTGACATCAGATCTACATCTCCTCCTCCACCACAAGGTCCCTGTACAACAGTTTGTCAACCAGCTTGGCTGGGAGTGACATCAGATCTACATCTCCTCCACCACAAGGTCTCTGTACAGCAGTTTGTCAACCAGTGTGGCTGGGAGTGACATCAGATCTACATCTCCTCCTCCACCACAAGGTCTCTGTACAGCAGTTTGTCAACCAGCTTGGCTGGGAGTGGAAGTGATGATATGTTGATGAAAGTGCTTGGATTCTTCCTGTAGACATCCCTGATACTCTCAAGAGTCAGAGTCAGCAGGCTCTGCGGAGTCCCTGCTTGGACCTTCAGCCATTCATGGAAGCCCTCCTCGTCCAGGAGAATCATCGGAAGGTCTTCCTCGTCACTATGATCAAAGTCAAAATCCTCGTACAGGTACCTCTCCATTGTCAGTTTACATCCACTCCTGACTAGGAACTGGGCAAATGTCACCATTTCTGATTCTAGAGCCATGAAGAGAGGAGTCTTGCCACAGTCTGACAATTCATTGATGTCAGCGCCGTGAGCTAAGAGAAATTTTGCAATTTCTATATTTCCCACTAAGGCTGCCAAATGCATGGGTGACGTCCCACTCCTGTCGAGTTCTGTAACGTCACCACCTTCATCAACAATAGCTCGGACTACATCTTCATTCTCATGAGCAATAGCTTCGTGGATTGGCAGGTTACCTAGGCGATTCCGGACACCTGTTGGGCATCCCAACCCTATGAGGAAACATGACAACTCATACGCTTTCTCCGTGCACCGGACAACAGCATGGAGCAGGGTGTCACCGCAGTAGTTGTGGGATGAGATGTCCACGGCTTGTTCCAGAGCCGTGCACAGCAGGAACATGGCTGTGTCAGGAGAATTCTGAATGAAGGCAACAAAGAGAGGGGTCTGGCCCCGATCATCCTTCCTGTTCATGTCCGCTCCATGATGGACCAGAGTCTCAGCTAGAGGCAAGTTATCACAGTATGCAGCAGCACCCAGTGGACTGATCTGCCGATCTCTCAGCAACAGGATGGTCACGGAGTCTGTGATGTTGCTGAGCGTGCCCAGTGTGTTTGGTTCTGCTCTGTTTTCCAGTAAGAGCAGAACAATGTCAAGGTCATTGTTCCCACATGCAATCAGCAATGGTGTCTGAGCCACGTTGTTCTGAGCATCGATGTTAACCCCTCTTTTGATGAGTGTTTCCACCATTTGTCGATGACTCTCTCTCACAGCGTAGTGTAACGGGGTATCATTGGTGTAGCGAGTTCTTATGCTCAGATCTTTGGTTGGATGCTTACTGCTAGTCTCAAAGTCCACTTTCCCAAATAATGGCTCCATCAGAGTATGTTGGGCTCCTGTGTTGCTAGGATACAGCAGGTCTAAAGTTTCAATATCCCCATTCAGTGCAGCGATGTGGAGCGGCGCAAGTCCACCCTTGTTCCACAGAGTCTTCAGCTCTGGAATTCTAGACAGAATCTTCAGGACATCTTGGTGCTGCTTCAACACAGCCAGATGCATTGCAGTATTGTTGTCAGTGTCAGATTTCGTCACATCACAACGACCACTTTCAACTAGTTGAACTACAATGTCAACTAACCTGTTCAATGAGGCATAGCAGAGAGCAGTCTGTTTTGTCACAGGGTCGACATTGTTAAGATTACAAAGTTCATGATCGATTAATGTCTTTGCAACTGCTAAGTCATCTTTCCTTAAGGCAAGCAACAGTGGCGGCTCTCCATCATAATCAGTAGCGTTAACATCACAACCAGCCCCTACCAAATACTCAGCGATGCGTGTTTGATGCGAGGAAATGGCGTTACACAGAGCTGTTCCTTGCATGCCATACACATGGTTGACATCAACACCCGCCTCAACCTGCTTCTTTACTGCATCAATCTGCCCAGCACATATAGCTTTATGCAATGCATCCATGTCCAAATCCTGAAACACAAACAAAACATTGTAAACTGTCAAACTTAAAAAAACTAACTTTTTTATTTGGCGAGGTACTGCGCTACATGTTCTGGTAGCTAAACCTAGGCTGGCTTTGTTTCTTAGTTTCTATAGCAGTTCCTCTTTAAATAGACAACACGTTGTTTAGAAAGGAGATGCAATAACTAAGTTTGTTTGTTTGTTTGTTTGTTGTTTAACATGTACACAGAAATATTTCAGGTCTATGACAGTGGTCTGAAATAATCCAGTCTGGACAACACAATCCAGTGATTGATGTCATGAGCATTGATCCACGCAATTGGGATACAATGACATGCATCAACCAAGTCAATAAGCCTGACTAACCGATCCCATTAGTCGCCTCTTATGACAAACAAAGTCGCAATTTATGGCAAGCATGGGTTGCTGAAAATCTAATCTACCCCGGATGTTCACGGGTGCAATAACTAAGATGTGCGAGGACATTGTATATTTTTCAGAATGTTCCAACTACTGGTAAGCATGAAGTCAAAAAATATTGAGGAAGTGGAAACATGGTCTATAGAACTGCAGCATCACCCAGAGCCCATAATGCATCCTAATTTAACAAGTTCTTGACCCATAAACTTTTTGCTGCTTGCAAAACTTCATCTGCCAGTTTCATAAAGTCATTGATCGCAGCTAACCTCGCATGCCCCTTAAAAAAGAAGAAGCCCGAAATGAAATCATACCATGAGTTTATGTTTGTTTGTTTGTTTGCTGTTTAACGCTGCACTCAGAAATATTCCATCTACATGACAGCGGTCTGTAATAATCGAGTCTGGATCAAAAGACGGAATTTAGCACGATTATGATCAACAATATAGTTATAGTTATTATAGAGGAGGGTTATGTTTTACATTTTAAATTTGACTCATTTTACGTTTTTGACAGTTGTTTTTAGTCACTTTTTGCTAAACAGTATACCCCAACAGGACCCTCATAAACAGCTTTCTTCACATTTCCTCCTTAATAAACTGATGCATCCACATATATGGTGTTTGACTTGCCTACAGCTGTATCTCATAGTATTAAACCATGTGATCAGTATAGTCTGTAAAACAGCGTTTGACTTAGACTCGGAGTGATACTCTCAACACGAACCATAACTAATCACTCAAGTGGAGAGTCGTGAGGGGTCCAACAGTCAAGACAAAACTAAGCTGCCAACAACAGCTCAAACGAGTTCACGTGAGGCAGGGTATTGTCTCGACTGTTGGACCCCTCACGGCTATCGGATATGGGCCTATAACACCGTAAGATGGTCCATCAGTCATTATCACTTTGGTTCAAAAGATAACATAATATTTGCTTCTGAAACATACTCCAAATAACGAACTGTCAACTCAAGCTCCTCATAGCGATATCCCGTTCGCAGAGCTCTGTATACCGAGAGTGTAACGAAGGTGTCACACGCTGGGAAGGAGCTTGCAGTCGCTCTAAGGGAGATCACTCTATGCGACCTGTTGCTTTACGATACCAGCCGCTAGAAAGTTTGAGGAAGCGAACGTCGCAGCACTCAACATTAATGTGTATCGCCCGGAAGTCGATTATATTAAAAAAATATCAGTTCTTCAATTAGGCTGTGAATTATTGGAATATTAGCTTTCATTTTTAATGTTACGCATGCATGAGCCTTGTGAAAGTTCCGTCAACTATAACCTATTCGCTGACCTGTCCAGGAACCCGTTCCACAAAGCGATCTTAGTGCTAAGTTGGTCGTAACTGCCATACTTCAGCATAGGCACAGATCAACGTAGCACTAAGATCGCTTTGTGGAACGGGGCCCAGGTGTATTGTAATCCCAGCGTCGTTTATGTACAGATTTTCCGAAATATTCTAAATGAATGCAGTATTTTTTTGAATTAAATTAATTTCAGTCTGCTAATGACGTGAATCTAGTTTCATCATAGGATTAACACTACCGCTATCATGAAGTTACATCGCCATAACGTAAGCGATAGAAAGATATTATAAGCATGCATGGTGTGCCTTAGTGTCATAAGTATCATTTATTACATTATGAATGTTAAATTATATTTTGTAATTGTTATTTTAAACATTTACCAGTGTAAATTGATAAAAAAAAAATTACTTTACGAAACACTTCTTTGTAAATTAAATTCGTTTTTTTCTGAACATTCTTATGACATTAGAGAGGCACTAGTCTCCTATATATGTTCTTAAGCCATTCACTCCATCATATCTCTGAATGATGCTGTTGTTTTACGTAAAGTACCATTGATTGGTTTGTGATTAAGTGATTATAATATTGATTTGTGATTGATTGATTGTTGATACATATTGTATCATGCAAGGATGTATCCATAGCCTACACTATAAATTTACGATACGGAAACACGCTCGGCTAATAATCTAGTCATCATTTGATGTCATTCTTGAAATAATTCACTAAGGTAAATTTTGACCTCGCGTAAAAATATAACAAGTAAGTGATCTTCCCCATTTATTATATAGTGCCAAATGATCTGCGTTGTTTGTTGACATACGCACTCACACATCGGGAAGCCTCTATCGGAACATTATGCATGTGGGCATGGCATCATTTTAGAGCCTGCTGAATATGTTTCCTGCTAAATGACCTCATTTGCATATTTATCGTATCGTCCGTGACAGAGAATACTGTATGAGTGGACAGTGGGTTAATATATAAAAACAGAATAGATGATATAATCAGTCCAAAACAATTTTCCACATAAAATGTAAACACACGGTATTTAGTCTTTTCATCTATCTTTTTCACCAGTCCGTTGACAGGTTTCCGTGGTTTTGACACTTAAAGTTTTGCGTGATATTATAAGGGCGACAAAGTGGCAATGCGACAGAGCGACAATGTCCCTTCTAGGATTGCATATGTTTAGGTTACAGTTTTCGCATGATTGATACTTATTAAATATTTGGATTTTAAAACATAAGAGGTAAACGTTTTATTCTTTTGAATTCGAAACATGTGCAATTAAACAGATAGTTACATTCATCGCAGAGTTATTCAGAATGTTTTGCACCTTCCTGTTTGACGCGGGTGAACATGAATGCGCCAACGATTAATTCTTGCACTCTCCCAACTTGAGTGATTGAAGCGCCGCAGAAATATACCTCCCTGCTAACGTTAGGAGATTGATGGCGCCGGCAGTCACGTGGTTCCTTTCACCCGGAACCTGGGCTCACTTGCACAAAGCGATCTTAGTGTTACGACTACTGTAAGCCTATGTTAAAGTATGGGAGTTACGATCATCTTAGCGCTAAGATCGCTTTGTGCAAGCCGAACTGGGACAGTGTGTCGTACCTTCTCAACGGTATGGGCGTTCGATTATTAAAATTAATTTATGTTAATAAAACCGTACAATATTTCTTCACCAAATTTAGCACATAGATAGGTCTAGTGGTAAACAATACATAATAGATATATATCACAGAGTATTTGGTAACATGGTATACAGTAGTTGATTGGTAGGTAATTTAAACATGTAATGCCGTTTGATAATATTAAAAGCAGTCCGTATGAAAGACTGGCGGAATCTGCTTGCAAATGTCCTGGGCCCACTTGCACAAAACGATCTTAGCGCTAAGCCTATGTTAATGTATGGGAGTTAAGATCATCTTAGCGCTAAGATCGCTTTGTGTAAGTGTGCCCTGAAGGTGCTAATTCATATTCAGAGAATAATACATGACTATTGTCATTTAGTATTTTATGTGCCTGTTGAATATTTTGTTCTTCATAATACATGCCGAGACAAGACCGAAAGCCACTAATTATATTTGCAATATTTACTTTTTTCACTTTTTTTGAACGGTCAGATTCCCATACCAGCAGAGTTGAATTTATGTGTTTTATTTCGGGTACTGTTCAAAGTTATCCTTTTGGAAAAATGGGTTAACTCAAGACCATTTGCTTAATGAAGAATATACGAAGGATTTAAATTGTTTGATAGGCATTACTTAGAAGTTGATTGATGACAAGGTAGACACAATTTTATGGATAACATCTTCTTTATTTACTGAAAAGGCGACGTTTCGGTATAGATCCTTAGCATGAATAATGACTTACTTAAATTGGGAATTTAACGTGCGCTTTCCGACATATGCGTATATGGAGCACGGGCCCGCCAGGCCTTTTAATGATTGGTCGAAAAGGGTATGTCCGAAAGGTTCCAGCCACTAATGCCTACGTCCACTTTTGCCTACAGTTACTATTGCCTACAAAAAAATAAAGCAGTGTGGAATAATGCCTACACAATGAAAACAACATACCCATGCTAGGAATGAACTCTTCCAATATGAGATTTCTTTGAGAAGCATCTTAAGTTAGATGGGCGGCGTCCACTAATGCCTACATCCACTAATGCTCTTTCATTTCAGCTGGAGATTTGCATTTCTCAACATAAATGTAATTAACTGGATTATGTCAAGTTATTGTGAGGTGAGGCAACCTTTAGGGGGGCTTTTAGGGCTGCTTACTTAATTGTGGAGAACAAATTTGGAATTTTGAAATATGCCATGCAGATGGCAGAGGGAACTAAATGGAGTTTTTTGTGAGGTTGTGTGGCTGTGTGCTTTTATAGGTTTAGATTTTTAGGGTTAGTGACAGCTTGTCTGTTGTAGTTTTTAGATGCGGCCGAGTATGCCTGTTTGTTTAACGTTGCTAGTGTCATTTGATTGTTGCAGTTTAGTGTGGATTGTAGTGTTGTTCTGTTGCTGGTAACGTGTGCAATCTAGTAGTACGTGTTCAGGAGTTTCTTTTAAGTTGCAGTGGGGCATTTACCGGTTTGGTGTAGGTTGGAGTTTAACTTAGTGTGGCCTGTTTGTAGTTTGGTTATTACTGTCAGTTGTTTTGGTTTTATGATTTTTGTTTTTTTAGTGGCTTTTGTAGCAGGTGTTTTATTTTGCAGTCAGACCTAAAAGGGCGGGGGTATATTGTTATACCAAGGAATTCCGTCCTTCCGATGACATTATTTTGTGCGAGCTATAACTTGAAAATCACTGCATAGATTCTTTTCAAACTTGGTGAACACCCTCTATAACAATAGGAGAGGTGCAGTCCCAAGTTTGATTCCATTTTTAGATTTTCTGAAGAAAAAAAATACAGCTATTTTTCTTTTTTTTACTTAAACGTTTGTGCGACCTATAACTTTGAAAATAGTGCATGGATACTTTTCTAAATTTAGATAACAGTTTCTGTATTAATAGAAGAAGTGCAGTGTAAGGTTTGAAATGTGGATTTTCTGATATGATTTGAGATTTATACATGTTTTGAACTTAGAATTTTTGGATTTTTATTTTTTTGTCGTTGGATTTCATAAAGTTGACAGTTGGAGACTTTTACCTAGCGTTAGCTCTGTCCGTCTGTCTGTCTGCCTCTCTGTCTGTCTTTGTACGAGTCCCGACTTATGCCGGTTTTATAGTGCCTTCCCGCTGAGATACCATGCCGCAGTTTAACATGAATACCCCACTCAGACACAGTATACTGACTTCGAGCCGACCAGTCCTTGTTTTATACCCTTATGCACAGCGCCAGGCAGGGTAACAACAAGTACTAATTTTGGTATGACGCGGCCGGAGATCGAACCGGTGACCTTCACTCTCCGGGCTCCACTAGACCACGGAGGTAAAGTTCACTAAAGAAGAAGTGCGCGCTCACAATGCCTGCTCTAAGTATATGTCTGCCAGATGGCATATCTGTGATTAAGGAGGATGCGCCAGTCTGTAAGGCATATCTGTGATTAAGGAGGATGCGCCAGTCTGCTAGATGGCATATCTGTAAATAAGGAGGCTGCGCAAGTATGGTGCTGATATATCAACGATCATAACCAAGGCCAATGTTGGATTCGATTCATTCGAACCATCATCGCGGAATCCTGACACTCTTAAGGGACACAACTCTGCACAACGAATTGCGGTGGCTGGGACAACTGCGCGGGTGGCCGTTTTCAGAAAAATAATAATATACAGAACATGCTTTTTAGTCAAGTAGGTTTTTGTCATTTGTTGAGGTAAGCAGTAACTCGTAGTGAGCATCGAGAAATAAAAGCGTTAACGGACTATAAAAGCCCAGTTCCCACCCTTGCCGAATTAGGCTGGAATCTCCAGGCTCGATAGTAGCACCACCAGTGGCTATTACGAGTTATGTCCCTTCAATGTCCCTCCTACTGACCAGTCAGATTCCATCTCTCATATCGCTTGCATTTGCTTTAAAGAAAATGGTGGCACCAAGTCAAGACGATCTTACTTGATAATCGAGGTCTTTATTGTAATAAAACGGGTTTTACCCCGCGAAGTGCATCAAATCACTTGAGCACCTTGATTAAAAACGTGAAAAGATTTGAAAATATCTGTCGACGCCCAGTTGATGGTACACCTGCTTTGCAAATTCTGCAGTAGACTGAATTCTGTACGTTGAAATCCATGGTGTTTACGAAGCGGATG